CAGCATCTTATTATAGAAACCATTATTGGTGATTTTTACCACTTTGAGAATAGCAGGATGTAGTGTTTTGTTTATTAAGGTTTAAATAGGTACATGTGCTAATCTGTGATGGAGTCAAGACAGGCATATCTTTCTCATTCTTGAAATTGGCAGATAAGTATTACTGTAGTGAAATGCTTCTAAGCTTGTACTAAGCTTGTTTAAAGTTTCTTCTATGGAAATATGTTTGGAGTGATTCCTGTGGAGTCATGCAACACTTGAAAAACGTTATATTGAATTTGAAAATACATAGGGGTTTTCCACAAAGCTTCCAGTTAAAATGAGTTGGCAATAATATTGCTTCTTGCTTCTGGGCTTTCCTTATAAAATGTTTGACATGATGTTCCATTCCAGTGTGGCTTTTTGCTTGTGTTTCTACATAACAATAATCTGTGCTATTTACTTCACTTTCTCATGTAAGCATGTGAGAACCTGGTCTGTAACACATTGTCTTATAAGTAATTGAAATCATTTTTGGATGCCTTAATTATGTCTGATGGGTTGCTGCTGTGCAACCAGATTCTTGTAGGAGTGTAGCTGCTGTCTTGAAAGTTTATATGAGTAAACAGCTTCTTTGCAGCTTGTGGTGGAAGACTTTTATCTACTTACTTAGCTTTCCATTCCTTCCATTCCTCCAGCCCTCCTAGACATATTCTTCCTCATTTGAGAATGAAGTTGTGCTGGACTGAAAGTGAGTGTGAGAGAAGTACCGGGCTTGGTGAAAGAAGTTTTCTTCTTGAGAGCTTCTAACTTGGTTTTCACAACACAACAATCCACTGTAGACAGCAAGCCATGGAGGACTGATGTGTATTAACCAAACCCAGGGCAGGTTGCCCACAATAGCTTGTCTTTTTCGGATAAGCCATTCTAAGAATCCATGGGCTATTCTAGGAGTTGTTCTACCTATGGTGGGTTCCAGTGTGAACCCAGACTACCCACCATGAGTGAAGTCCAGTGACTAATGGATTGCTCAATGAGCAGCACAAACTCCTTACTGCCCTTTCTGAGATTTCCCCACCTGTTGCCAGGGCCAGCCACCCTGCAAGTGCTGTGCGGCACTCAGGTGGCTAGCAGTGCCTTGCTGCTCTATCTGCCATAGAGGGGAAGCATTGCCCTGTCAAACCTGCTTTTTAAAGGAGAACCGGAATTTTGAGAGTGAGCTGTCAAAACTCATTTTCCCCAAAAAGAGGAGGGAATGTACTTTTGCACTTTCCTGAGCCTTAAAATCTTGGAATAAATCAAAAAATGTGCATCATCTTGAGGACATGGGGGGGCGGGGGGGGGGAAGAGACTCTGAAAAAATGTTCATAAAAGTTCAGCTGTTGGGAGCTGAAAATGACTCACAATCAATGGTGGGCAGGACTGGATGACTCAGTCCTGCTGTAGTGTCTCCTAGAATACCACTTGGCGGAATAAGGGAAAGGAAGGGAGTGAACAACCCATCATGAGTTGATTCATTGTGTGGGCTCACCATGGGTTATTCCCAAAACAATTGACCCATTGTCGGTTATTGCCAGGGTGGATTATCATGACATGTGAACCCACAGTGTAAAGTACAGTAGAATTTTAGCCTAGGTGTGGTTACATGAGGGATCACTGTTGCAGTAATACCACCCTGTGCACTCTTTTGCCAGGGGCTTTATAGCTGCCTCCTGCTTCTTCTCCTCATTTTTAAGGCAATTCAAATTTGAGAATGCTTGCCTACATTTGCACCATATGTTGCCTTTTAAAAATCAACAGACAGTTAAAACACAATACATGTATTATTATATTAATTCTTATCCACAATCTTGCTGCAAAAGTGAATTGCTTAAAATGCAACACTGTATCTCAAGTCAGGAACACTTTAGAACAGTTCCATGTTATGATGCAGTGTCCTTGGCCAGTACGTGCTGCAGAAAGATATGTGAATATTTAGTGAATTTGAAAGCTTGATAAAAAAAAGACTTAAAGAAAACAGTGTCATCTTGTTTTCCTCTGTACTTGTATCATATCTTTTTTGGGAAGGAAACTGGTGAGCTCCAGGGTCTGTTTTGATCTCTATCTCTCTTGTTCTGGTTTTGACATCTGTGCTTTACAAATACTTTTGATTTCATGTCATTGCATATTACATATAATACATAATTGCACATGAAATGGCATGTTGTTCTTGGGCTGTAAACCAAAAGAGCTCACACTGTTCCTTTCCTTTGCTATCTAAACCAGGTTAGAATGGAATTGCTCAAAGTACCCTGCCTTGCTCTTGACTTACTATTACAACATCTCAACCAACCCTGGAATGGCTAACCTTTTCTAACTTTTGGTGCTCTTTGTTTTATAATGCTGCTATGCCTTTATTTATTTTTAAGTTGTGGCCTGCCTATTATCCCGCTTTTCTTTGTCCCTTCCTGGCAGCATCTAGAAGATCCACACATGCACACATGCATGTATGCTACTCCTTTAAATTTTGGATTCTGACAAAAGTATGGAGATTATAAATAATGCTCAATGAAATGTGTAAAATGGAGTGGATTTCATAGGGCTTTCTCTTTTTTTGTTTTTTGTTTTTCTTTTTTTACAAATAAGACATCCACTTATTAAGATATACTACAACAGAAAGAAAAAAGGAGGAGTACCAGGTATTATATCTATTCAGTTATACAGGCACCCTCCCTTGGACAGGCCCGTCTTGCACAATTCAGGAAGCAGAAAATGTAGCATTTTTCAAACACCTGAAAACATTTGTTCACCCAGACTTTCCCTGGCTTGTAATTAAATTACTTACACCACTCTATTTTACTGCTCCTGCATTGTTCTGTATTATTCTTACTAAAATTATTATAGTAATTGGAATTGTTTATAAATTGAAAAGATTGTCCAGAAAGTCAGGGTTGTTCCACAGTGTTAATTTGGCATGTGCAAAAAGATTGAAATGGAGCAAGCAATTTATTGTGTGCTATACTTTGGCTGCCATAATTAAAGGTGGGTGAATCCCATCTTTCTTTATAAGGGTAGATCCTGGTGCATCTGCTTAGAAATAGGTGATATGTAGTACCATCCAGGGAGGCTGTGACAGGTGTGTGTGTGTGTGTGTGTGTGTGTGATATGCCATACACTTTCTGGTAAAAATTTAGATCAGGAAAATTAAAACCTAAATTTTCAACTGGCAGTTATAATTTTTAAAAAGAGAATGGTGAGAAAGATGTTCCCCAAATGTACTTCTGGAACAGCGTGCTACATTTTTAAAAATATGACTTAGAGGTAAATAGAGGCATGCATTATTTTGGGGTAAGACATTCAATTTGAGCATGTTAATCTTCACCCAGATACTAAGAATCAGTGGAGCTCATCTTTCTAAATCTGAATATATCTTTGTTAATAGGGAACTTAGATTCAGCTTAATCATTTGTGCAGTGGCCCAGGAAATCCTTATTTTAGGTATGTTATGGCTTTGGGGCACCAGGTAAATTACCATTTAGAAAATAATCTAGGAGAGACATTTGTTTCCAGGGATATTTTAAGGTGGCCTTTGCATACTAGATAGTAAGCTTGGTTTGAGTAACTCATACAGTGACTGTTTTATATCAAGGGACAGATTTATATTAAAATATAGTTCAGTAGTGAAACCCTGAAGCTGTATCCTTTTCTCTAGGTTTTGCAGTTATTTTGTGAATTCCTTTTCCCTTTTGTGATGTTTTAGTTTTTCCTCTGGATCTGTAGGAGGATGAAGGGTGCCTGTAAAACTGAATAGGTATAATACCTGGAGGGACTGGAGGCATTTGGGTGCTTGCCCCACAGCAACCAATTCTTAGAATCATCTCACAAAGGCCATGAGGATTTTTGTTTCTCAAAATATGCTAAAATGTGAAGGCAGAATTGGAATCTGTGCAGCTACTAGAGGGCTAAAAGGTGCTGATGGAAAGAAGCAGCTAGAGTGCAGCAGGTAGGTAAGCCGGTAGACAAAAGCAGGGAACTGCAGCAATAGGTTCTGTGGTTCACAAGGCCATGCATGAGGTGGAAAGTGAAGTGGAAATATTTGTAAGAAGCATGAGTCAGCAGGAGCCCATGTGCTGAGAGAATTAATGCAATAGATTAATAAGAGAAAATGGTAGCTTTCTGAGCTAAGAGCACGATGTGAAAGCTGTTTTTGCTGTGTGTACATCTTTTAGCTAGCATTGCATCAAGTTGGAGGATGAGAATTACCAGTCAGCAGCAGTTCTGTATGGGAGAGACTTGCTGTCTTTCTAGGTATTACTCGGTCTACTCTGCAAAATATGGAGGTGGTTACTTCACATATTATTTGTTTCTTTGTTGAGTTTGATCTCTGAGATGAGCAATGCATGCACCCTTTAACATGTAAGTGTTTATCTTCCTCCATCTATCCCTCTGTCTGGCATTCATGTTTTTTTCCTTGATGAAAGATCTTGAGGCAGTGGAAGATGTTGGCACTGGCTTGTATACATTGTTGGCAGTGTGCTGTTTCTGACATAGAGAAAAATCTTAGTGCTGGTAAAAGAAACATGTTCAGTATCCTAAGGCATGGATAGAAACTCAAATCAGTGCGGATTTATTGACTGAAGCATTCTTTTGCCTTTGACCAAGTGATCATTGTGCACCTACTTCCATTCAAAAGTCATGTGAAACAGACAGTCTGCTTTTATTTTATTATGGGATGGATCCAGATTTAGTTGAATCAACTGCCTTGGTGGGAGTAGACTTTCTCTCTGCTTTCTTCCCATGGTAGCCTCTCCAATGCGCTGAAAATGGTACAAACAGTTAGGAGACCCTGGGGAATGGAGATGAGCTATTTTGTGTGTGTGGGGAGACCCTCAAAATTGGGTGGAGGGATTGGAGCCCTTGTTTTCAGGGAAGGATGATCCAGCCCAATGTTCACTCATCAAGGAAGGTTCTTCAGCCTGCAGCAGCTAGCCATACTTGCATGTACTTATGTGATGACAATTCCTTCTGTTTTCTCTTTGTAGCTGCCAAATTTTAAAGTGTTGAGTCATTCCCCAATGTCTGATGCCTCCATCACCTTCGAATGCAAGCCACAGTCCCCTTTTGCTGACAGCACAGATCAGGAAGATTTGCATGACCTAGTGACAATCTCTGAATTGGCCAGCGTGAGCCTGGCCCAAAAGGACCAGGAGGATGTGGTACCAGTGGAGGTACCCAATGAGATTGTGCAGAACATAGTGACTTCCCATAATGGGATGCAGGATGACGGAGGCGGGGGCACTGGAGTGAAGAAGAAACGGAAGAAAAAAGAGCCAGGGCAGCAGGAACCAGGTGGTGAAAGAGAAGCAAAACCAAAGAGAAAGAGAGAGCCTAAGGAACCAAAAGAACCCAAAAAGCCCAAGGAGCCTAAAAAGCCCAAGGAGCCCAAACAGGAAGGGTCCAAGAAACCCAGGAAACCACGGGAGCCTAAAGTCCCGAAAGAGCCTAAAGAGAAGAAGAGCAGCTCAGAATCTCCCCCCAAAACAAAGCCCAAGAAGGCCAGGTTGGTATCACTCCAAGAACGTATTTGTTTGTTTATTTACTTAGTAGCCATTTATCTTTTGCTCTAAATGTTTTGAGACCTTACTGGGAGCATTCTTATGGCTACCTTTTAGCAAAAACACAGACCACCCTTGATATGAAGCTGTAGTGCAGATTATGTCTACTGCAACTGATTCATCTTGTTCTTGCAATCTTTAGGAGGCTTTCCCAGAATTTTGCCTAATAGGGCCCACTGCATATAGGAAAATAGCCTGTGGAGAGACAGGAAAAGATATTGCTTAGTTACGATTGCAAAATACAGGCAACTTGTGTTTGCTAGGGGTGGAATGGAGAACGTATTTGACTCTGTTATGCTCATTCTTTGGAGTTTACTAGAGGGACTATATGTGAAAAGCATGTTTTCACTTTCGGATTTCAAAGAATCAGTAGTTGTAGCATTATTAATCATATTTGCAGTCATTAATTTGGCAAGGCCAATTAATTCAAGGCCTTGGCAATTATAGGCGGCCTATAAATGCATATAAATAAATAAATAATTCAGAGTCACATGACTGTCCTTTCAGTCACATAGCTTTGAATAATGACTGCATTTCTTTTAAATATACTTTAAAGAAAATAGTTTTTGTTGAATGGAATTAAAAGCATTTCTTACTTGGATTCATCTAAGGTGCCTTCACTTATGGTCCCAGTGTCATGGGGTTGATTTCCCATGGTGTGATTCCATGGTTAGTCAGGTGGGAAAACCTCAGGTGAGTGGGTCTGCAGCAGCATTACACATAATCATGTGGATTTACACTATTGAGAAGCAGTTCCCTGCATTTCAGAATACAGAATAGGGGGGCTAAGTTTCATGATTAAGTTGTGATTTGCAATTGTGGTTGGTCTTGGTCTTGAAGGTTACCTGCTATGGCTAGAAAAGAATGAATGATTAAACCATTGTTGTGAATTAGTCGAGACCTACTTTTGTGAGAACCTTCTGGATAAAGGATAAAGTTCCTACTTATATGTGAGGCAGAAATTTTATCTGCCTGGTGATGCTATTCGTCCTTCATTTGTGAGGAAAAATTAATCTGAATATTGGGAGCAAGAAGTTGGAGTAGATTGTAAGCCAGATGCAAATCCTTTAGTTCATCAGTTACAGAGTCTGAAGTAGAATCCAGTTCCCTGCATTAGCAATGAACCAACATGTTTTTTTTTTTGGAATGAAGTCAAATTGTGAAAAGGACATGAAAGTCATCCTCTACCTCTGTTGTGATATTAGACCATGATGGACAATGGTGCATACCTCAGAGTTCTTTTGTCTTGCTTCCTGAATCAGCATCTTTATTTCATAAGCTGGTCAGAGGAGAAGGGTTGTTCTTCATCATGGCCTCTGTGCATCACACATTATGGGTGCTGCGCTTCCCCTGGGCAGCCAGTGTGGAAAGAACCACACAAGCTACCTCTCCAAGGCCATAAGAGTGAGCTTGGAGAAGAGTACCACACTTAGTTGGGCCATCTAGTTACTTTGCAGAGTAGGAAGAATGCAGAAACAATCCTTGCCTCCATGTACCACCACCTTCTAAGTTTGGAGGACTGCAGGCATCTCACAGGATTGCACCCTTAACAGATTATCAGCAATATCTCATGGCTTCTGGTGCCAGAAGGTGGGCTTTAGCATTAGAAATTTTATAGGATCTTTGTAGGAGAGATGAAGATGATAATGCGGGGAGGGGGGTACTAAAAGGAGAGATAAGAATTTTAAATTTTGAATGTATCAGGGACTGGATTTCCTGTCAGTGAAGCTTATGGTTGCAAAACAAGTTGTGTTTCTTCTGACATACGTGCACTTAAAGCCACTTAGTGATCACCTTGCTCATAACTGATTATTCTTAGCATCAAAGTTCCCAGGAACCTAGATTAATGTCCTCAGGTCCCTTTGCCTTGTTTTTTTTAAAGTACATAGCAAGACAGTCTTCCTTCCACTATGGCAGGATAAAACATGTATGCAAATAGAGCAATTGCTGCAAATTCTCTTAAGTGGCTGGCAATCGTGTCATAATCTCCTCTAAATTATTTCTAATCAGTCTTAGCTCCAACAGTCATGAATGAAAATGTTAATTGAAACTGCAAAATCAGTGTCAGGGGACTTACTGCTAAAGTGAGAACTACAGGATCAGTGCATTTCTAGAGCTTCTTATTCAGTCATGGGCATGTAGTTGGGTCACTTCTGCCCTAAAATGCTGTTTGGAAAGGTTTTTTTTACACAGTCTCCAGCTCATAGCAATTTTCCATGAAACTGAGTTACAAAGATTTGGTGAAAACATAATTTTAAAATAGACAAAGGAAGTTAATCAATTTCTTATGAAAAGAGTGATCAACCCCCCCCCCCCCCGGTGAGGTGCAGTGCACTGGAAATCAATTTTCCTATGGTTCCTATGGATATATCGCTCCTTTTTTCTTGTGTGAATTGATGCAGCTTCTTGTTTCTGGACTGGTATGTTGGTATCAGAGATGTGAAATTAAAAGAATGTAAAATTATCTGGTATCTCTGTGTACATTGCTGAGTTTAATGCACTGGAATTAGGACTCATTGTTGGAAAAAGAACATTAAATACTTGAGGACCTCTAATTATTGAACAGGAAATGAAGAAGTGGTGTTTGGTGTTAAGTTGGACTTGTGAAGTTTATACAAGAAATGATATTTGACAATGTGAACCTGATTCTGTACTCTGGCATTGTGTACTGATGGGGACAAAGCAAATGCATGATTTGCGTATGTAAGAGGCTCTGGCTTCACTAGTGTTCTAATTCTCTAATACTTACTTTGCTTAGGTGCTCTGGGGCTTTTAATCAACTCCTTAGATTTTTAAAAACTATTTAAATCTCTCTTAAGAATAGAGTATCCTAAGTGAATCACACAGAAGATTATGCAAGTGCAATTGATCTCAGATCAAGAAGCAATTAAAGGAAAGAAAATATAATTATAGGCACTCAGCTTGGTCCTGTCAGTCATGTATAAGTTTGTTTAAAAATGAAATTGCAAATTTGATTTACAACAACCTTATGCAGATGTGAAATTCAGCAACCTGAGGGGGGAGGCAGCTCTCACCCACTACAGTCTGCTCGGATGGATTTATCTAATTCTGAGCAGGAGGCAGAGGTGGGGAGATGACTTTTCAGTTTTTAAGTTCCCTAGTGAAGATTCTCAAGCAAGCAAGAAGCACCCTGCATTGAAAAAGGAAGGAGTCATTGCTGAATAAAGAAGGGAGGAGATTGAGGGGAGACGACAGATGAAGTGAGCAGACCAATCAAGAAGTGTCTGATTTTCCCACCATCAAGCCCTGAAGCAGTGGGAACTAACCTGAAATGTGAAGCTGGAGTTAGAATCTTTTTCTGAAAGGGTTAGGGTTAGGGGTTTGGGTTTCAACTTGGATTCAACTCTTCACACATCTCAAAGAGAATGGTACTTTGGTATATATTGTTCTGTAACCTGTTAAGTGAAAATAAATGACTGTGCTTCTAAAGTCTAATAAGAGTCATGATATATAACCAGTGTGGGATCTGGATCACAATGGGTAGATTACTTTACCTCTGGACCTGCTGTGTATCCCAGTATGGTCATATTTTCTCTGCACATATATGGTTCAACACATGTACATTTGAACTTCACGGTTTGTACATTGCAAAATCTGGCAGGCCTGTAGGCAGAGCAGGGATAGTGGAAAGGATGGGATGGGCATGATCTTGATCCTCTGCTGTGGTGGATTGCGTTGCCATGGATGTCATCCCACTGCGCAGCTGCTGTGAAAAAAAGGCAAAGTCCATGTTAGCCATAATTAGGAACAGAATACATAATAGAACTGCCAAGATTGCCATTCTGCTTACACAGATCTCTGGTGCGGTTGCACTTAGAATGTTGTGTGCAGCTCTGGTTGCCTTATCTGAAAAAGGATATTAATGAGTTGGAAAAAGAACAGAGAAGGGCAACAAAAATGATCAGAAGGCTGGTGCAACTCTCTTATGAGAAACAGATAGAGTAGCTGGGACTGTTTAGCTCAGGAGAAAGGTGAGTAAGGGGAGACATGATAGAGGCATTTAAAATTATGCATAATGTAGAGAAAGATGAAAGGATCATACTTTTCTCCTTCTATAATTCTAGAACCTGTAGACATCCCATGAAGTTGGTTGGTGGGAGGTTTAGGACAGATAAAAGGAAGTGCTTCTTCACATAACTTAGAGTTAAACTGTAACTATAACTGCTGATGGCCACCAATTTGAATGGCTTTAGAAAGGGTTTAGACAAATTCATGGAGAAGGAAACTATTGGTAGCTACTAGTTTTGCTGGCTATGTGCCATCTCCATTACCAGAGGTGAAATGCCAGCATATACCAGTTGCTGAGGAGCTTGGCAGGTGGAATTCTTGTACCCAGCCTGCTTGAGGGCTCCTGTGGGCAGCCGGTTTGCCACCATGTGAATGGAGTGTGAAACTAAATAGATCTTTCTTCAGATTTGTCATGGCTTTTCTTGTGCTTTCATGTGTTTATTTTCTTACATACCATGCAAAGTTATTGTTAGCTTCATTGATATAATGTTGTTGCACAGTCCTAGCACAGCCCATTAGTGTAGAGTATCTGCACTTGGCCTGGTGATCCAGCAGCCTCCTTCACAAAAAAAGCAGACCTGCTGGTTGTTGGCAGTCCACCACTGGCAGGCCACCCCAGCAGGGGCATCCTCAAAGGAAGTAACACCAAAGGAGACACACCCCTTTGGTTTGCTCCTTCAGAATGCCAAAGATGTGAGGGTGCATCTCCATTTCTCCCTCACCTTCCCATTGCTGATATGGGCCTATACCTGAACCATGCCTGAGAGGGCCAAGTGGAGAGATGCTGGGACTTCTAATCAGCATAGTGATGGGTGGAGGAGATACCGTACCAGGAGGAGAAGTGGGCAGGTAAGGGGGATATAACCTAGATAGTTAATGGTTGTGTGGTCTTCTCTCCACCTGTGACAGTTCCCATCTCAGCCAGCCCTCTGGTCTCCAGATGCCAAAAAAAGTGGAGAATAAAACTCCCTCATCTATGATTAAATTGTGCATGAGGTGGCCAATCTGGTATGTATAACAGAACTGGGTGGGTGAACAGGGAAGAGAAAGCCTGTTCCGTTTGTGCCTGCTGGCATATTTGGTTCAACATCAGGGTAGACCTGTGGGTTGGGGAATGAGAGTTGTCGTGGTCTGTTAGAATCCATTCTCTCTCTCTCTAGGTATTCTATCCACCTGATGACTAGTCTGGTGTGTTTGCACCTTGTGTTGGGCCAGCAGGACAGTTTGGGGATTTTGCTGGCGTACCGCCCACCCTGCAACCCATTATTCTCACTACCTGAACTGACCAAGGTGGTCTCAGATGTGATGTTGAGATTCTCCTGGCTCTTGGTTCTGGATTGGTTCAGCATTCCCACTGAAGGCATGTTGGGGAGTGGCTCAGGATTTCATGTCTGCCATGACAACCATGGGACTGCCCCAACATGTTATTTGCCTGACATTTGCAGTGGAACATACTCTAAACTTGGTCTTTTCAGCTGGATATGAGGATGGTGTTCTGGGTGTGGGGGACTTCTGCATGGCCCCTTTGTCATAGTCAGATCACCACCTGCTGAGATGATGGCTTTTCCCTTCTGCAAGGGTGGGAGATCTATTAAGACATTCTGCTTCAGAGGCTAATAGATTTGAATAGCTTCCAGAAGGCTTTGGGGGATTTTCTGACTGACATGACTGGCACACCTTCCAAAGCCCTGATTGTGCTATGGAATGCATATCCAGGCAGTTGGCTTGATTGATCCTAAGCACCCTCCCTGTTGTAAAGCTCATATAGCTCCATGGTATGTTCTAGAACTGAGAAACAACTTAGGAAATGGCTTCAAAGCAGATAGAGGAAAACTCCCAGTGAATGCAACAGAAACCTGTTATGTGACTACAAACAGTGAGGGTGGCAAAGAAACAATACCTTATTACCTCAATTCAAACTACCCTTTGCTATCCAGTGGAGCTTTTTAAGGGTGTCTGAGGCTTATTACATTCTGGGCCTTGGGACATATTGGAATCATTGCAGGTCCACTATAATTTACTCCTTGGCACTTCCAGGAAAAAAATATCTTTTATCCTTTGGGACTTGGACTCCAGAGTTAAAACAGCTGAATCTGTGGAGATGTCCAGAACTCAGCCTGGTCCGGTTTTATTGGATGAGTTTCAGTGAGTACAGGTTGAGAATGTGGGCAATCTGCTTGGACAGGTTGGTACATCAACCTCTGTACTGGATCCTTGCCCCTTCTGGCTTATAAAAACCAGCAGGGAAGGAATTACTGGCTGGGCCATGGAGGTGACTAATGTCTCTTTGCGAGAGGAAGTGGTCTCATGTTGCCTTAAAGAGGCAGTGGTGAGACCACTTTTGAAGAAATCCTCTCTTGACCTAGAAGATAATTTTAGGCTCATAGTGAATATTCCTTTTCTAGGCAAGTTTCTTGAGAGAATGGTTGCTAATCAACTACAGGCACTCTTGGATGAGACTGAATATTTTGATCCATTTCAGTCAGGTTCCAGGCCTGGTTTTGGCATGGAAACAACCTTTAGTGCCCTATATGATGACTGATGCCAGGAGAGAGACAAGGAGTGTGACCTTGTTGGTACTGCTGGACCTCTCAGTGGCTTTCAGTCCCATTGGTCATGAGATGACTGTCTGAGTTGCGAGTGACAGGCGCTGCATTGCAGTGGTTCTGCTCCTACTTGGGGGGCTGTCTGCAGAAGGTGGTTCTTGAAGAATATTGTTCAGCCCTGTGTAATTTCCAGCATGGAGTTCCTCTGGAATCTGTCTATCTCCCATGTTATTTAACATCCACATGAAAACACTTAGTGGGGTCATCTGGCATTCTGGATGACACGCAGCTCTATTTCTCTGAGGATGTGCTCAACTGGTGTCTGGCTGCAACAGTGAAGTGGGTGAAGGTTAACAAACTGAGGTTCAATCTAGACAAGACTGAGATGGTATTGGTGGGTGGTTCATCTGACCAGATGAAGGGTATTCTTCCTGTTCAAGATGATATTGTACTCCTCCTGAAGGAGCAGGTTCATAGCTCGAGGGTGCTGCTTCATCCATCTTTGCCTCTTGAGGCTCAGGTGACTTCAGTGGCTTGGAGTGGTTTCTACCAGCTTCTGCACATGGCCTAGCTGCGCCCCCATCTGGACAGGGATAATTTAGCTCAGTAATCTATCCTAACAAATAACCATAATAATTAAAGGCACAATCCTATGCTTCTTTAGAAAGAAAAACGTTGTAGAAAAAGTTTTTTCCTGCTTAAACATGCATAGTATTGTACCCCAAGTCTGTTGCAGGAAAAATTGGCTTTGATAACTTAAAGGCACGAGTCTCCCCAAAAGAAGCAAGTGCTGTATTTGCCAAAATGTGTTTAAAAGAGGCACAAGCTATATTAATACACTCCAGTGAAACTGAAGTAGACCATCCCTTATTAAAGAGACATTGCAGTATCCAGTAGATACACAATAAACATTTTTGTTAAATAAGGCACAGTCTAAGATCCATAGATGTGACAGGTGGATGCCAAAGCCTTCTTCATATTGGCTTTTGCTTAGTTTTTATCTTTGTATCCAGTTTTGCTCTTTCTTATTTTGGAAACAATAAGGGCTTTTTTGTAGGAACTTTGGCTTTTGATGGTGTGTTATTTCAAAAAGATTGCTTTCAAAAAGGAAATAATGAGTAAACACTAATATTTGTGAAGAGAAGAAGCTGTAATTTTCCTTAATTATGACTCTGAAGTAGATGTCAATAATAATAATAATATTTTCTTACTGGTATTATTATTTATATAGCACCATGTAAACCATGTGCTCTTTCCTCAATAAGCTTATAATTTAAAATTCAGCACAGAAGACACATCAGAGAAAAGGAATTGTTCCCAAAATTGTTTTATATGACTGCATTAGAACTGCATGAATTATTTTGGGTTCTCTACAAAGAAAGGAAGGACAGAACCCACATGCTAAATATTAGCTGTCTTTATCTTTAAGATTTTTTATTAATTATACATAAACAGTACAGTTAGTACAATAGTAATGAACATAATTAATACAATAATAACAGTGCTACCTCTACCCGGACCAACAAATTAAGCCACATAATGTAAGACCATTTATTTATTTAGGTTGCTCCACTCCCACTTCTCTTCTAGTACTGCATTGACTCTGGTGATAGTTCACACCACTTTCCTTTTATTAAGACATAATCAATAAATGATCTTCAAATATTTTCAAAATCATTTTCACTTATCAGACCTTTTTTCCATTTAATATCTCAAGTTAACTTACCATTAATAGCTATATTCCAAACTTCTTTATGCCAGTTATATATTTGATAAATCACCTTTTATTTTCCAATTCCTTGCTATTTTTAACCTTACTGCTGTTAATAAATTTGTCATCAATTCTTTAATATTTTGTCCAACTTGTTCTCTAAATAATGATAATAATGTTAGTCCAAGGTCTGCTTCAATGTTTAAATTCAGTATTTTACTAATTTCTTTGAAACCACTTCCCAAAACTCATTTATATATTTACACTCCCACCAGCTGTGGAAATATGTACCCACTTCCTCCAACATACATTGAAATATTCATTATTCATATAATTTGGCAGTCTTTATCAGAGCCTATGTTGGGATGGATGTCCTAGATGAAAGTCAGTTTCTGTAGCCAAATTCTAGACAAATGTTCATGGTTGCAAAGAGGAAATCAATACACCACATCTGCCTTTGTCTGAACATATCCAGAAATAATAGTCTGATAATAATCATATTCCTCCCAAAAGCATGTTGACTGGAATTGGAAGTGTGAGTGCCTAAAAGTGCTGCTAAGCTTACACAGAGTTTTACCTATTTTATCTTCTGACTGCAGCCCTTTGGATTGCATTGACTTTTGCTTGCTGTCTGTGGAGGAGAGTAACTTTTTGACTTTTAGCCATGGCCTTTTAGGAAGGACACAAGACTATGGTCCAAGAAAGCCTACAAAATAAATGGCTTGTGCTTGACTCCTTGGATCTTTGAGTACAAGAGAAAGTGTGCTAATGGTAGCAAAAGGGGAGGCATTCATTCAGGGTAACCAACCATGCTGTTTTTTCTAGCAATGTGCTCACTGATACTCTTTTGATGCTACCCATTTGTGCCTCCAGCACGGAGCAAGGACCAACTCCTGTTGAAAAGAAGAAAAAAGGGAAGAGGAAAAATGACACTCCAGTGGACAGTCTAGACCTGGATCAAAGCCTTCTCTCACTTTCTGGGCAGAGCCCTGAGGAGTCTGCAGAATCAGCTGACAGCCAGGTATGCGTGGACCTTTCACCTTTACAGGAATGGGGAGATCTCTGTTGAAGAAAACTGACAGCTACTGTCATTATGTATCTGTGTGTGATTTCCTAACTCTGCTGCCAGCTGATGTTCCATTAGTGCCTGTTGCTTTTAGGTGGTGTCTTCTTTTATAATGAACTCTGTATGTTGATCACCCCCAAGAATGCACCTGCATGGCAGCTGATGCACAAAACCAGTAGTGTGGGAAGCTCCCAGACACTGAACATTCAATTTCAAGAGACTCTTTTCCACATTACATGACCTCTTGTAATACGGAGGAGAGTATTTGCATCTTGAAGGGAATGGTGGGTTGCTGAGATACAACTCTGAGAAAAATAAAGGTGGGTAAAAGAGATTCTAGGAAAGGGCAGTCTGTCCTGTGTGTAAACCTGTTCAAACAATTTCAGTCAGGCAAATTTTAGGTAGGCATATTCCTCGCTTCCCTTCCTGTTCCCCTCATTCCAGCACAGCTTGTGTGGACCATAGAGTTGGTGAAGAATGCTAAGAGCAGATGGTGATAGAATCACAATGAGACCTGCTGAGGAAAGGAAAGAACCGGAATAGAGAGAAAATTAGATTCACTTAGCCCCTACAGTCATATTTATCACCTATCTTGTAACTTGCTTTATGTTGGTCAGCTGTCTGGGGCCTTCTGTATGCATAGGTATGTAGCAAAGAGCCAGTTCTCCTGTCTTACATGAAGAACCAATGGTGCTAACTTTAGCACTGGATTTATCTTTGGTGTGTAGTGCTCAAAATTATGAGCAGCTGAAGTGTTTACCTGTACTACAGGTAAATATTGCTTGGATTAGTGCCCTAGTTGTGCAAGGGGTGGGCCATTATTTGCCAAGTGCTGAGTGTTCTTAATACTAGCTGGGTAAATGTTGAATCTCGGTTGAGGCATCTTGTGAGTATCTCTCCTCCCTTATCTGAGCTTGCGTTTGATATGCAGAAGCGCCGTTCTGGACGCCAAGTGAAGCGCAGGAAGTACAATGAGGACCTGGATTTCAAAGTGGTGGATGATGATGGTGAAACAATAGCTGTACTAGGAGCTGGCCGGGCTTCTGCACTCTCTGCATCTACCTTGGCCTGGCAGGCAGAGGTATGGTTGGAGGAGGAGAGAATGCAATAGCAGCATGACACATATAGAGGTGTGGTTTAATATTTACAAAAACATTGAAAGAAGAGTTGAATCTTCAATTGCACTATGGAAAAATCCATGGGGTTTTGTTAGGTGAACTGTCACAAATGAGTAAGCTTCTCCAGTTGTGGTTCTCAGGCAAGTATTTCTTGGATGTGGTGATTTAGTATAACAATGCAGTGATGATTTTTTTCTGTAATTTTTAAGCTGTTCTGAGTGTGTGGAGGGGGAAGCCAAGGAACTGACTTCTCCTCTGTGTTTCTGAGTGCAATCTAATGCATGTGTACCTAGATTTGAATTCAATGGGACTTATCCCTAAATAAACATGTATAGAATTGCAGCCTTCACTTCCCAAGTACAAATGTAACCTGACTTGACTTCTTAATATTCCTTTTTCTAGAATTTTATATTATACATTAAAATTTTGCAGAAACTAGCCATTAGAGCATATTATCTAATATAAGCAGTGTAACTGATTGCTGAAAACCTCAATTTTAATTGTAGTAACATAGAACATTTCTAGCTTCTGTTCTTAAACTCACTGTTTGCAGTGGTGGCCTTAAATGCTGGAGAGGCTTCATGTATTACTGTGTTTACATGTGAACAAAACAAGATATTAAAATAGGCAAAACAAATTTTTAAACATATATGTTGTGCAGGGATAATTCTCCAGGGAGCCTGCTTGAACTGTGGCCACCTTTGTACCTGTGATCTGAGAAGAGTATTTTGTCTGACGCATTGGCAGTCCTGTGTTCTTTTTTCCCAAGGTTCAGTAATGGTGCAGGGCAGAATTATTCTAAGGACTTGCTGGTCTTTTATTCCAGGAAAGGGAGTAAGTTCAGTATGAGAGTTTGAGAGAGTGGTTTTCCCTCTTTTAATGTGAGCATCTTCGAGGTACCAGGTGGTGCCATTATGTCAGGAAAGCTAAACTTCCTATCTCGGGATCCACAGGAGCCCCCCGAGGATGATGCCAACATCATTGAGAGAATCCTTGCCTCCAGGATGGTCCAAAAGGAGGTGAGTTTCTCTAATTTTGGAACCCCAACCAGCCTCTTCCTAGCCTGCAACACATATAATGAGAGAAAGGCTTACCGTAATGGGTAGAGTAAGGCTGTGGCAATAATTGTAGGGTAATTTGGTGGGGGTACCACTTTTTCTTGTCTTTGGGTGTAATGGCTGCATCATTTCTATGTTCTGCATACCACCTAGCATAGTACTGGCCCTAAATAAATGTTCAGAACTATTAGTCTCAGCAGATAGTTGAGGGGGAGAGAGGCCATATGTGAGGAAGAAAAGTATTCAACCAGAGCAATAAATCGCTTTTCATAGAATGATTATACGGTGTGGAGGAAGAGCAGTGCCTTGCAGGCAACATATTCTGTGTTTCATAAAACAGTGGGGTAGACCCCAGTAGTTGCATATATAATGTGGAGGGGGAGAAGATGGTATTTGTATAAGTATTCTTTCTATGGGATACACAATTTTATTTATTTATTTATCTTTAAAGAAAAGAGTTCAAAAGCGAGTTATACTTGAATGTAAGAGTGTAAGAAAAGCCCTGCTGGATCAGGCCAGCCCAGCACTCTGATCACATCACTCTGTTCAAACCAGCTGCCCACAGGATCCCTCAAGCAGGATGGGTACAAAACTCTTGCCTCCCCAAGCTCCTCAGCAACTGGTGTATGCTGGAATGCCTCCTCTGGTAACAGAGGTGGCGCATAGCCAGCAAGGCTAGTGGCCACGAATAGCCTCCTCCACCATGAATTTGTCTAATCCCCTTTTAAAGCCACCCAAATTGGTAGCCACCACTACTTTCCATGGCAGTGAATTCCATAGTTTAACTATGTATTGTGTGAAGAGGTATTTCCTTTTATCTGTCTTCCTACTAGTCAGCTTCATGGGATTACCACAGGTTCCAGTGCTATAGGAGAGGGAGAAAAAATATCTCTCATCTTTGTCCACACAATGCTTAATTTTAAATGCCTCTATCATGTTTTCACTTACTCAACTTTTTTTCTAAGCTGTACAGCCCTAGTTGTTGTAGCTGCTTGATGCTGCTGCAGCCCCTTGCTCATTTTTGTTGCCCTTCTCTACTTTTTCCAACACATTAGTGACCTTTTTCAGGTAAGGAGGTCAGAATATACACAATATTCTAAGTGAAGCTGCATTAAAAATTTGTTTATTGCAGTGGAATGTAATCTTGGCAGTTCTATTCTCTGTTCTGTTCCTAATTATGCCTAACATGGAGCTTGTCCTTTCCATAGCAGCTGTGCACTGGACTGACTTTTTCATTGAGCTGTTAATGTGCCTGCTCCGGTATCTCTTTCTTGATCAGTCGCTGCTAGTTCAGATCATGTATTTGACCTATACTTGAAGTTGGGATTTTTTTGCCCCAATATGCTTCACTTTACACCTGCTTTTGTTGAACTGCGTGGGCTGTTTTGAGCTTGGAGAGATCCCTTTGGAGTTCCTCACAATCCCTTTTGATTTTAAACACCATAAATAGTTTTGTGTCATCAGCAAGTTTGGCCATCTCACTTCTTACTTCTAATTCCAGATAATTTATGAATAGGTTGAAAGACATTAGTCTGTGGGACCCCGCTGAGTACAACCTTCTATTGGGAGAAATGGCCACTTATTATAATTCTTCTGTTCTTTAAGTAGTTACAGTATATCAGAGAAGTGAGTACACCCCTCACATTTTGTAAATATTTTATTATATCTTTTCATGTGACAACCCTGAAGAAATGACACTTTGCTACAATGGAAAGTAGTGAGTATACAGCTTGTATAACAGTGTAAATTTGCTGTCTCCTCAAAATAACACACAGCCATCAATGTCTAAACCGCTGGCAACAAAAGTGAGTACACCCCTAAGTGAAACTGTCCAAATTGGGCATTATCAGTCACTTTCTCTCCCCAGTGTCATGTGACTCGTTAGTGTTACAAGGTCTCTGGTGTGAATGGGGAGCAGGTGTGTTAAATTTAGTGTTATCGCTCTCACTCTCTCATACTGGTCACTGAAAGTTCAACGTGGCACCTCATGGCAAAGAACTCTCTGAGGATCTGAAAAAAAGAATTGTTGCTCTACATAAAGATGGCCTAGGCTAAAAGAGGATTGCCAAGACCCTGAAACTGAGCTGCAGCAGGGTGGCCAAGACCATACAGTGGTTTAACAGGACAGGTTCCCCTCAGAACAGGCCTCGCCATGGTCATCCGAAGAAGTTGAGTGCATGTGCTCAGCGTCATATCCAGAGGTTGGCTTTGGGAAATAGATGTATGAGTGCTGCTAGCATTGCTGCAGAGGTTGAAGGGGTGGTGGGTCAGCCTGTCAGTGCTCAGACCATACGCCACACACTGCATCAAATTGGTCCGCAGGGATGTCGTCCCAGAAGGAAGCCTCTTCTAAAGATGATGCACAAGAAAGCCCGCAACAGTTTGAGGATTAGTGGAACCATGTCCTGTGGTCTGATGAGACCAAGATAAACTTACTTGGTTCAGATGGTGTCAAGTGTGTGTGGTGACAACCAGGTGAGGAGTACAAAGACAAGTGTGTCTTGCCTACAGTCAAGCATGGTGGTGGGAGTGTCATGGTCTGGGGCTGCATGAGTGCTGCCAGCACTGGGGATCTACAGTTCATTGAGGGAACCATGAATGCCAACATGTACTGTGACATTCTGAAGCAGAACATAATCCCCTCCCTTTGGAGACTGGACCGCGGGGCAGTATTCCAACATGAGAATGACCCCAAACACACCTCCAAGACGACCACTGCCTTGCTAAAGAAGCTGAGGGTAAAGGTGATGGACTGGCCAAGCATGTCTCTAGACCTAAACCCTATCAAGCATCTGTGGAGCATCCTGAAATGGAAGGTGGAGGAGCACAAGGTCTCTAACATTCACCAGCTCCGTGATGTCATCATGGAGGAGTGGAAGAGGACTCCAGTGGCAACCTGTGAAGCTCTGGTGAACTCCATGCCCAAGAGGGTTAAGGCAGTGCTAGAAAATAATGGTGGCCACACAAAATATTGACACTTTGGGCCCAATTTGGACAGTTTCACTTAGGGGTGTACTCACCTTTGTTGCCAGCAGTTTAGACATTGATGGCTGTGTGTTGAGTTATTTTGAGGGGACAACAAATTTACACTGTTATACAAGCTGTATACTCACTACTTTCCATTGTAGCAAAGTGTCATTTCTTCAGGGTTGTCACATGAAAAGATATAATAAAATATTTACAAAATGTGAGGGGTGTACTCACTGCTGTGATATACTTTATCTATAAGAGGACCCCTCCCCCTTTTATTCCATGACTGCTAAGTTTTCTGAGGAATCTTTGGTGCAAGCGTTTGTCAAAAATCTTTTGGAAGTCCAAGTAAACAGTGTTTGCCAAATTGTCCTATCCACCTGCTTATTGACAAGTTAAAGAACTTCAATAGGTTAGTGAGACAGAATTTCTTTTTCAACATGGTCTATCCCTCTGCATTATCTTTAATAATGTTTTCAAGCAATTTATCTAGAACAGACATTAAGCTAACTGACTCTTTTTAACAATTGTGTTACATTGGCCATTCTCCAGTACTTGAGTACAATGGCTGACTTTAGGGACTTACTAAATATTTTGGTAAGAAAGCCAGCAATTTCATAATTAAATTCTTTAACAACTCTAGGATGGACACCATCTGGGCCTGGTGATTTATTGACTTTCAGTTTGTAAATAAGGTCAAGAATTTAATCTTTTGTCACTACTGTCTACTTTAATTCCTCCAGCTCCCTTCTAGAATATATAAGCCCAGGAACTGGTATCTATTCCACATCCTTTGTTGTGAAGACCAAGGTGGGGGGGAAAGGCTCTCTCCAGTCTCATCCTTATCCCTTTTTAGTGTGCCTCTAATTTCACCATTCAATGGTCTAACTGCTTCTTCAGCTGGTTTCTTTCTTCTGATATATTTAAAGAATTCTGTATTGTTGGTCTTGATTATGTTAGTGATTTGTTCCCCAAACTGTTTCTTTGCTTCTCTTACCGTCTGCTCACATCTGTTTTGTACAAGCTTGTGGTTCCTTTTGTTTTTGTTTTTAATCTGGACAAGACTTCCATTTCTTGAAGGAAGTGTTCTTTTTCTAAAGCTCTACTTGTTAACCACACTGGTGACTTCTTGGATTGCTACCTTTCCTCACTTGTGCCATGCAGATTATCTGTGCTTCTATGATAGAATTTTGAGTAATTTCAAGTGCTTTGAAGGGATTTAATCTTTGCTCTTCCCTTCAGCTTCTTTTAACATTTCCTTCAGTTTTGAGGTGTTTCCTTCAGGGATGATTTTAAAAGCTGCTCTGCCAGAAGTTCAGTACCAGCAGTTTGGTTCCATTCTGGTTCAGGTGGAAACTGTGCCTCCTGAACAGGCCCAGCTTGTCTCAAAATGTTCTCCAGTGCCTGACAAATCTGAAACCCTCTTCTCCGCCATTTGATCCATGCATTGAAACTCCTCAGCTGTACCTGTGTAGTTGGCCTTGTACATGGAACTGGTAGTATTTCAGAGAAAACCACTTTGGAGGTCCTGGATTTGCCTTTACTGAACTTTGGCTGGCTTTACCAGCTACAAAAGATTTAGTTGTCAGGATTCTCCTTCCCTTCTTTACTCTTTCCATCTTAAACCTTGGAGCTACAGGTGTGGCAGAAAACAGTCATGGTGATGAAAGGCAGGAGATTCATGACAAAGTATTTCTTCACACAGCAAACAGGATTCACTACCACAAGGTGAAGTGATGTCCACCAATTTGCGGAGTTTTATAAGGCAGTCCGAAAGCATGCAAATGCAAGTAGATAAAAAGGTACCACTTTGGTGAGAAGTTAACAGCATTCGGTGTTGAGTCATGCCAGCCACATGACCACGGAGACTGTCTGAGGACAAACGGGGGCTCCTTTGGCTAGGAAACGGAGATGAGCACCGCTCCCTAGAGTCAGACATGACTGGACTTAATGTCAAGAGGAAACCTTTACCGTTATAAGGCAATTAGACAACTTCTTGGAGCTATTCGACTATATATTATTAATATTAGAGGTGCTATGCCTCTCAACACCAGTTACTAGAATAACAAGTTACAAGATATTCTTGTGCTCATATCCAGTTCATGGGCATTTGACAGGCTTTTGTTGGTCACTGTACAAAGACAATGCTGGACTAGATAGGTCTTTGGCCTGATTCAGCATGCTTCTTCTTAGGTCCTTAAGCCTGCCTTCGCTAGCAGTTCAAAGCTGGAGTACCTGAGGGGCACTCCAAGCTCAGACACTGAGGTAAGTTGCTGTGCCTCTATTTCTCTCCTTTCAGCTTGGACCTTGGTTGGTTTGCCTCTGTGCCCATTGGATACCTGGAGCTTGGGCAACCTGCTGTGTGCAAGTGGAAGCCTTCAGGTGGGAGCTGATGGGAAGGCAGAGGCATATCAGCATGATCTCCCTCTATACCTGACAGGTGCTCCAAGCTCCGGATGCCCTAAGGGCAAAGAGGGAAGTCCACACTGTTCTACCTTTTGCCTCCAAGCTAAAACAGGGAGATGGAGGCATGTTGACTCACCTCTGTCTGTTGCTCCAGGTTCAGGCATATCATGTCCATCAGAATTTGGCTTCTCTCCTATTATGGTGAGAGAGACTATTGAACTCTGTATTTCTTTGCTGTACTCATTTATTATCTTGAAACCGATTACCAACTCACAGAGCTTAACTCATCAACTTTAAAATTTCAGACTGGAGTTTTTAAACTGACATAGATTTGGCAAGGGGATGATACAGTTTCTTCCTTTGTCCATAGCCTGCATTGTATAGCCTAGTAAATAGTCGGGGTCACTGGAAGATAGGCAGTCTCCCCATAAAGTACATGGAAGAAATTCTGCATTGCCTTTTCTTACTCTCTAGGAGTACTGAAAGACTTGGGAATTTCTATATACCAATTGTGTATGGGAATACAATCTGCTGTCTTCTCATCACAGGATCCTTACTTAACCCCCTCTGCTTTTCTTTCATTGTTCTATTTTGTCCTTGCAGTGTACTTAAGAAATCTGTAATATCCTGTTAATTTAGATTAGGGCTCAGGTGGGATCATACTGGCTGTGCAATGCAGTCCTAGCCTGGTTCCTGTCTTGTACAAATGATATTTACTGAACACTTGTTGTGGTTCCAGAGTTATCCTGGAGGAGCAACTTACGAACTGGAGGAGTTCTACGTAAAATACCGTAACTTGTACGTATAGCATGAGTTTTTCTCCTAAGTCCAGTGTATTGCTGTTTTGTGTTGGCTGCCCAGAACACATGGATAATTCCATCCATCCATCCTTATTGCCTTCTCTTTTTGAGGGCAACTGCCAACTCCTTGTACCTGTTCAGTTTCTGTCTTCATATTCCCTGTTTGAAGAATTGTTTGTCCTGTGATCTTTGTCATTCCTCTGCTATTCTGTTAAGAGTGGGAAGCCTGATGCCAGTAATTTGCTCTTCAAACCTACAGTTTGCCCTGAACATTCCCTCAGCCTGTGGTTAATCTCTGTTAGAAGTGGAAACTGGCTACCGCCTACAAGTAGTGTCCCCATCCCACTGGGAGGAATCTTTATCCTTCCTCCACTGATGATGTGTTAGATTTGCTTTCCCTTATTATTTGCAAGCACAATTCATTCCTGAATGTCCTTAATGATGTTCTCTACCAATTCACAGCTCTTACTTGCACTGTAAATGGGCTACAATGGAGGAGCTGGAGAAAGACCCACGAATTTCCCAGAAGATTAAACGGTTCCGAAATAAACAAGCCCAGATGAAGCACATTTTCACAGAGGTGAGCAGTGAACTTGCCAGGCTAATCTGACACCTTTTGCTCAGAATGCTTCACTTTGTCAAGGTTTCAGGAGCTGGGGAAATGTTTAGCAATGTGCATGCATGTAGGGAGCACCACTGCTGTCTTTTGAAGCCGAAATATGACTGGCTGGCACAGAGCAGTGGGAGCTTCTAGGAATGGCTGGTGTTTCTCAAGATTGGAATGGCCAGCATCTCATGATAACTATCTTTTACTTACATGCTTGCATACATACATACACAAGTATATTTTATACTTGCATTTATTAGTTTTATTAGTATAATAATCTTATTCTCAAATTCAGTATGGATTTATCTTTCTCCTGCCAGGCTTGTTACCTGTAGCTTTTTCTATGCATCCCTGGTGGGCATAAATCAGGACAATATGAAATTGAAATTGCTTTCTAACTGTAGCTATAAATCCTTGGAGCATTCAGCCCTTTGTTCATACAGGTTTTTGGCACAAATATGAAATGCTTCTGATGGAAAGTGTCACATCGTTCCCTATTGTCTAGGATGAGCAGCTGCTCCTCTGCCTGATACCCTGAGACACTCTTCCCTAGCTTCCTAGTGAGAAAGCCAATTCTGCCTTAGGTTTCTTTATTTTTAATTTTTTTGTTCCAGAGCACTTGGGGTTTTTAAAGATACACCGCTGTTTCAAGCAATCACACTTCTACATTCTTCCCTGGATTAACACCTGAGGTGGGGAGAGAGAAAGGAAACACAGGCAAGGATAAATAGTTGCTGACAGCTTAGAAATGCAGAGTGTTGCCCCAACATTATTAATAAACTGTCAGTTTATTCCTACCCTGAGAAGGATAAGGGGTGCTAGTGGCCCATTTTGATGAAAATGCAATGTTCTTGCATCTGGGACATGGCAAAGTAGGGATATGCACTGTATACAACAGCATCCTGTGAGTTCTGTGTAAAAGCATCTTACTAACAGATCAGTGGGAGCCAAGGTAGCCAGAAACCTTTTAGGAATATGATTTTGGATGCTGCTCCTTTTCTTTTGGGTAACATGCTGTACCCTGGCTGGCCTGAACAGGGTGCCTCATTTATACGTATGTTTAGGTGTTGTGGAATTAAGATGGGGGAAGGTGATTTTTTTGTAAAATAGTGATAGGGAATTGATGGCCCACTGCAGCCTCCCCCAAACCTAGTACTCGCCAGATGTAAGAAGATCCTCTTCTTAGTAGCCACCCATGTCACTTTATTTAGTGGGGTCTCCTAGAGAGGGCCACTGAAGATGGCATTCCAGTCCAAGCAGGTATATATTTGTGGAGACAATCTTTCAGGTAGGAGTTGTATACAAGCACTTTAAAAAACTATTTTTCTCACTGCCCCTCTACTCTAACTCCAGTATCTCCAACTTTCTTCAGCATGTAGCTGTCTTTCTCTAGGTCAGGGGTTGATTTGAGAAAGAACCTAGCAGAAAAGATGGTTGCAGCAGCAGCAATCCCATTTCAGGTTTCCACAATTCAAACGGTGGTGGGCAGACCTTGTTCAAAACTGGGGAGGACAGCCAGAATGGGAGAAGTTTGCATTATAAGCTCCCTGTGCTCAAATCTGAGTTATGCTATCCTTGCTTGCTATCTGGACCCCAACATAGCTCCAGATCCCCAGAAATACCCTCATACCTTGAAAGTGTATGTGTCTTTGTGCTAAAGATGTGAAGGTCTGAGGGGGAAAAACTGAAAAATGGTATGTCAAGGGGAAATGGTGATCTTTTTCTACTTTTCCATTTTTACCAGTTCAGAGGGGTGTTAGAATTGAGGAAAATCCATTTTGTTGTTAGTTGTTCTACCTTGGAAGCTTTTACATCTTTATCCAAGTCACACAGGCAAAGTTGCTCTTTTGAATTCCCTCCTTCCCAGCATAAACAGTAAAAGAGGCTTGGGCAGAATTCTCCTTTTATGTTCCTCAGCTATATAGTTCCTCTTGCTTTTGGTTTGGCTCAAGCTTCAGTCAGCAGCTGAAGCACATAGAGAAAATTCTGCCAAAGCCTCTGTGACTGAAGCCACTGATTTTCACCAGAAAATACGAGAGAGGTCCTGCCCAAGAGCCTTTTGCCTATAGCTCAGCCTGTATGGAAATAAACCAGTAGGTAGAACCAATGTTGCTCCTCCTTCAGCCCTTGAGATACAGCTTATAGTTAAAATATTTATTTATTTAGACAACTTATATGCCGCCCCATCGCATGAGCCTCGGGACGGGAAAATAGGAAAAGAAAACAAAGTAACTGACCAAAGATTAATGCTTTCTCACTGACTAGTGCAGGAAATTGACACCTGCGTGCCTTAGCCAGTGTGGCTTCCTTGTGCCCTGATCATCAGTGCTATCACTTAATGGCTTCACAAGCTGTTGTTTCGTTTCCTTCTCTTCTAATCCAATTTTAGCCTGTCTTGATGTTTCTTTGTTGTTTTGTTTCCTATTCTGCCAGCCTGATGAAGATTTGTTCAACCCAGACTATGTGGAAGTTGATAGAATCTTGGAGGTGGCTCATACAAAGGACTCCGACACTGGGGAGGTAGGGGTTGTTCTCCACATCTTATAGGCATATAAGATGACCCTTGAAACCAAAAATAGCAAAGCAAAAACTGGGGGTTGATGTATATGCCAAGTGAAAAACTTTCCTTAGTTTGTCTTTGTTCTTCCGCCAATCTTACACCATCTTCTCAGTAACGTCAAACCTTCTAGCTGCAGTACAATTACCTCTTTTGCAATTTGAATAACCTTCAGCTTGAAACAAGACCTGATGTGCCAGGGCATGGCCACTGTGGGGGAGCTTGTCCTGCATTGCATTGTGAGCCTTGTAAGCAGCGGCACGCCCAGTTCTGGATCCAGCACCTGCCCCAACCTCACCAGGATGGGGGGGGGCACTGTTCTGGACCAGTTGCACTGGCGGCTGGGAAGGGAAGCGTTCCCCATGCAGCTGTCTATGGAGAGAGACAGTGCTGCCCATGCAAACCTCTTCCCTCTCCGTGCCTGTCTGCACCGCTGATGTTCTTCCTGGCTGACTCCAGCCAGCCTCCATGCAAACCACTGTCAGCCTCCAACTTTGCTTTTATACTTCATTGTAAACCATCCAGAGAGCTTCGGGCTGACAAATATCTACTGAAGCCAACTGACTTCACTCAGGTATGTGAGAATTAATGCTCAAAAGTAAGGGGTCGTCTTATATTCCTGACATATGACAAACCCCAGAAAAACAGCCCCAAATATCAAACTTGTCTTATACACAAGTTGCCTTATACACCGGTACATATGGTAGCTGTTTGCAATGCACAGTTCTGTCCTTCCATTTCTGTGGCTGACTGTACAGTGGGCAGAGGGAGCACAGTACTGTAAAAGAGGGTTTTTCTCATCATCTGTCTCAGTTTTCAGTAGTGTTACAGTGTTGTAAATCAGTTTCTGCTGATTTAGCAAGCCCACTGCCGGAAATAAATTAAATGCAGTGATTGTCTGTGTCCAGCAATGAGTCCCTGGAGGACACTTTTCTCCTGTTGAAAATGAGAAACTGGGTACCCTACAGTTTGCTCTTGGTGCTTGCACAAACTAAGAATGAATCTTCAAGACCTCCAGGTGGATAAATAAAAATACACTTGAGAGCTTCACATGCTTCTCTCAGTCTTTTAACTGGTGTGTGGCACAAAATGATTTTTGAAAAATGTAGTTTTTAAAAAATGATTACTCTGCCTGGGTGAATAAAATCTGCAGTAGTATCATTGTAGATATTAGCATTCTCTCTCTTTTTTCCTACCCATCAATACATAAATAAAGGATGATTCCACAAAGGTGCTTCTCTTTTGAGCTGATGCACAACTACCATGGAAAATCTGTTGTGCCAGGTAGCCTCGAGCTTGAACTGGTATTGGTAGAATCCAGCTGGCAGTTCAGCACAGTCTGTTGCACAAGCATCCCACTTCATGGAAAGAGTCTTAGTGCAGTAGCAGAGCACAGACAGGCCCAGCTCCAGACCTGAAGAGGGCCTTAGCAAAAGTGTTCCCTCTTCCTGCTGGGTAGTGGTAAAAGAATATACAGGTAGTCCCTGGGTTACAAATGAGTTCTGTTCCAAAGAAAACTGAAATTCATCCTTAAGTCGAATTTGTATGTAAGTTGGATCATGTATAGTCGGCCCTCCACATTAATGGGGGTTAGGGGTGCAGGACCCTTGTGAAAGTGGAAAAACAATGAGTATCTCTAGCCCCATCACCATCACCCAAACTCACCAGTGCCTCCTCTTTGCAGCAAGGAAATGCCAGAGAGATTTCCCTCTCTCTCCTGCCCAGAGAGATGGGCAGGAAAGCATGCTTTGCAGGCCTCCCTGTACCTTTTTGCTTGTGATGCTTTGGAGGCCCTCCATCACTCCCCTTTCACTTTCCCCCTCTCTATGTTGATGATAATTTTCCACAGTAATTAAAAAAAATGTTTGTAAGTATGGGTTGTTTCATAACTCAGGGACTGCTGAAACCTGCTGCTTTTCAGCCTAACAAGCCCTTTTGTTCCACTCTCTTTTACTTGGACAGAGAATGACTGACTCCATTCTTGCAGTTGAACTTTCTATCATGATTCATCTGTGTGTTCTCAATTTATAGAGCATAATCAATGCTTGCAATATTGTAACACTTAAGGCTAAGTATTCTGAGAATGCACATTTGCTTAAGAAGCAGCTTGCAGGATCAGACTAATGCTCATCTTTCCTTCTTTGCAAGATTCTCAACAACCAACAAGTCAGCCAGTAGGCTATGACCTACCTTCTGTTCATGCTTGGGCTAAGTTATGTCTGTGCTTTATACACAGAGTCTCCTCTGCTTCAGAGTAGTGTTATGACAGCTGGCTGTACAGTTGTGTCAGGCATCATTACATCCCAGCATTCAGTTCCCATTAGTGCTGATGCGGCCACCCGCCTCCATTCCCTTTCATTTAGGCATCTGTGTAGCATATTTTTATTTGATTCAGTTTGCCTAAGCCTCTCACCTAGGCTTCCTGTGTTTCTTATTGTGTATACAGAGCAGGGTTCCCTAAGATGTACTGTCACTTGTTCTTTATCACTTTTTCTCTAAGCCAATGCTATATCTTCTTTGTTTTTCCTGAATTGCAGGAGGTGACTCACTTCCTGGTGAAGTGGTGCTCCTTGCCTTATGAGGAGAGCACTTGGGAGCTAGAGGAAGATGTCGACCCTGGGAAGATCAAAGAGTTTGAGTCTCTGCAAATCCCACCTGAGAGTAGGTCCTTGGTAAGAATAAAAGACACTTCCCCCGTGTGACTGGGGAAGGGGCATTTCCTTGTGAATGAAATGATCGCTCTGGAAGATGTTTGTAGGTAGGGCTTAACAAGTGTAATTCAGATTGCTCATCCATCTCTTCAGAGCTGCCTTAGTATTAGGTTCTCTCTGAAATAGGCACTATCTCTCAAGCAGCTGTTCCTACCCATTGGGCTCTCCGGGGGAACCTTAGGGCCACTGTGATTGATTGTTCTTGCACTCTATCAATCCATAGGAATTTGATGTGTGGAGAATCCTAGGAATGTAGGAACCTATCGTATTTTAAGTCAAATGATTGGCCTGTCTAATTCTTTATTGTCTACACTGACTGGTATTGCTTTCAGTTTTTCCATGAGGAAACATTTCCAGCCCTGGAGATGCCAGGGATTGAAATGACTTTTTGCATGCAGAAGATGTTCACTGCCATTGAGCTGCTTGGCCAGGGGTCTCAAACTCGTGGCCCGCAGAGCAATTGCCGGGATGGGTGGGGCACGGGGGAGGGGCCCTGTGGCCTTCAAAGCGCCAGTGGCGCCCGGGCCAGCCACGGGATGAGCGGCCCACCACCACCGTGGTGGTGGAATACTTGATGCGGCCCAGCCTCACCCAGACTCCACTTCCAGCGGCCCCCAGGTAAGTTGAGTTTGAGACCCCTGTGCTTGGCCTTGATTTTCTTTCTCACCCTTTGAAATCTGTGAATACATGGCTATTATTCTATAGCGAATACCATACATACACATAAAATATATCTTGCTATGGAATGTGAAGGGAGCACAGTGAAGATGTAGTTAATAGTTACAATCCATTTTGGAGATAAACTTACCAAAGGAAATGTAGTTTTTGCACCAGTCAGTGTACTCTTTTCTGGTTTTTGTTTCAGGAACGTCCTGCATCTGAGTCTTGGCAAAAGCTGGAGCGGTCTCGGGACTATAAGAACAACAACCAATTGAGGGAGTACCAGCTGGAGGGCATGAACTGGTTGCTTTTTAACTGGTATAATAGGTGAGCTGTATATAGCATAGAGGCACCTTCAGCAGATGCCATCAGTAGTATTCTTGGAGCACTCCAAGAGTTCCATTTACCTTTTGGATGCAATTGACTTATCTTTCTAATGTTGCAAGCCTTATTTCTCCCTCCAACATGCACCAGCCTTGAATTGTGTCCTTGTTAAAGATCTTTACTGTTTCACGGGAGTCTCTGAGCATACACAAAGTAGATTATGAAACCCTATTTATTCTCCTTATGAACTTGTCTGTATCCCAGTCTTGGAGGAGGTGCTCTGTGGAAACAGACATGCCTCTGTTGCACCCAATGTGTTCCCATTTGGGCTTTACACCAGTTTTGCCACTGGGCCACTGGGTCCACCTCTAAGGGGAGGGGTTGGTCTCTATTTGAAGAATCCCTCATCCCAACAGTCCCTTACAACAGCTGTAACTTCCTGCCGTTCCAAGGGTCTCCATGATCTGTGTCCCTTTGGGTAATTTCCACTGACCAGCTTGTGGCTCCCCAGTTTCACAAGCAGTTTCATCCTCTGACTCTGAATCAGTAAAAATAGCACAGTTGGCCTCCTGCAAGTGTGCCTGAGGGTTGCCAGTATGCACATGCATGACAGCTAAATCCTTCTGATTGAGGCACAGCCTATGGATGGTGTGAGGCCAGCAGAGATCTACTTGGAGTCAGGTTGCTGGAGAATGCAGCCCAAAGCAGGTGGTAAACTGCCTGCAACAGAACAAGCATTTTCAAGCTTTTAAACTGGAGAGAAAACTGCACAAAAGCTTGGAAATTACCCAGCAATCAGTGGTTGGAGTAAAAGAGGACTGGGGAAAGGTGGCATGGCCTTGTGAGGAAGAAGGGCCAGTTTTGACCATGTGGTCCGAGGTTCTTCAGTCCTGTTTTAATGACTGCTTGTGGTATTTCTTCAGGAAAAACTGCATTCTGGCTGATGAAATGGGTTTGGGAAAGACCATCCAGTCCATAACATTCCTCTCAGAGATTTACCTGATGGGTCTTCGAGGTCCATTCCTCATCATTGCACCACTCTCTACCATCACAAACTGGGAGCGGGAGTTCCGCACGTGGACAGAGATGAATGCCATTGTGTACCATGGTAGCCAGATAAGCCGCCAAATGATCCATCAGTATGAGATGGTGTATCGGGATGCTCAGGTTTGTGGTGTTCTCTCCAGCCTTGACCACTGTTTTGCTGCTTATTACTTCCATAGGGAATGTGGCCTTCAAGTCTGCTCTTAGTGCTCTAAAGTGGGTTGGTGGTGGTGGTGGAGCATCAATCGGCAAGAAAGCATTTTTGTTGCTTTTGGAAGTCTCAGTTTAGAACTGATGTGAAAGGCCAGACTGTGTGTCTGGATGTTGTAGTCAGCTCAGTGATGCATCATTTTTGAGGACCCTGAAAACAGGGTTCAGGTTGTTTTTTCCCCACTGTCAAATTCAAACAAACTACTTTACTGTGACCCCAGAAGGTGGAAAGAAAAGAGTAAACTCCTACTATCTGGAAATCTTGGGGAGAAACTTAACTTGGTATGGCCTGCTTATCCCTCAGTGAGTCAAGGTTGATTTAGTGGCACAATATTTGCAGTTACAGGTAAGCCCAGTGGATTCTGTATGGATCATGGAATTATGCTAATTTTTGGCAACTGCAGAGTATCTACAGTGAGTAGAAAATTACCGGTAGTGGCCAATTTAGTGTGACTGCAGTGCAGTGCCATGGGCTTGCCTTTAAGTGGAAATCATTGCTCCCCTTTTGCTGATTTTGTGAGTGGTGCATTTAGGCTCTAGGTACCTTGGTAAAGTTCTCAATAAATGGCCATAAAAAGTCTCATCTTTATGATCAGTCCTAGCTTGTGCACTACACAGTAATTCTCGCCTCTTTTTTTGGTATCCTCAGGGAAATCCTCTTCCAGGGCTTTTCAAATTCCATGTAGTCATCACCACCTTTGAGATGATCCTGGCTGACTGCCCAGAGTTGAAGAAGATCCAGTGGCGCTGTGTGGTCATTGATGAGGCTCATCGGCTTAAGAACAGGAACTGCAAATTACTAGAAGGACTGAAGCTCATGTGTTTGGTGAGAGTTTCTTCATTATGTTAGTCTTTTGTGGGAATCTGGCCCTGCACATGCAGGAATACCTGAAAGATGCTAATTTGGGGGGGGGGGTGTACACGCCTCTCTTTGTTGTGGCCTGTATCCAGCAGATTGCTCTGCTGTAGTGTAGCAAAAGCCCAGAGGTTCATGGTGTGCCATACAGGATTGTACTGTGTTTCAAGACACCAAAGAGAAAGTTCTGCTGGCTAGCTAGGTGCTGTGACTGTTGTGTGCACATTTGAGGCAAATACAGCACAGTGCTTCTCCACACTGTTTTTCAAACATACCCATAGTAGAGCTGCAATTTCTTGATGAAACTGTCAGTCAAACCTTGTACCTTCTGAGTGCCATTTACAGCAAGCAGCTTGAAATATTGAAATGTTTCCTGTAGGAAGATGGCTCAGAGCCATTTGGCTTGGCAAAATTATGTTTGCATATCCCTCAGATGGTAATGGTTTGAGCAGAACAGGTGCTGCTTTAAAGATACAAAAATAACCAATGACAAGCAGTCTTCTCCCAGAGGGAAAAGCAGTCTTTTTGACTGGCAGAGTGACCTGTAGTCAGCTGGCTCTGTTTAAGAAGCAAATGTCCTTCAGGGGCATAATGCAAGAAAAGCATCCAGTCTGTCCTGTTGTCTCACCAAGTGTCCTATTCCTGATTTCTCCCTGCATGGTGCATAGGAACACAAAGTGCTACTGACTGGGACACCCTTGCAGAACTCAGTAGAGGAACTTTTCAGCCTGCTCAACTTCTTGGAGCCTCAGCAGTTCCCATCTGAGACAGCCTTCTTGGAGGAATTTGGGGACCTCAAGACAGAGGAGCAGGTAAATAGGAAGAACTGCAGGATTGATTCTTGGCTGAGGCGCTGAACAGGAGGGCTCAGTTCAGTCCTAAAAGGGCACATTGGATGGAGTTTCTGATGGCTTGGAGATGAACACTCTATGGGGTCAAATCCTTGGAGCAGTAGACATTCTGTGAACAAGCAGAGCTGCATGAATCTAAGTAAACATTGGTAAAGCAGAGTTTCCCAAGTTATAGTATACCTCTTCTTCTCTTGGGCATAGTAGATCTCCATTATGGTTGACTTTTGTGCCCTAACATGATTTTCTACATGTATAACATACCTATGGAGACAGTACCCTTTCCAACATGCCTTTGCATTCAACATGTGAATGTATTTTAGCGCTCATCAACACACAGGTGTTCACATGAAATACTTTACATGTGCCCAAGAATAATTCAGTCACACTTAAATCTATGTTGCCTACTTGCCTGTTCACATACTGTTACATTTTCCACTTGCCAGTACTTACAGAAGAAGGAAATGTACAACTTTTTAGGCATATATACACACATACGTATACAGCTTTGCGTATAGCACTTGCATTCACAAGGTTTCCTTCACAGGACTGACATAAGCAAAGAAAATAAACCAGTAAGATTTAGAAGTCTCCAGTCCGGCCAGTCACCTATTCAACCAATATGCTAGGCCATACTGTGTGACTTCCCAGAGTTGCTGTCAGAGCTGACTTGATAAGCATTGTTACACATGTCCTCTCTTCTCATCTCGGCAGGTGAAGAAGCTCCAGTCTCTCCTGAAACCCATGATGCTGCGACGGCTGAAGGATGATGTGGAGAAGAATCTAGCTCCCAAACAGGAGACAATAATTGAGGTAGAGCTGACCAACATCCAGAAGAAATACTATCGGGCCATCCTGGAGAAGAATTTCAGCTTCCTATCCAAGGGTGCTAACCAGCACAACATGCCCAACCTCATCAATACCATGATGGAGCTGCGCAAGTGCTGCAACCATCCCTACCTCATCAATGGTAAGGAGTGGGGCTGGAATATGCACACCTCAGCACACTTGGCCCACTGTTTTTTTGCCTATCATCAGTAGTCGGGGGAACTGTCCTTCAGGACCTTCTTTCTAATAGATGAATGGGGTTTTCCTTGGATGGTGATGCCATTACTACTATGAGTTTTTATTTGTATCTATGTAGACTGGCAGTGCTAAGACACTGCTATCAGTCAGTGCCTACAGTTGCCAGAAGGACCAGTTGCTGATGAGTCAGAGATGGAGTGGGGGTAAACATGGAAAGAAAGTCTGCCTGCATGTACCTATGGGGTGGCTAGGAAGGGTCTCCTGTACCCTTGTTACGTCTCCTTTACAAAGCCTCATTAGGCAGCAAATAAATCCAAAGCTCTCCACTTGAAATGAAGTGTGGTAGGAGTGTTTTTGAGTGTTGCTTACAAATCTGAGCCCCTAGTGAATTTCTGCCTACCATCTTTCTGGGGCAGGGGCAGAGGAGAAGATCCTGGAGGATTTCCGTAAAACGCACAGCCCAGATGCTCCTGACTTCCAGCTCCAGGCGATGATCCAGGCAGCAGGCAAGCTGGTGTTGATTGATAAGCTGCTGCCGAAGCTGATTGCAGGCGGGCACAAGGTGCTGATCTTCTCCCAGATGGTGCGCTGCCTTGATATCCTGGAGGATTATCTCATCCAGAGGCGGTCAGTACAGCCCAGAAGCTTGCACCACAGAGAGCACCTGGATCAATGATACTCTTCCAGAGCATGCCAAGCCAATAGGCTGTGCTGTCATCTTCCCAAAGCACACATATGTATTCCATTTTCTTCTCACCCTCTGCCCAGGTCTCTTCTTCATTCCCATATCTTTTTCTTTCCCCTTGAGTTCTCTTATATGCACACTGTTTCTCACCTTTTCCCTTTGAGGGAGGAAGTGAAGGGCTGCATTGTGAAAGCAAGAGCAAACTCTGAGCTCTTGCATCTCACTTCCCTGCATCCATTCACTCTGGTGCATGTGTGTCTCAGTTTGCTCTGACCCAGTGCCATGGAGGACAGCAGTTCCTAGACCATTTGGTGCATAAAGGGGAAGAACCATAGCTCAGTGGTAGAGCAACTAGAAGGTCCCAGTTCTCTACCTGACCCCCCAAGTTTTAAAGAGATCAGATAGCCAATGATGTGACAGTCCTTTGGCTGAGACATTGTAGAACTTCTGCCAGTCTTAGAAGGAGGTGTTGGACTGTGAACAAACAGTCTTAAACTGGCATAGGGCAGTTTGATATGTTCCTAATTAAGAACAGACCAGTAATTCCCATATCTTTGTAAAACTATTAAAAGCCATGTGATATCTTAAAGAACATGCACATTTATTTTGACAGAAGCTTTTATGGAGTAGAGTCCACTTTGAAGAAATAGGTGCTAGTCCATGAAAGTCTTTGTCAAAATAAATGTCTTTTCCATAAGACTCCACAAATCTTTGTTGTTGTTGCACACACTCTTTGATCAATGCAATTGCTTCCTCCTCGTATGCAGTGTATTGCTTTCTTTGTAGTGCATGTCATTCCTTCTATGTGGACTAGGCACTGCTGCCTCAAAAGCACCACCCAGGCAGAGTTCTAGTCTCTGGGCTGTGTTGTTACAAGTATCATCAGGAATCTTAACCTGAGGCTGTGATTGTAATGTGTGAAGAAGGCTGTTAAAGTAGTATCAGAAGTAGCATAAGATCCAGAGTCACAGCTGGGAAAATCCTGTGCATTAGGGTGTGTGGCTGCCACTTAGTATATTGATTCTCGAACCTAGGAATTTAAAGTATTTTTCAGAGTTACATAACATTTGTGCTCAAAAATGTATAGAATTTCCTGTCCTTTGCAGTGGTAATCTGGCTGCAGGAAAACTTTTTGAATATTCATACCCTCTCAAAGAATGGGAGGGGAGGGGGAGGGGCGAGGGAGATCCTGGCCTTGACTTGCTAATTTGCTCACTGGGGTGACTTTTTGTGCTACAGCACTAGCTGTCCCGAGAGCTCTTGTTCCGAGAGCTCTTGTTAGCATCGTTGCACTTCTAACATTAGCTAGAAATTGGCTATTTTGCAACATCTCTGTGATCCTATTTTTGCATTTTTCAGTACCACCCAAAGTCTTGAAGGCAAATGAGGGCTCTGGGTGAAATTACAAAAGTACTTGTAGAATATCCTTCTCAATCTGGTCCCCTCCAGTTGTGTTGGACCACAGCTTCTGTCATCCTGTATGAAATGATGAGAGTTGCTGTGCAACAAATCTGGAGGGCAGAAGGTTGGGGAAGGATATCCTAGAGAGGAGGAGGAGAAACAGTAGCGGGAGGAGCCTTGTCCTGGGTAGCGGCAACATGTTAGTTATGAGCAACTGCTGCCAGAATAAGTTATATATGGCCTTTTTGTTGTTCCATGGAAAGATGGGTGCTGCAGTTTAGCACATCTAGAGGGCACCAGTTTGGGGAAGACTGCTATAGGATATTAATTTGAGTGACACCAGTTTTGATTATATTTTATAGCACTGCAAAGCGATGGTTGTTTGGGGCATCTCCTATCCCCTGTGCATGTGTCTTAAGTACGATGATGATAAATAGTTTAGTACTTTATTTCATAGTTTCAAAGCATTTCATGCAGAACCCTCAAATGTAGGTTCAGCAGTATTCTCTCCTCATATTACAGATATTGGACAGGAGTTAAGAAATATTGTCATGCCCAAGGCTTCTCAGGAAGCTCATAGCAGGCACAGGATTAGAAAAAGGGATGGTCAATTAATATCCAGTGTTCTGTACTGAACTTCAGTAATGGAGTTCAGTACCATCACAGCTCTGTTCTACCTTGGGCACAATTGGAGACAGAAGACTCTGATACTGTGGTGCTACTGTTCTTGTGTGTGTGTATGTCTGTGTGTGTGTGATACTCCCAAAGTGACATACTTCCTCTTGTTTACACAGATACACCTATGAACGTATTGATGGGAGGGTGCGTGGGAATTTACGCCAGGCTGCCATCGACCGCTTCTGCAAGCCGGATTCAGACCGCTTTGTCTTTTTGCTCTGTACACGGGCTGGGGGGCTGGGTATCAATCTTACTGCTGCTGACACCTGCATCATCTTTGATTCAGATTGGAATCCACAGAATGACCTGCAGGTACAGGCAACAGGCTTGGGATGAGCACAGAAGGTTCAGAGGGTTGGCTAAACTGGAGAGCCAGTGCTTTCTCTGGGTACAGGTTATGTAATGTATGTATATAGAAAAAATGAGAATTCAGAAGCAGGGCTGGTTGAATGTGTGTTATGTTTCAACACTTTCCAAACTTTAAAAAGCATTACTTTGTTTTTTCCTGTGTCTGCATCAGTTTGCAATTTCTTTAGCAAAACATTTCTACAAAAATTCTTATGCATTGGGCACACATTGCTTTGAATTTGTGAAATTTTGTTTGTGCATGGTTTTGCTTCTGTGCACAATTTTGTACACATTTTTAAAAAGCAGGAAGTATAGTGTAAAATGTAGAGATATGTGAAAATTGAGGGGTAATTGCATTCCCATTCACATAGATTAGCCCATGTACTGTAAATTAGGCTGATTTGTACTTAAAGGCAAACCAGATTAATTTTTCCTCTAACTCTACTTGGAAGGCAATGTTGCTTGAAGGGGCATGAACCACAAATACTAATCTCTTCCCCATTCATAATTAGGGCATCTATTATGGCTGTATATGCATTTTTAGGTTTCAGCTATACATGTGTTTCTGCTTTTCAGTGAGCATTGTTTTAATAAATATAATTAAAAAATAAAACTAAGTCCTAAAATACTTAATTCTGGAAATACTTTGATATTTGAGTGTATGCTTTTGTCCAGGTATCTTGTATTGTAAATTTTGCATTGGCTTCATCCAGATGTATTGAATTTATACACTTATGGTTTTGGTAGTGTCATAGGTGAGGAAGGGGAAGAACTCTCCTTATTGGACCCCCTCTTCTGCCACCTCTCTCCTGAGTGATGTCTTTTTTCTCTGTAGGCACAGGCTCGCTGTCATCGGATAGGGCAAAGCAAGGCAGTGAAGGTCTATCGTCTTATCACCAGGAATTCCTATGAACGGGAGATGTTTGACAAGGCAAGCTTGAAGCTAGGATTAGACAAAGCAGTGCTGCAGGACATCAACCGGAAGGGGAGCAACAACGGGGTAAGGGGTCCTTGAAAAGCCAGGGCCATGGGGCCTGTGCTGATCTTCATTCCTTTTCTCTCCAAAGAGATATTCAGTGGCAACCTAGGTTTTAAAAGTTGCCTGAGTTCCTGTCCTTTGTGTATGTTAGCCAAGCTCAGGGTCGGTCTGTCTCTCTGGAAGGTACAGCAGCTCTCCAAGATGGAGGTTGAAGACTTGCTGCGAAAAGGAGCTTATGGGGCTCTGATGGATGAGGAAGATGAAGGCTCTAAGTTCTGTGAGGAAGATATTGACCAAATCCTGCAACGCAGAACCCAGACCATCACTATCCAGACTGAAGGAAAAGGGTCCACATTTTCCAAGGTTTGTATGTGCTGTCTTAGGGATGGGGACAAGCTGGCTAAGCATTCAGTGTGAGAAATGCTTCTTTTCTCTTCAGTAGGGTAATGGCAAAGAGCTGAATTGGAATGGCAAGAGTCTCAAGCTGTTGCCCAGCCCTGCTGTTTTTGAAAAGCCTTCTCTGCTTCTGACCTGCAGAAAGTTTTTATAAAAGTTGGACTTTTCTTGCCTTCAAGCCCCACTGTATCCGCAGTTAGGATCTTTCAGACAACCAGTATTCCACCTTCTTCCTGTCACACTGTTGATGACTAGCTGTTTGAGAAGTACAGTGGAGTTGTGAAGACAGGCTTCTGAATAGAAATTGTAGTTGAGCAGGGGCTACCTGCAGCAAAGAAGGGAGGAGAATATTCTGACAGGGATAAATGGTTAGATAAGGTAACTGGACTTGTTTCTGTCTTGCAGCTGTCTTCTGACTCTGCTCCAGCCATGTTCCCTCTCTTCTATATACTAATGAGATTTTTGTACAGAGATTGCCCTCTTCAAAGAAACCTTGATAAAACACAGCCTTTCCCAATGTGCTGTTCTCCAGATGTTTTGGCATTCAATTCATGTTAGCCTGGACAGCATGGCCAATGATCAGAAATACTGGGAACTGCACTTCAAAACATTGGGAAAGGACCAGGTTGTAGGAAGGTTGGTTTATCATGGTGTGCAAACTAGAAACATGTGGATTTTGTTCATTCCTTCAGTGTCTTTAGTTCCATCATCTACTCCTTGATGGAACTGGATTTTTTAGAGATGTTCAAGAATTTCATTCCTTTTTTGTAAGTATGCACATGAGCTAATATGCAGAATGTAAACAAGGAAAAGAAAGTTTACATTCCCCTTATCTGTGTCTGCATTGGTTCCCTGAATAGACCAAGGGATGACTTATGGGCGTCCAACATTTTATGGGTGAGCAACACGCCATTTCTTCTTCCTGAGAACAAAAGACAATGCTTCTTGCCACACATTTTATAAAGTTCCTCTCTCCCCTGTTTCAGAGGCTGCCAGTAGTCACAGGCTAAACCTCCGCTTCCCAGGAGACAGGAGAGGGATGAACCTGCTTCAGTAAAGCAAATGATTTTCATTCTCACAGCAAAAGCAACCTTAATCTAAGGAGTGTACTTCAAGAAAGCAGCTTCAAGGCAATTTCGCTAGTGTTCTTCTTGAGTAGTGGACATTTGTAAGGTGTAGGCCGGATTCCAGAAATTTATCCTGGCTTTGGAAAACTGGGAATGTTCATTATACAACTTTTCATTACCTCCTTGCTATTCTTATGTTACAGCCTATCCAATACAGTTGCCCATCCCTGTTTCAGAGTAAGAAATAAAGGCAAAAATAGCAGCTAGCTAGCTCTTCAATGTAGCTTGGCCCTCTGTGCACTTTCATCTAGCTGCTGGGCATGCCCTAATTCAGGGGTGGGGTTATTTGGGGATTTTAGCTTCCACCAGCCCAACCAGCATGTCATATGGGCGTTGGAGTCCAACAACATCTGGAGGGTCACTAGTTCCCCACCCCAGCTCTCAGGTTAAAGCACCATATTCTCCATGCCCTCTGCTGTTATGAGTTTTGTCAGAGTAAACATGCTGTTGTGGCTCTGCAGAAGGGGCTTCTATGGGTGTCATGGTTCATTAACTTTGATTTCACTCCTAGGCCAGCTTTATTGCTTCTGGAAACAGAACAGATATCTCATTAGATGATCCCAACTTCTGGCAGAAATGGGCAAAAATAGCAGAGCTGGATACAGATGCAAAGAATGAAAAGGTAATTACAATGTTACTGTTCTGGAAACACAAATATAGTGTATGCATACTCAGACAGCTGTTTGCAGAGAGCTCTGCTAACTTCTGAGTTAGGATTAAAAGTTATATTGAAACTTTGGATCACTGTTGGTACATTTGGCAAAGTAATATAAGAACCTCTTTTACAACTCTTGATCTTGCCATTCTTGTCCTGAATCTGCTATCATAGAGGCCATCCTGACACTACAGGTTCTTGCTTAAGTCTGTAGGCTATGGATTGGCCGGTATGAACAATATGATTGATCCCATCAAGTGGGGCTCAGCAGCGCAATCCAATCCTGGGCTCAGGATACCAGCGTCTAATAATATTATTGAGCAGGTAGCTTTGAATAGGAAATTTGTAGTAGTTTTAAGTTTATGTCTGTGTTGTATGAGGGGGGAGCACTGGAAGTTAAGGCCTGTCCTTTTTGTGGCCTGTATCTGGTTTCATTCTGGCTTCTGGAAGGTATTCGTTTTTCTTGTGTCTTGCTATTAAATGGCTATTCCAGTGGTTTTCTTTCTAAGGAGTTGATCAGGTCAGTGCTGCCTTAGCTTCAGCAGTGCTTGGAATATCAATTACTCTTAATTGTTCACTAAGGCAAGCTTCACAGTTTCTTCGCATCCTAGCCTATTTTCGTAATGTTGCAAATTCAACTTTCCTAAGTCTTTCTTTTAGGTTAAGAACTCTATTTTTAGTGCATATCCATTTGTATGTGCTTCCCCCACTGCCTGTCTTGTGTGTGTGTGTGTGTGTGTGTGTGTGTGTGTGTGAGAGAGAGAGAGAGAGAGAGAGAGAGCGAGCGCGCGCGCGCGCGCGCGAGAGCGAGCACGTGCGCGTGCACACGAGCTGTATCCATTGGTTTAGCTTTGGGATGGTTGTCCATGTTTAATACACTAATATATTTATTTGGAAGTAAGTTTCATTGATTTTAAATGCAAGAAATCTTATTTAGGGTTGCAGTCTTTACTGACAATACAATATAGAAGATGTTGATGAAGTACAGGTGCATTCTCACACATAGACTGACCCTCCCTCCCTCCCTCCCTCTCTCTCTCTCTCTCTCTCTCTCTCTCTCTCTCATAAAAGCTGTCCAGTGAGGATGGAATAGTATAATTTAAAAATCAGTGCAAAAATTAGAATTTTTAAAGCAAGTAAATATAATCATCTTAAGATACATAGCAAAACAGAGCACAATGATTGAAGTTGGTTAAATTTCTGAACAAAGCTGGCACAATTTTTAATGGCTGATCATGTGATACTTTTTTCAATTTAAGCCAGTGTCTAAACTGAGCATTAGATGCAGTTTGTACTCAGCTTCCATACTTAGTAATTTAGATATTCAGTACTGTGAAATCAAATCAACTGACATTGTAGGAATGTAAAATTGAAGTGTATAATTAAGTCTTTTCTTGAAAAACTGAGCTACTATCTTTTTTTCCCCCTTTCTGATTTCTTTAGCATTGCTGTTATTAAAGTGGAAAACCTGCACAGGCCAAGGCAAACAGCATGCACCACAGGGGAACCTTGTTATTGCAGCAAGATTATATTTCTCTTAAATTTGGTAACATTTCTAGCAGATATTCACCACTTGGGGTGAAGATACTGCTGCATTCAGATTTTATAAGAACTGTTTTTATGAATTAAGTATTCATAAATTAATCCATAATTAATCCATGGATTCTTAACATTCTGGCAGTGAATGTTTATCCTTTGTGTCTTTAAACCCAAACCAACAGCTGTGTTTTTTTCCATAGGGACAGGGGATGAAAGGAAACAATCCCTTTGTACTGTGCTAGGGAGAAATGCAGTCAGTGATCCAGCCTTTGGATTTTGGCAGTCCTGTAGCCTTTCATTGTCCTTCTCCAGTGCTGGCATGAGTTGTCTCAAATAAATTTATCCTCACCCGTGCAATCTGTACTCTGCCAGAGGCAAGATGGTTGTGTCTCTAGGAGGATGCAGTCTTTCCTCCTCTTTATTGCTTGCTTTTCAGGCATTTGCTGTCATTAAAGGCAGAGGAGCAGTCTTCCCTCCCTCCCTCCCTGTTTTCAAGGCTAAATTTTAGCCTTGAGATTTTTTTTCCTGTCAGTAGTGGCCATCTGAAGCATCAGTCTGCTCCAATCACTACATCCAGGCTTTCTAGCTAGGAACGTGGAAGACAAAGAATGTAGATACTGCATATTTTGGTAGGGAGGGAGAGAGAACTGTTTCTGCACCCGGAAGAAAAAGAAAACATATGTGGTCTTCTTCTCTAGGGCCCAGACATTGTGCCCACTTGTTCAGTCAAACAGCTGGTTCTCTCTGCTCTGGCTTCCTGTGGCAGAAGCCGTCATCTGTGATGTTTGCTTCGGTGTATACCCAGGGGTCCTGCTTTCTAAAATTGCAGCTTGGGCAGCAACAGCCACCATGGCAGAAGGGGGCTTAGACAGCAGTAAAGGGAAAATTGCTAAGCAACAGACCACAAAGAGTTTTTCTTCTTTTTTGCTGCCATAATAGTGAGGTTCACATATACAGCTATGAACGTGGGTGGAGAGCATTGGGAAATGGTATGATAAATAAGCAAGAAGGTGGGGGTAGTAGCACAAGCTCCATCTTATGTCTGGCCAGCTCTGCATGCAAATAGATTTACCAACTCATGCTCAATCTTTTACTAAGAAATAAATAAATTGGCATTTACTTTTTGAAAACCTATAAATGTACCATTTCGGAATCTGATTTCTAGTTGCTGGATTCTCAGGAGCAGTTTTTGCCTTTTTCTAATTAAAATTCACCTTTCTAAAATAACAGCTTTGACAACAGCTACAGTACAGATCCCAAAGTTAAGTCAAGTCTGAATGCCAGTAAGACAAAATGCCTCAGTTCAGAAGCATAACATGTTTGTATAGTACACAATTCAGAAATCACAGTGTTGTAACAATATAAAAATAATGTGTATTTTTATGTAAGATCAAAGTGTGAAAATAATGTATATTTCAAGGTGGAAGTGGGGGAGGAGGTGTTGAGCCTAAGGCATATGGAATCACCTACACGAAAAAGGTGTTAACTTTAAAACCAACATTATTATTATTAGTAGTAGTAGTAGTGTTGTTGTTGTTAGTCACAAAGTCGTGTCCGACCCATCGTGACCCCATGGACAACACTCCTCCAGGCCTTCCTGTCCTACACCATCTCTTGGAGTCCACCTAAGCTCACACCAACTGCCTCAGTGACTCCATCTAGCCACCTCATCCTCTGCTGTCCCCTTCCTCTTTTGCCATCTATTGTTCCCAGCATTAGGCTCTTCTTTAGGGAGTCCTTCCTTCTCATTAGGTGGCCAAAGTATTTGAGTTTCATCTTCAGTATCTGGTCTTCTAAAGAGCAGTCAGGGTTGATCTCCTCTAGAACTGACCGGTTTGATCGCCTTGCAGTTCAGGGGACTCGCAGGAATCTCCTCCAGCACCACAATGCAAAGGCCTTAATCCTTTTGCGTTCAGCCTTGCTTATGGTCCAGCTTTCACAGCCATACATTGCAACTGGGAAAACCATAGCCTTGACTATACACACTTTTGTTGGCAGGGTGATGTCTCTGGTTTTTAGTATGCTGTCTAGATTTGCCATAGCTTTCCTCCCCAGGAGCAAGCGTCTTTTAATTTCTTGGCTGCAGTCCCCATCTGCGGTGATCTTGGAGCCCAGAAAATAAAACCTGTCACTACCTCCATTTCTTTCCCATCTATTTGCCAGGAAATGAGAGGACCGGATGCCATGATCTTAGTTTTCTTAATGTTGAGTTTCAAGCCAACTTTTGCACTCTCCTCCTTCACCCGCATCAAGGGGCCCTTTAGTTCCTCTTCACTTTCTGCCATGAGAGTGGTATCATCTGCGTATCTGAAGTTGTTGATATTTCTCCCAGCAATCTTAATTCCAACTGGTGATTCATCTAACTCCTCCGTTCTCATGATGTGCTCTGCATATAAGTTAAATAGGCAGGGCAACAGTGTACAGCCTTGCCAAACTCCTTTCTCAATTTTGAACCAGTCAGTGGTTCCGTGCCCAGTTCTCACTGATGCTTCTTGACCCGCATATAGATTTCTCAAGAGACAAATAAGATGGTCTGGTACTCCCATCTCTTTAAGAACTTGCCACAATTTGTTGTGATCCACACAATCAAAGGCTTTAGCATAGTCAATGAAGCAGAAGTAGATGTTTTTCTGGAACTCCCTAGCTTTCTCCATGATCCAGCATATGTTGGCAATCTTGATCTCTAGTTCCTCTCCCTCTTTGAAATCCTGCTTGTACTTCTGGTAGTTCTCGGTCCATATACTGCTGGAGCCTAACTTGTAGGATTTTGAGCATCACTTTGCTAGCATGTGAAATGAGTGCAATAGTGCGGTAGTTTGAACATTCTTTGGCATTGCCCTTCTTTAGGATCGGAATGTAAACTGACCTTTTCCAATCCTGCAGCCACTGTTGAGTTTTCCAAATTTGCTGGCATATTGAGTGTAGTACTTTAACTGCATTGTCTTTTAGGATTTCAATAGCTCAGCTGGAATACTGTTGCCTCCACTAGCTTTGTTGTTGCTCAGACTTCCTAAGGCCCATTTGACTTCACATTCCAGGATGTCTGGCTCGAGGTCAGTGACCACACCATCGTGGTTATCAGGGACGTTAAGCTCTTTCTTGTATAGTTCTTCTGTGTAATCTTGCCACCTCTTCTTAATCTCTTCTGCTTCTGTTAGGTCCTTGCCATTTTGGTCCTTTATCATGCCCATCTTTGCATGAAATGTTCCCTTCATATCTCCAATTTTCTTGAAGAGATCTCTGGTCCTCCCTATTCTGTTGTTTTCTTCTATTTCTTTGCACTGTTCATTTAAGAAGGCATTCTTATCTCTTCTAGCTATTCTCTGGAATTCTGCATTCAATTGTTTGTATCTTTCTCTTTCTCCTTTGCCTTTCTCTTCCCTTCTTTCCTCAGCTATTTGTAAAGCTTCCTCAGACAACCATTTTGCTTTCTTGCATTTCTTTTTCTTTGGGATGGTTTTAGTTGGTACCTCTTGTACAATGTTGCAAACCTCCATCCATAGTTCTTCAGGCACTCTGTCTATCAGATCTAATTCCTTAAATCTATTTGTCACCTCTACTGTATATTCAGCAGGGACATGATTTAGGTCATACCTGAGTGGCCTAGTGCTTTTCCCTACTTTCTTCAACTGAAGCCTAAATTTTGCAACCAGAAGCTCATGATCTGAGCCACAGTCAGCTCCTGGTCTACTTTTTACTGACTATATGGAGCTTCTCCATCTTTGGCAGCAGAGCACATAATCAATCTGATTGCTGTGTTGACTGGTGATGTCCATGTGTAGAGTCGTCTACACATGGGTTGTTGGGAAAGAGTGTTTGCTATGACCATCGTATTCTCTTGACAAAATTCTACCAGCCTGTGCCCTGCTTCATTTTGTACTCCAAGGCCAAACTTGCCTGTTATTCTTGTTATCTTTTGGCTTCCTACTTTAGCATTCCAATCCCCCATGATGATAAGGACATCATTTTTGGGCGTTGATTCTAGAAGGTGTTGTAGGCCTTCATAGAACCAGTCAACTTCAGCCTCTTCAGCACCAGTGTTTGGGGCATAGACTTGGACTATTGTGATGTTGAATGGTTTTCCTTGGATTCGAACTGAGATCATTCTGTCATATTGGAGATTGTATCCCAGTACTGCTTTCCCTACTCTTTTATTGACTATGAAGGCTACTCCATTTCTTCTGAGGGACTCTTGCCCGCAGTAGAATACCTGATGGTCATCTGAATTAAATTCACCCATTCCTGTCCATTTTAGTTCACTGATTCCTAAGATGTCGATGTTCAGTCTTGTCATCTCTTGTTTGACCACATCCGCCTTGCCTTGATTCATGGATCTTTCCAGGTTCCTATGGAGTTTAGATCTTTGCAGCATTGGACTTTCCGTTCACTACCAGATACATCAGCAACTGAGTGTCCTTTCAGCTTTGACCCAGTCACTTCGTTCTTTCTGGCGCTACTAGTACTAGCCCTCTGCTCTTCCCCAGTAGCATATTGGACACCTTCTGAGCTGAGGGGCTCATCTTCCGGCGTCCTATCTTTTTGCCTTTTGGTACTGTCCATGGGGTTTTCATGGCAAAGATACTGGAGTGGGTTGCCATTCCTTCTCCAGTGGATCACGTTTTGTCAGAGCGCTCTGCTATGACCTGTCCGTCTTGGGTGACCCTGCACGGCATAGCTCATAGCTTCATTGAGCTACACAAGCCCCTTCGCCACGACAAGGCAGTGATCCATGAAGGAGATTATTATTATTATTATTATTATTATTAGTAGTAGTAGTAGTAGTAGTAGTAGTATATTTCATTTCTACACCACTCCACAGACAAAGCTCTCAAAATTCTATGTGAGTACTAAATAAAATGGAATGGTCAATGGTTAACACAAATTGGATCCTTGCGTTAATTAACTCTGATAGAACGATACCATAATAGACCTCTTGATATCCTAAGTCATGAAATGAATCTAGTCCCTCAATATGAATAGTGAAAGGGCTAGCTGTCCTTGCTGTTTTGGATGCAGATTTAAAGCGTTATCTCTGTGTTGTTTTACCGCCCAGGAGAGCCTTGTGATTGATAGGCCCCGTGTCCGCAAACAGACCAAGCACTACAATTCCTTTGAGGAGGATGAGCTTATGGAGTTTTCTGAGCTAGATAGTGACTCTGATGAGCGGCCCACTCGCTCACGGCGTCTCAATGAACGAACACGTCGCTACTTAAGGGCAGAGTGTTTTCGTGTGGAGAAGAATCTACTTATATTTGGGTGAGTGTCTATGTTCTGTCTTCCTTGAGAGATCACTCCCAGATTATACTACAGTTCTAGCAGATTTTTTTATATTTAAGAAGGTGGGTGCTTTTTGGCTTGGCATCTTTGGAGTATTAAAATTGGAAAAGCTGTCCAATCTTTCCCAAATAATTATAATGTTTTCCTCAATTTCTATAGGGAAGTGTTTGGATGGAATAGTGACTTCTGTGGCTCAAGGTTCTTGTTGATTCTTTAGCTGCCTCTCTCCCAGTTAATGCCCCAAAGTTTTGAGGGTGATTTAGATTTCCCTGGAGGAGGACCTCCATGTGGTCTGAAGTACATTGGATCATTTTTTTTTCATTTTATCTATCACCTGGCCTTGAGACATTCCTTGAGGGGTTTCTCTTTGCCCATTGCACTACTCATTTTCATTGTCAAGCTTCTTAGTTTGTGCCATTTCCTTTCCTTGGTAGCATGGTGGGGTTTTCTGATACTTTCCAGTAAAGTGTAGAATATGAAAATGCTGGAGAAATTTCAAGAGTCCTTATGATACACCTCTTGTTTTTCAAGTTGGGGGCGCTGGAAAGACATCTTGACCCATGGACGATTTAAATGGCATCTTAATGAGAAAGATATGGAAATGATCTGTCGAGCGCTCCTGGTCTACTGTGTCAGACATTATAAGGGAGATGAGAAAATTAAGAGTTTTATCTGGGATTTGATCACTCCAACAAAGGATGGACAGAACCAGGCCCTGCAGAACCATTCAGGTACCCAATTCATTTTGTTGCATTATTGAATCATTTTCCGTAAGCTGCGGCTTAAATTGCTAGAAGACACACTGACCTAGTTCTGCACAAAATTATGCACTAAGAAACATTTAATTCTGCAATCTGAATATTTTGTGTATGTTAGACAAAAACTTCTGCTAGTTGTGGGGAGGAAGAAGCTTATGAACCCCACTTCTGCCTTCTGAAAGGGTGTCTGTCTGGCTGTCTCCATAGCCCTCATAATCTGCACATCTTTGCTTAGAAAATAAGTTAAACCTGAGGTATTCAGAATACTGGATTTTCTTCTTGATACCAAACTGCATGCTTCTCCTGATAGGAATGATGGGATAATTATTTTATTTGGTGTAGGAATTTCTTTCCCACCTCTCTAATGTCTATGCATCTGCCAGGATGGTGTGCAATATATTAAAAACATAGTGTAACATTGTAAGCATTCAGTAAAAAAAAATCCTAAAAATACAGCACAGAAAGGGACTCTAGATGAAATACAATAAATGCATTAGCAAATAAATGCATTAGCAAAATAATAAAAATAAAACATGTATTTACATATGTATTTCTAGCCTATTCCATATCTAGGCCAATTCCAGGACTCAGCAATGTAAACCATTGTCAAAAGGAACATGCCTTAAGCAAGTGCTGAAAGGCAACTTGGAATTCAGCTGAGTTCATGAGCAAGGTCTTTATAAAATTGCTGCAGCCACTTTTTTCTAGCCTCCATGCATTTACAAGCACGACTTCCATGCAGAGCCAGCTCTTAAGAAACATATTAAAGCTTTAACCAAGAGACTCAGTTAGCACTTACTTCCCTTCCCCCTAAGAGCTGCCTTTGCCTTGAGGGGTGGAATGAGCACTTCCCTGCCGAGGTCTTTTCTGACCATTGCATGTCCAGTCTCGTGGAATCTGTTTCATGCTGCTTGGTTTGAGGGCTTAGTCTTTTTTTTAGGAAGAGACTCCTTTGCTTTTCTTCCCAGGTTACTGTAGTGGATGTTATTCCTTCTCTTTATGTTCATTTCTTCATCTCCCTTTGGTTACCCGTGGCACAGTGGACCTGTGTTTTGCAGCCTTGCTGTTGCAGAGGTAAATGCCTGCTTGTTAGTGCTGCTGCTATGACTGTCCTTCTTCCTTTCTTCCCAAGCAGACTAGGACAAAGACTTAAATACAAGGCTTTATAATGTTAGCGCTGACTAGGCTGGCTTTGTAGTACATAAGAAGAGCAAAAGAAACAATAAAGTTAGAATCCTGTCATTAGGGAAATACTGTTATTGATGAGAAGTTGATCGCAAACTTCTGCCTGCTCCTCTGAGTCAGAACCTGTTAAAAGCTCTGCAGGCTGTTGTGTAGGAGGAGTGAGCTGCATTCTGCTCCTAATATCAAATCATGTCTTTCTCATGAGCTTCTGTAGAAACCCCAAATACTTTCATCTCTAAGTACAGTCCATAACTGAGACCAAACAAACTCTTCCCTGTTTGAATAATTCTCAGGATAACACACGGGCTAAGTGCTACAGAAGTCAGCATCCCCTTTTTGTTAAAATTTGGGGGACATGAGTAATGCTACTTACTTGAGTTAAGATGCTTAAGCGTTGCATTCTGTGGAGTTCTGGGCAGCAGTTTTGGTCCAAACAATAACTTGCTCTCTCTCATGTTTCCCCAAGATATATTGAGTTTACTGTGATATTCATGTTGTAGTTACCAGTATCTTCTTTCTTTTGAGAACATGGCTACATAACTATATTGTTCTCTCTCTGTTGACATGAAGAATAGACATATTAACCAGTGGAGAAAAGTGTATTTGTATTTATGGGTAGGTATTCAGTCTTTTTGCTATCAAGTACAGTAGACTCTTGGTTAACTGGAACTCAAGCAGCCGGCAAAAAAATTGAAGAAATAATACTTTAAATAAAAACTAAAATAAAATCAGTTTCCAGCAGAAATGTAAGTTTAAATTTGGCACACTGTGCCTTGAGTAAGCCCACATGTTTGTCTCCTACTCCCACTAGTTCACTGTGCATAAACATACCGGTCGTTGGGATCTATTGTTGTTCAGATTTTGTGTTCTCATCCAACCCCAAGTATGCCAAAACAGGTCCCAAGTAAGCATAAATGCACAGTGATTACCCTCAAGTAGAAGATGGAAATATGAAAGGGGCTTGAGAAAGGTGAAAGTCATACAGTGTGCATGGAGGAATTTAGAGTTAGTTTGTCAATGATCTATGGCGGTAAGGTTCAGTCTCGAAGATAGATGTTTGTCTTTATTTGTCTTAATTTGCTTTTAATGACTGTATTTCAATATTAATATCAAGCCAATACAGATGGCATGGGGTATAGTATTACTTAGGCCTATTTTTAGTAGTAACTCTCAAAGCAACAAGAAACTACACTTATCCCGCATCTACCAATCTCCATAGGTACTGGTTAACTGAGAATCTACTGTACTTGGAAAATAAGAAAAGTGTGTCTGAAGTGAATCAGTAGGAGTGTATGTCTGTGTATTCAGCTATGGGTAATTGCTGATGGACAGAACAGTGTAGGGCTTATGAACCCTGTCTCTTATTCCTTCGTCTCTCAGCTTTTTCAAATACCATGTCTAGATATCTTTGAAATTCAAGAAGAGGAATCTGTTTCATTTTGTGTTGGACTGGACAAACTCTTTGAAAACAGGTTTTGGTGTATTGCCTGATAGAGCCTTCAAAATGCCATCCTGGAGTCATCATACACACTCTTTCCTGTTGTAGGCTTATCGGCACCAGTGCCAAGAGGAAGGAAGGGGAAGAAAACAAAGAGCCAGATGCTGCTCCCTGAGATCAAGAATGCAGACTGGCTCACCACCTGCAATCCTGAGATCATTCTACATGATGACAGCTACAAGAAGCACCTAAAACAACATTGCAACAAGTGAGCAAAAGGGACTCTAGAATGCATTGGCTGTCAGTTCCAGTCTGAGTACATACAGCATGCACATATTTTACAGAGATACCTTGAATTGTATTTCATTTCATTCTGACTTCTTTCAGGAGAAGTCATTTTGGCTTTGATCCACTGGTACCAGTTTTGATACAGTGGTATCAAAATGAGTCCTCCAAAATGAGTCTTGACTCATTGCTGAAACTCGCTAAGAACTGGCTCAAGAAATTAGGGCTGCAATTCAGAAAACGCTGATGGGAAGGGTGGTTGACCTTATTTGTTACTACATATCCATGATGTGTGAAGGCTACTTAATCTACAGCGGGAAGGACAAAACTCCCCCCCACACACAGACACATGCACACACACACATACACGTACCAGAAGTTGCCCCAGATTTGGGGCAAAGCACCAATGCAACCCATTCTACCTGGAATTACAAATGTTACTATCTTTCTATATGTCCTTCTCTGACCCTCTACAGTGAAAGAAATGCATGTCTCTGATTTGCATGGAACAGATTTAATGAGAGCCTTGTGGATATCTGCAGTGTTTTCATGATTTCCTGGGGGAGTCTTTGCAGCTGGCAAATTTTGATGACCTCCCTAGTACACAGCAGATACATACAGCCTCTGTTCTCCTGTGTCCCAAATGCAATTCAGCTGGCACGAGATAGTCAGTATGGAGATGAGTGTGCTTCTGTCTGGTTTTGGCAGGCCTGATATTTTCATAAGATTTCTGGGTTGTATTATGTTTGCTTTCATTTTTTTCCAGCATACCATGTGCCCATTCACATTTTCCTTACCTGATATGTATTCATGTCTAATCATATGTTAGATAATAATCCCTGTTTGGTTATCAGTGGGTGTGGGTTAGGTTTACTTGTCTGTCGTTCAGTGCTTTCTCACTAGGCTTACAGCCAGCTGGCTCTACTTGCTAATGGATGTCATGCTACAGCAAGTGAGGTGTCACTTAATCACTGCTGCTTACTCACCAGCATGCATTCTGGTGGCTTCTGTTTTAGCAGTGAGATTTAGCCCCTGCAGTGCCACCTTTGAAAGGCAGTACTACTAACTTCTAGCTTCCACTGCCAACAAATAAACTAGCATGGCTTATGAATCTGCAGCTTGTCTCAGTGAAGCTGAAGAGCATATTGGAAATTCTGGCTCACTTTCTGAATCTCACCTACTGTTTTTCCTTTTGGCAGGGTGTTGTTACGAGTGCGGATGCTTTATTACTTGAAAGCAGAAGTGCTGGGGGAGGCAGCTGACAAAGCCTTTGAAGGAACCCCTGCCAAGTATGTTACGTTAGGCTTCAGAATTTTATTTATACTCCCTCATGTTATAGCCACAGTATTGGAAATATATTCAACATTGCTTGGATTGCAGCACTCTTGTGTGTGCTTGCCTGTGTGTCTTTTGCACTCAGCGGGGAGATTATTAGATTCAATGAAGACCTATATTTTCTCACTGTAAATTACATTTTAAAGAGATCAGGGTAGTCTTTGTAAGCATTTCTGCAAAATGCATGCAGATGAAATTGAAGAGAAGCACTACTGAATTAGGGAAAAATCCTTGAATAGTAAAAATCCAATAACAGATCTAAGACCTAATCTGGAGACAGTGATGGAATTTATTTTTAAGTAAACCACAGCATTATGACACTAAGTGGCTGAGTTGTTTCACTCAACAAACCAACCTGAGAATAAGCCATGATAAGCCTGTTGATGATGACAGTTCATTGTGGCTATTTTGCTCCTGCACTGCACATCCATCCCCTTGTTCCTCCAGGCAGTATCCCAGAGGAGACTTTGGCAGCCACGATCAGAAGTTGATTTCAGCTCACTGCAGCTGTCAGAAATTCCCTTTTGGGCATGTTGCCCAAGCTACCCCATTGAGCTTCAGGACGCAAGTCCTGTTAGCCCTGCCGGAAGAAAGAAGATGTGCAAACAGCTTGTGCCCTAAAGCACAGTGGAAAGGAGCAGAAGGCAGGGTTGCCCAGTCTGTTCAGTGTTACTTTTGAGCACAGAGCAGTGCTTTCAAGCACATTGCCAGCTCCTGTCTCCTGTCCAAGAGGTCTGTTCTCAGGAAGGAGGCAGGAGTGCCTGATCTGCTCCCCATTGTTGCCCCAAGCACAGGGCAACACTTCAGAGTGGATTGCTAGCTCCCACCTCCTGCCTGGGAGATTTATTCTAGGGTAGGATGTGGGAGGAGGCAGGAATTCTGCTTTGTGTTACTGACCTGAGCATGGGGTAGCACCTCAGAGTAGACTCCAGTCAGCAGCTGGGGAAGTTTGTCCTTGAGCTGCTGTCAAAGATGGCTTGGATCTACTTTGGATTACACAGGGACCCAGTCCTAGGTCAGCTCATGGGTTCTAATGGTGAGTTGCTTGGAAAAAGAACTTCACATCCTGAGTGATGCAAACTGTGTTTGCATAACGTGAAAACCCACCTACAGTAACAAACCATGATGGGTTGTTGTGTCATTTAAAGCAGATCAATGTTTATAATATACAGGACTTTACTTTCTGTGTACTACCAGAATGTAAAGAATCCTGGTAGTACAAAATCACTGAATGTCCATATGAAAATCCCTGTTTCTTGCCAGATAACAAATAGCTCTGGAAGTCTTAAAACACTCCATAAAATGACATTCCACTGACTGGTGAACCATTGCCACAATACCTTTCTCAGGAACCAAATATCAGGAGTCTGTATGAATCCTCCTTAAATTTTATGTGATTGAGCAAATGCTTTAACAATGTGTAATAACAGTTTCTTGGTGCTTGGTATCAAATCAAGCTGTTCAGATAGGCAGTATCCAAAGTACATCATTTTCAGAACAAATAAAAGAAGTGACCAAAGCATAAAGAAGAAACAATGCTGAAAGTTCAAAAGAACCCTAGTGTCCGATTACACATCTTTTCATAACCAGTATTTGGAACTGGCCATACTTTTTATGTATTGAAAAATATAAGTGAACTTCATCTAAACTAAACATGTTTATAATAAATTGGCACAAATTATCTACAAAATTACATTGATTAGCAGCACTAAACAAGGAAAAAGTTATTCTAAATGAAGATCAAGTAACATGATCTCTAAAAGATATAGCATGAATAGGTTAAACAAAAGAAACGAATGTAAAATGCATGAATTGTGTGCTTACTGTGCAATAAATGAATACATAAGCTGAAGGAAACTAAGCTCTATGGTTTGAGACCAGGTTATCTGTATGAACCTGCCTGCTTATGTAGGTCATCAGCAGAAATGATCCCATGTTACCACTCTTCTGTGGACTCAGTGTAAAGACTTTCATTTTTAGAAAAGTTTTTGATAAACTGCAGATTCAAACTGGATTTTATGCCAGGTGTTAATTATGCAGAGTCTGTTATGATTTCGTTCTGCCATGTATATGAACCTATGGTTTTATAGAATATGTTACCTTGATGTTTTTAACCTTTTTTAAAATAGAATTTTGAACGTTAACTCATTTTTTTATTAGAATTGATTTGATGCTATGAGCTACCTTGGTATATTTTTGGGAAGACAACCATTTTAAACAAAATAAATGCGCCTTCACTTTCCCAGCCTTAAGATAAGCTTCAGAAATGTATCAGGAATATTCGGTACCAGGGACCTCATAATTTTCTTCCTCCCACAGTTTTGTCAAGTCTTCTTTCTGCCAGTCCTTAGACATACTAAGACATTTCTTCATAAACATTAGAGGAATGCCTGTTCCTGTGCAGAACCTTGTTGCTAATAACCTGTGTTTGTCCTTCACAGAGATCTGGATTTCCTTCTGCCAGACATTGACTATGTGGAGATTCCTGTTGATTGGTGGAATGCTGATGCAGACAAATCTCTGCTTATTGGAGTTTTCAAACATGGTATTTCCTTTTATTCAGGCTGGAATGTTACTAGGCATTCTTGCAGTGTGAGGCTGCTTCTGGGAGTCAAGAACTGAATAAAATTTGGTGTATTTTCTGAAGAGGTTTTCAAAGTTTAACTTTATCTCGCAGCTTTTTGTTTTGCTGTTGCTCTTTTCTCAAATTCCTTTGTGAAAAATAAGACCGGGGCTTCATGTACCCCTTGTGCTTAAGAAAAATCTAGATTTTGCTCTAAGAAAGCCTGCATTCTGAGAACTAGGATAGGATTCCAATCCTGTTCACACAAACCTGTGAGTAAGCCCAATTGAACTCAGTGGAACTTACTTCCTAGCAAACATGCATAGTATTGCTTTGCATGCAAGGTTTGAAAGATGGGGGTGAAAAATGTTTGAATGGCTGTATGTATTGAATGTATAAATAAATGTTACAGTTGGTCTGTTATACTAAAGTATTTATTTAATAGCTTATAATGGGTAACTTTATACAGAAGTAAAGATAGATTATAATTTAACTTAAATGTGATTTGTATTGATATTATGGGGGATTGTTTTGCATATATTTCCTTGACTTACATAGCTCTGTTTCTTTTATTATTATAAGAGGGGCAGTGAGCTATGCTGTCCCCTGAATACTTTGAAGATTTCACCGTTCATTGCACATACAAATTTCCTATATTATGCAATATAGTAAGGTTACTGTTCTGGATCATGTGCAATTGGCAGACTACCATCCTGCCTCTCACTGTTTCTTAATACTTATGAGGACATTAAGGGAATGGTAGCAGAGTTGAAGCTGGAAGTGATTGGAAGAATTACAATATAAACTGTTGGGGCTTTTTTAGGTTACGAACGGTACAATGCTATGCGAGCTGACCCAGCTCTGTGCTTCCTTGAGAAAGTGGGCATGCCAGATGAGAAGCTGCTGTCTGCAGAGCAGAGTGCCATTGATGGAGTGCAGGAGGCTCCAGAAAGGTAAGCCAGTGCTGGGTAGTGATAGCTGCTGGGGAGGCAGACATAGTCTGCACTTCAGCAGCAGTGTTACTGATGGCCTAGATTGGGATGGGAATGAGGCTCCTGAATCCAGCCCTCTGCCCTCCCATACTGCAATTAGGTTTTTAAAAATCCTGCATTGGCACCACTGTTTTCATTTCTGAATGGGAGGTATCTTCAGTGTCTGCTGAAGAAAAAAGCGCTAAACCTGCCCTCCCTGAGAAGTAGGGCCACCTCTGCAAAAAATCATGTACCTTCTGCACTGCAATTAGAGTTTAAAAACCATGATTGCTGAATGAGAGGCAATATTGTGTCTGTACACAGGAGTTGGTATGTTGTGGTCACTTGTGTGTTGTGTGAAATGGGTATGTGTGAATAAAATTGAATACTTAGTATTACATCTGTGGCTCATGTTTTTTCTCTTGCAAACTTCATAATCTTCCTCCTCTCCCTTCCTTCCTTACCACAACCGTGTGAGCTAGTTTAGGCTGCAAGTTAGAGACTGAGCCAAAGTTACCCAGTAAGCTTTATGGCTGACTGGGAACTACACTGACTGTTCAGAATGGAATTTCATAGCCTCATGAGCCCCACACAGTCTTTTCTGTGCTCCCTCTTCTGACATGTGGTCTGGGGAGAAAGAGAATGTTCTTCTTGGTCTAGATGTGGTTGATGCAGTAGTACAGCACTCAAACAGTATCAGTAATTTGCCATTTAGAGTAGTGCTGTAAATTGACAAATGAGGAGTTCTGGCTTGTATGAAATATATGAAGAGGGTGAGTTCATATGACATGGCAGCCCACCCTGGAAATAAACTATGCAGAATGGGTTGTCTGTGAAACAACCCACAGTGTGCCCAGTATAACACTGGGCTAATTCTAAGTTCTGCCCCTTCCTTATCTAGGAACACTGGTTGGACCTGTCCAAAACCCTGTCTGAAAAGGAAGTTTTGACAGCTATCAAAATTCCATTCTCCTGTAAATTGAGTATCTTGGATTTTTCCACCTTCCCAAGCATCTAGAATTTTGGGAGAAGCTGGAAAAAGTAGAGGGCAGTGAGAATAGACAGATTCATACACAAACAGAGCAGAACAGAATAAAAACTACAGTATATTGTTAGGAAGAGAATGATTGACACTCCAGCCCCTTTTTCCAACAAAGGTCCCCTCATGGGTTTGCTTCTTACTTGACAGCACATCGTTTGAAAGCTATCAAATGAGAAGCAAAGAAGCAAAATAATTTGTTTGTAGCCTTACTTTGTCAGTGTCCTGGATGGTGCATTCTGTACTTTGATAGGAGCCATGATCCAGGGCACTGATGAAGCAAATCCATTCATTTTGGGTAATCAAAGCGGACAACTCTAAAAATGCATTAAAAACTCCAAAAATGTATATATTATCAGATTTAAAAAAGGCAAATAAGTGGCAGTTGCTACAATGTGTCATTTGGGCATGCTGAAGATCACTAAAAGTGATATCTGGGGAAATAATGAAAAGGAGTAAAAGCCACTGCGATCACAACAAGGGTTGTAGTTGGTGCAAGGCAGAGCAGGATTGTGATGGTCTCTCCAAAGTGTCAGTTGGGCACTTAGTGAAGTGGTTGTCACTCGCAGACACTCAGGCAAGCTTGGCACTGATTTTTGGCTTGCTTACCACTGCCACTGGCTTGCTTACCACTGCCTTGTATACAAGATGGGGCCAGTCACCGGGGTTCAGACAACACATCATGGTTACAAAAACCTGTAGAAGAAGCCATGGTTTTGCATTGTGGCTTGGTGCAGGTTCTGATGATGTGCCAACCCTCCCATAGCTAGTTACCCATAATGGATTGCTGTACTGTACATATCCAGTTGTTAGTATACTCATAAACAGTTCTCTTGTTAGACTCTGTATGTGCTATGATTGCATGAATTCCCATACAACCATGAGAATGCATGTGCTTGAGAACTAGGCTATAACTTAGTCTTAAGAATGTAGAAGGTGGCAATGAAAGGTGCTGCACACCATTTAAACTATCTTTGTTATAAGGCAGATGTATATCTACAGCACAAGGATGTAGCCAGCATTTCTTCCCCCCACATCAATGGAATCAATGTGTCAAGACGTTTCTCAGAATTATCTTGTCTTATGAAGCTTACCCAGATTCAACCTGGTTGGATTGTTTTGTTTAGGACAACAGAGGATAAAGAAGAGAACAGTGCAGAGAAGCTAGAAGGGCTGCCGAAACAAGAGGTAAGTATGATTTGCTAGAGGCAGTAAGTACTTAGCTCAGTCTGTTCTTTATGTCTTGATGGCATTAAGGTCTGGGCTAAATATAAAATATTACCTATGAAAGTTTCACATCTCCCAGATGCCATGGTGCATAAGCAGTAAGGGAACAGGCCACATTTTGCCCATCTCTTTCTCTCCAAGAATCACACTCATTTTTCCAGGCCTCTAAAGTTCTCATTCTGATGCATTTTCAGCCATCTCCAGGGGAGGAGACAAAGATACCACAGATCTCTTTAGAGGTCCATTTCTCTTCCTCAAAGCAAATGGCTAAACTCCCACAGGGAAAGGCTTGTAACTCAGTAGTAGAGCATATATTTTGCATACCAAAAGTCTGGGGTTCATACGTCAAAGTAAGACTGAGGAAGACCCTTTTCTGCCTAAGCCCCTTAAAGCAGCTCTCTCTCAGTGTAAATAATCCTGAGTTGGCTTAATTTGTGATCAGAGCTGTCGTAGTGCATCTTTTAAGACCTTCAGCATCTCAGTTTTCTTCGATGCAGCAGCACAGATAGTCTGCTCTGGGTTCAGTGGCAGATCCTCCCAATGTAAGTCTTGTAGGGCTTGTTTAAGTATTAATTACATCTCCCAAGAAACAGCCAAGTCTCCTTATGGAAGGGGGATGCCTTGTTTCCAGAGCTGAAGGCAGCCAATCATGAGGTCCTTTCCTTTGTCTTTTGCAAAACTGGGTAAGGCGGAATGAAATGCCCACCTCTACAATAGGAAGTCTCCAGCCTGGCACATGGATACTATTCTTTATCACTGAGAGTTATGGAAGAACTTAAGGTGCTATTGATTCATGCTCCTGTGGTGCCTTACTTTCAGGAGCCATGAATGAGGACATGCCTCTTAAAGAAATGAGTGAATATTATGTTAAACCCATGAGGCTACTGTCTGGATGCTTACAGCCTCCCCCATGGCTTGCTTTCTTCTTGGATAAAGGATATTATTAACAATAAGGAGTTGAATAGTTTTACCCTGCTTAGGAGTTTATTAAAACTATACAACTATTAAGCTAACTCTTAAAACTGGTTTATTAAGACTATACGTTACATGCCGCACAGGATTCCATGATTTATGTGTCGTGTTCTACTGCTCTAGCCATTGCAACAAGATGTTAACTCTGGTTAAATCACTGCAGTTTAAATACCTGTTTCAGAGGGAACATGACCTCTATTCTCTTTGTAGGGCTCCAGACTTTGGAAAAGGCCCTTAAGAATATCTTAGCAGAAACCAAAAAAAGAAGGTGGCTATGCCTATTGCTTCTTATGAAGGACGAAAGAAAACCTAATAAGACTCCTTCTTCCTTCCATACCTTCAGATCTCCATTCAACCTTTCCTTCAGCCTTATAGCTTTAAGTGCTCAGTGCCTACCTTGTCATGAATCAAATTCAATACTCTGCTAAGGACTGAGCAGAGCAGGTTCTTCTCAGTTCTCAAGGACTCCTCTCCCACAGTTATGACTCTCTTTTTTCATGTGTGGGAGGAAGGCTACAACACTTCCTTCACACATGGAAGTAGACAGCACCAGACACCTGAACTCTAAACAGTACTCAACACACAGATTTTCTGGAGTATCACTCCATTACTAGAAGCAGGTTTCTTTCTTCTATTTCTTCCAGGTCTGTCCACAAGCAACAGGTTATGCCCATACCAGGAGGATATCCTGTCCTCAATAAACCCTCACAGAGGTGTACTCCCATGTCCCCACAGCAGAGGAAATTTCTTCATTTTGCTTATGTGGGGTACCACTGCCAATATAGGGCAGTGTTCTTTGGCTTGGCATCAGCACCAAAAGTCTTTTCTAAGCTCTTGCTGGGAATGGTAGCTCATCTCCAACTCAAGTCTATTGACTTCTTTCCTTATCTGATCTTATTCTGAAGTCCCCAACTCTGACAAATCTACAGATCATGATTTTCCTGTCTTCAGGACCATGGGTTCTTAATACAATTTAAAAGAGCCACCTCAAATCCTCCCAAACCCTAATTCACTGGGGAGTAGCTTTAGATTAAGGGCAGAATCTCTGAGGGCAGAATCTAGGCAGAGTCCCTTCTCCGGGAACCCTCCATGAAAGAAATTAGGAGAGTAAGTACCCGGAGGAGGGCTTTCTCTGCGGTGGCGCCCAACCTATGGAATTCACTCCCCAAAGAGGTCCGCCTGGCACCGTCGTTACTGGTTTTTCGGCGCCAGGTAAAGACCTTTTTATTTAAACATCATTTCAATTGTTAAAACATATGATCTGGCCTGGGCAACTTCTTCTTCCTTCTCTTTCTCCTCCTATATTTTTATTTTATACTGATAATTTTAATTTTGTATTTGTAAATCAATGTATTTTTTGTATTGTTATATTTAATGGTAATTTATTATGTACTATTGTATTTCAATGTATTTTATCATGTTGTAAGCCACCCCGAGGTTTCGGCAAGGGGCGGCATAGAAATGTTATAATAATAATAATAATAATAATAATAATAATAATAATAGGCAGACTCTCCAGACTAAATCTGGTAGCAAATCCTTACAGTTCTTTCAGAAATCCTTATCTCTCATAATTTCCTGCCTAATGATTATGTTGTGGAGCAGATTATACTCCTTCTGTAGCCACACTTTCCTTTTCAGACCAAAATCATTCTCAGGTACCACATAATAATCACCATACTTCACTTAATCTGAATATCTTTACACATAGATGATTCTTACAATGTATTTTTAAGGTACTTATTTTTCTAAACACTCAGTATGCTTTGGCTATTGGGTGATATAGAAATTAGGTAGTATAGAAAGGTAATAAATGAGTGGTTCTCTCAAATGCTACAACTGTCACAATAAAATCTAGAGTTCCTCCCTCAGGGACAAACTACCTCACACAAAGACTGTCTTGCATTTGGACTCACACTTGAATACTGAGCACAGCTAGTTCTTCTTTATGGTCTCTGTGCAATCACATGAATGGAGCTTTGCCACACAGCGCAAGGTCTGCTGAAATAACTAACACCTGCTGTTTTGCAGGAGATCATTAACCAACTGGATATATAAAAAAACTTGCTCTGTTCTGCTCTGCTCTTCTCCTTTGCATGAGTATACAAGAAAAAGCATTTGGAATGTTAGATAGCAAGAATCATAGAATTGGTTCATTCCTCCAAAATGCCTAAACATGGAACTCAGAGCAAGCATGCTTAACAGACAAGCTATTTCTCTCTTTCTAGACCATGCCACAAACCACTTGGTTCTCCCTTGTTGTAGCCTTCCTTGGATTCCTCAGAGGGATGGCACTGCTGTGTCCTTCAGTTATGAATTACTTCCCAGCTGGGAGTCTGCACGTTATATTAGTGGCTCCTTAAAGTTCCTCCATTAAGCTCCTAAGAAGTGTCTCACCACATGTTCTTTCCTTCAAGGTGCTATCCCTTGTAGCTATACATCAGGCAAAAGTATCTCAGAACTAGCTGCACTCTCTGTGAGGGATCACCTCTGTTCATTCAACAAGGACTGTGTCTCTCTTTAGACAGAGCCTTCCTTTGTTCCCAAAGCTAAGAGTGTTTCATACAGAAAGGAAAAGGTAGTTCTTCTTTCCTTTTGTCCTAATCCTTTTTATCCCTCTGAGCACATCCTTCTTACCCAGGTACATCCTGGATGTTAAGGACAACAACTATCATAAATTAACTGAGGAACCTTGATGTTCCAATTTCCTGTTTGTTTCTTTCTATCTTACTGATTTGGGAAAGAGGTCCTCTTATACCACACTAACTAGCTGGTTCAAGGTTTGTATGGTCTATGGGGTCAGAAGGCTTCCTGAACCTGTATGCCCCACCAATTTCTCTACTAATGCTCCCTTAATGGAGATCTGCAGGTCAGCTACCTGGTTTTCATGTCACACATTCATTAGACATTATGAGCTTAACAAATGGGCTTTGTCTGAACCAGCCTTTAGACAAAGAGAATCACAATAAGGTCCCCCTCAGGCTTAGGATCAGCCTGCTTTGGTGTCTACCCAATGAGAATACTAGTTTTTGTACATCTGATTCTTCTTGTCAGATGGGAATGGAAAGTTGGGTTGAAGTTCCTTTCCATTCAGTGTGCAGGAGACACCCATGTGGCATCCTTTGCCAGACTGAGCAATTTCATTATTTTTTTCCAAAAAGAGTGAGGTAATTTCTTAGAGATGGGTTTTCACTATCACTTCTATTGTCTGTATATTTTCTTCTTTCTTTGTTTCTGGTTCTGGTTCCATAATCACTACTTTGTCTAAAACTTCAGTTAGGAAAAAAAATAGCTAGGAAGTACCACATGGGCCAGGACCAAAAGTCTTATGCTCCTTGCCTGACCTGGACAGTGGGAGAAATTAATCCATGATAGATATTTTCTCCTTAACAAATCAGAATGGAACTTTGTGGTAAGGACCCAACTTTCTGTTACATTGATAATATTTTTTTCCCTATAGGAAACTTCAGATATATGTGGTGAAGTCACTGAGAAGAAGGATGACAATGTGGCAGGTGAGGCTGCGCATCTGGATGTTTTTGGGAAAATGGCAGTATTAAAATTATTAGCTAAAATAGTTGCTTGTGCTAATTTCTAGAAGAAATAGGATCTGTATTTCTAGAAGTTCTATCTTGTAATAGGTATCCAATTTTGAAAATTCCAGCAATGCATAGGTATCTCAGGTCCTTTGAAACTTTCAAAGCATACATTTGGATACCTTTGAGTGATAGCTGCTATTGCCTACTTATTTTATTTTGAATATGTTATCCCACTTTTCTTTGTATATCTCAAAAAGTTACCTGTTCATGCATTCTTAGTTGTTTGAAGTATGTTAAAACATTGAAACAACACGCAATAGCAATAGCAACGTTACATTACATGTCAAAGCTCACACACTCAAAATTGCTGAGTGTCAGGAAACAGCAATGTGTAGTGCAGCTGTTTTAAAGAAAGCAACATAGGATGGGCTTTGACTATCTTCTATAGGATAAGAATCCCCTTTCTTGCAGCACTGAGATCACCACAGGAAAAGGCTGTGTTCCATAAACTGATCCTGGAATGCTGATTTCCAAATGGGAAGTCAGGTTGTTAGCAGTTATTACTGTGAACAGTAGCACATACTGTGACCTGCTTCACACAACACAGACAGGTAATAGTGGATTATTCAACTCATGATAAGCTCATGGTGCATGCTGGCTGTATGTAGCTGCCATTTTGAATATACCATCCCTGATTGAGGGATTGTAGTGTGTCATGTAAACACAACCACGTTGTGTTAAACATCTGTGAGCCACCCATGTTATCTGAACTGGCCTTCTGGATGGCTCTTCCTGTAGATCAGGGATTAGAAACGACAAGTGTAAATATTTAGTGGTGATGTTTCCGGGGTTTGCTTGATGAAGACAGATTTAAGACTACATGGCTTTGGCATTATCAGATAAAGCAAGAATGATATGCCATCAAAGAGACAGAAGCCATAAAACTCAACAAGCTTTGAGTACGAAATTATATTGATGAAGCTCAGCTGTTCATATGGTGGGCAAATTCTGTGATAAATCTCCAGCTGCAGCTGATTTCAGTTGGCAATTGTATTGGCAGGGATCGTGTTTACAATTTAAGACCAAATCTTTATTTCCCCCATTGGACATATCTGTGTATCTCTTGTCATGCTGAGAAATAATGAGAAGGCCTCAGTTTCTTTGACAATATTTCTAGACTACTAAAAGGCATCAGATTCAGTAGGAAAAAGGTTTTTTTCAAATACCCAAATGCATTTTGAGCCACAAGGACAAATAAACCAGATGTTAGCTGCCTGTCTTAGCCATCACACCACATGATGGACAGGATATATATATTGTGATTAAATACTTAATCAGCAGGGTGTGCAAAGACTTTGCAGGGATTGCATTAAATACTAATGACCTTGCTGATGTTTGAAGCCCAGGATGGCTCTGACCCAGACAAATCCAGCTGGCCTGTGTCATCTGCCCTCACAGCTAGACTGCGGCGTCTTGTCACTGTCTATCAGCGCTGCAACCGTAAAGAGCTTCCTTCTAGGCCTGAGATCATGGGGCCTTGTAACCATGGCTATTGGCTGCAAGAGGAGATGTTTAGGAGGGCCAACGAGATGGATCCCATGAACAAGGAAATGCAGAAAAGGTAACTAGAGAATGGACTGTGAACCATAGGCCTGAGCTTATTGGGACACAGTGTTATTTTCATGAATGAGCACAAACCAGTGGGCCCTTGAGCAAAGGAGCTGCCTCATATTTGTAAGCTTGCAGAAGTTACCCCAGCTATTACAAATCCATACTCATATTCTGACTCCAAATTCTGACACCCCACCAAGGAACACCAAAGATGGCCCCATGAGAAAGGGAGTGCAAGTGCTCTCCTAAAAGCTAGCTTCAACAAATATGTGTGCTGCAAGACCATTGCAGATGTACTGCCTCCCTCTGGCAAGACAAGTGAACAGCCTTCCTCCCCCTGTTAAAGGTGTAAAAGTAGGTGAGATTATTAGAGTGGTTACACAGCAGGTTCCTTCACCTCTCTGCCTTCAAAGTCGTGAAGAAAGTTGTGGATGTCTGGAAGCAGCATGGTGAAGGTATCTGAAAAGCTTTGGCCAAGCAGGACTCAATCAGCCTCCCTCTCTGCTGGTCTTTTTTGCCTCAGAGCAAGAACAGTAGACAGGAGAAGTGGATGCAGCTGCATGCAAGTGCCCTGTGCACCTTCAAGCAGTGGTGCCCGAGTGCATGTTCCCAGCCTTCCTTTCAAAATAGCATAGTAGAAGGTCAAGTGGGCAGGAGTGTTGGACAGTACTACCTGAAGGTGTTTTATGTGCCTTTGCCTGAAGTGCCTCACAGCACACTTCTCCCATGGAATTTTCCTCAGGAAGAACTGGTGAGTGGGGAGTAGAGTTGACAGACTGAGTGCCTGGCAACTACAATTTTTGGCTTGGCCAAGAAGGCCATCAAAAAAAATGGTGTACCACTTCCTTACACAGTGTACAGACTTGGAAGGAGCCTTTGTTGTAGAATTAACACAACTGGAAGAAAGCCACAGAACTTCAGAACTAGATGGGGCAGTTGGCCTGTCTCTGTGTCATCTGCTTCAATGTGGTCATGGATTACTAGAAAAATAGCTGTCCTACAATACTATGCCTGACAGAAGGAAGGAGAATTCTTTGCATATATAAGCTGCAAATATGAATGGGTGCTTCTTGGTATCTGTTAATGAGATTCTGATGAGCTAAGGTTATTTTGAGGACCTACCTTGTGCATTATCTTCTCCACATAATTGCTAGTACTGAGCTGCTGCCAGTTGCATTTTTAAAAACATATGTGAGCTCTAAAATTAGATCAAAATTGGTGCATAATTGGGACGAATTTGGAAATAAGGAAATTGTTCTTATGTCATGAATATTTTATGTCTGTGTGTTCCTGATGCATTTTGCAGGTGGACCAGAAGAGAGCAAGCAGATTTCTACCGCACAGTCTCTTCATTTGGGGTTGTTTATGATCCAGAAAAGAAAATCTTTGAGTGGAATCAGTTCCGATCCATTTCACATTTGGAAAAGAAAAGTGATGAGAGCCTTGAAAAATATTTCTACAGCTTTGTTGCCATGTGCAGGAATGTCTGTCGCTTGCCCCACTGGAAAGAAGATGGTGAGTAGGAAGCCTTCAAGTCAGTTTGTCATATGAAACACAACTGGGAACTGCAACAGAGGTGTGGAATGTTTCCTGTTCGGGATTGTAATTCCATTATATTTCCCCTTCCCTAGTTTTCCTTCCTTCCCCTCTCCCCAGCAGACTCATAGCCACTGAGTATGCTTAGCCCCTTATTTCTGTATATTTTTCCCTACAAGGAACCTAAGACAGGTTATATAATCCTCCTCTTCCTCCATTTTATCCTCACAACAGCCTTGTGAGGTAGGTTAGGATTATTTTCTAAATATTTTTGTACACCAGTGGCAAAGTAAAAGGCTAAGAACTGTTAATGCATATTTTTAAGACTCCGGGTCAGGATAATGCATAATTATTGGATAATTGAATCTGTTTAATTATCTGATAATTATATGTATGTAGCCATGTTCAGAGAACTATTATTTGAATAAACATGGCAGTACACTTACAGTTCAAACAAAACATTAGAGAGGAATGTCAAAAGAGAAAGCTGTGTAGCCTGAAAAGCAAAGTAAGGAGTTGGTCAGGCAGACTCTCTCTCGTGCTGTTTGTATACTACACATTAGTTGCATCAGCTATCTACTGATGCTGTTTACATGGCATTAAAGTCTGCTGTGTACTTCAGACATTTCTCAGGGACACCAGCTGAGTCTGATCTTCAGAGGAAAGCTATGAAGAGGATATTATTAATTTCTGAGACCTTTTCTTTATCTTAAAATTCAAGTGCTCCCCTGCAGCACAGTCAGGCCCCAAGCAACATGACCAGATATTCCATCGTCTGTGTGGCTACCTGGCTTGTCCATGTGGCTAGCCAGGACCAATGTGGCACAGCTGGCATTCACATGTTGGTTACCTGATTTTTCCAGAGCTGTTTCCTCGTCCGTCTTTCTTTCTTTCTTTCTTTCTTTCTTTCTTTCTTTCTTTCTTTCTTTCTTTCTTTCTTTTAACTAGGGATTTGGTAAATCCAGGGCTCACAAAGTTTTATTTAGCAGAGATGTTAACATTATTTGCCACGCCTTTCAGACTTCTCTGTTCCCTCTGAGCTTAGCAGCAATTTTCACAGTAGCTGAGGAGGGTGGGGACCACATTTTCTAAGCAACACTATATGGTTTTGCGCTACCACTACTGCAATGCATGAATTCTGGGATGGCTCGATCTTAAATGAACAATTGAGATATATCAGATTTATGTATGACCTGCTCCTGGAAGAGATGTAAACTACTAGAACTCACTTGTTGATAGGACTGCTGCATTATTTTATTCTCCATGGGGTGTGTGGCTAAGGGACTGTAATGTTGAGTTGGCCCCCACAATGCTGTAACAACGAGTTGACCTCAGAGTTGACCCCAGCAATGCTGCATGGTACAGTACTGAGCTACCCCAAATCTCCTAATACTTGCAGTACCTTGATTTTAGTAAATGCCATGAAATGCCAGTATTGCTTGTTCTGGTTTATCTACGTTCTCCTCCTTTTCTACACCTGTAGGCGCAGCAGATCCTAGTATCTATGTGGAGCCAATCACAGAGGAACGTGCTGCAAGGACACTGTATCGAATTGAGCTCCTACGGAAGGTCCGTGAGCAAGTGCTGAGGTGTCCACAGTTGCACGAACGGCTTAAACTTTGCCGTCCTAGCCTGTATCTTCCTGTGTGGTGGGAGTGTGGTAAGCATGACCGAGATCTCCTCATTGGTATGGCTAAACATGGGCTGAACCGCACAGACTATTACATCATGAATGACCCCCAGCTGTCATTTTTGGATGCCTACAGAAACTATGCCCAACACAAAAGGACCAGTGTTGTTGGAACAGAAAACTTGTGTTGCCACCATCAGGCAAATTCTAAGCTATATTGCTCCCCTTCGTACAGTCAAGTGGAAAGAAGGTGTACATCTGCAGAGGCAGAGACAGAAAGCTGTATGAAGCTAGTGAGCTCAGGCAACAGTCTTTCACAGGCAGAAAACATCTCTCAGGATGGCAGCTGTGAAAACTTCATGTCTAAAGTCAGGGGTATGATTTCCATGAACTATGATGAGAGCTCCATGCCTGACTCTCTGATGTGCATGATGTATGATGACAAGGCCTGCAATAGTGAGCACAGCTCCCTAGCCCGTGATAGCCCCAGCTGTACCGATATCAGCAGCAATACTACCAAATTGGCAGACGGAAAAATAGAAGGAGAAGAAGACCTCTCTAGCTGCGATACTGAGATAACAAGAGAGCCTGCTTACCTGAATCATTTGCAGTTTGTCAGTGAGCAAATGGAGGGCCAGAATGCAGTGCAGGAGCCTTTAGACAAGGAGACAAAGCTCTCCAAGGGCTTTACTGTGGAACCTTGTAGCGCCCTACAAATGGAGAGTCAATATGCCAGTCCACCATCAGTCCCATTTGAAAGAGATGGCATGGAAGGGGTCCTGAGCATCGGAGTTTACAGCCCCGGTCTTCATAACTTCAATATTAAAGAGAAGAGATTCATGGATTTATTGCATGAAAAGGGCATGGAGGATAAATCAGTGCAAAGTCAGAGCCACAGTGAAGAGGAGGAAGAGGAGGAGGAGGAAGAGGAGGAGGAAGATCATCTTGAGGCAGCAGCTGACACGGTGGAAGATTTGACAGGTTGCCTAAAAACCCCAGAGGTAGATGAAACCAGTCCTCATACACAAGGGGAGCAGAAGCATGCTTCATGTATTCTTACCACTCTGGATGCAGTCATGGAAGAGAGAAATAAGGAGCTGGTGGAATCTATCTCAAGTGAGCAGGCAGCATCCAAATGTAATAGTGACCCTGGGCTGGGGGAAGATGATCAAGCTGAATGTGAGAGCCTTGAGGAACACACCCCAACCCTGTCAGAGATCCAGACATGCCATCACTACCATCACCATCACCACCACGACCATCACCACCATTCTGTACGAAGTCGGACTTCAGCGATACAGATGGAGCTTCTTAAGTCACATCCTGTTTGCATGGAGGCAGACCCCTGGGGAGATGATACTGAGGAGAAAAGAGCTAGTCCTGTAGGTCAGACCCTGTCTCAGAATGAAATAAAGAGAGAAGAGTGTGAGAATCAAGACTTACAGAAGATGCAGGGAATCAGCCAAAATCAAGGTAATTGTAACAGTTTGTTTCTGGTAGCAAGCATTCCTGTATATCAGGGGTACAGAACCTCGGAGCTAGAGTTCCATTCTGGCCCTCTGGGGTTCCAAGAAAGCCATGCTCTGTTTCCTTGTCTTCACCCTCTTTTCTTCAACCACCAATCGTTTGGTGGCTTCCCAAATTTGTGTATTCTAAAAGATAGGCGTGCTTTTCCTAAGGCTTCATTCTTCTTTGTGCTCTCTGTGCATCTCATATGGGCTCTGCATGCATGCATGGAGCCTGTTTGGAAGATTGCATAAGCTTAGATTTAACTTGGTGGGAACCTCTCCCTCAGCCATGCCAAGGCATAAGGGAGGAGTTGCCACCTGATCCTCAGTTCTTCTTCAGCCTCCATTGTGGGTGCATCAGAAAGTCCTTCCTATGCTCTCTGCAGCTATCCTCTTACCTTCTTTCCCATAGTTTTTATATTTTTGTCCTTAAAATTACTGATAGTCGTTCTGTTATATAAGAGCTTTTGGAAGTCCCTGACAATGAAGGGATCTCTGACAATTGTCAGTCATCAAAGATCTCAAAGCTGAAAGGAAGAGAGGTTTGAGGCATTAACCAATCTAGTGTTTTCCACTCTGATCTAGATTGTTTTGAGAAACCAGCCCAAGATGAAAGTAAGAGCTCTGCATTTGCTGTGCCTGGAGAGATGGATGAACTTCAGGATGCCCGAGCGCCTACCATAGCTCAACTGCTGCAGGAGAAGACACTCTACTCTTTCTCAGAGTGGCCTAAGGTGGCTTGGTAGCTTAAGTATGCATGAATATGGGCTTTAGGTCAATGCTCAGCAGAGATTGAGATCTACTTACCATGTTACTTTTTTAAAGATACAGGTGCCGACTGGGAGGTGTCGGAATTCCTTTACACAGAATATAGATGTTTATTCCTCAGAGAAAGAATAATATTTATTTATTTTAGAATAGTTATGGAGGTTTTCCCCCACAAGTTGAATGTTTTGCATTATATTCTCATATTTGTCAGATTTGGGTGTTAATTTCCATAACTAGCCTGTGCCTTCAGTAGGACATGTGAAAAGCACTCCTGTGTGTGTAACTCCAAAGGCCTTTGTGTGTTAAGAATTTGTAAAAGGCCAGGCATTTACCGTCTGGAAAATATTCTAGTACTTTTGTTTTGTTTTTGGTATTGGCATTGGCTTCCTGTTCCAGAGCCTGGAGTCAAACAAAATTTCAGGTGTATTGAAAAGAGTCTCTAGCAATTCTAATGCACATTGTTACCATGCTGTTCTTATTTGGGGAAAGGACTCTTGATCTTTTGCTACTGACTTCTTTCTGCCTCTCAGGCTACAGAACACCACTGGCATTATTATTACTTAATTCTGAAATGCTCCCACTGGATGTTAAGGGTTACTTCTAGTATGTTTACTTTGCTTTCTAATAGGGCATTGAGAGCACTGACTTTAGAATGGCAGCTTTGAGTGATAATGGAGAGAAAAGAACAAGGACTTTGTGGTGGAAAGATAAACTGCACAGGTTTATTTTTGGGCTCCACCCTTTGAAAGGCTCCAGAAACACTTAAAGTTTTAAAATCACAGATGAAAGAGAAGGAGAATGATATCTGTATTAACAGCTCCAATTATTTTCTTGGATAAGAACTACAAAAAGCAAAATATTTTGATGCGGCATGAACTGTTTACACAAGGGTGTCCAGGTGTCTGACCCTTACACACATAAGCCCAATGTGATATATTCCTTTTGATGTGCAAACTAATAAAAAAGGAATAAACTCACATTCTGTTGATACGATCAGTAGTACTAAAATCGCTTGAAGCTTCAATGGTTTGTTAGCTTTAGTTCACTGAAGAATTATAATGGAAGAGGTTGGCCATGTATGCAACTGGGTGAAACACATCTGCTTCTTTGGCAGGATCGAGTGATCATTAATCGTATAGACAACATCTGTCATGCCATCTTGAAAGGCAAGTGGCCTTCATCCAGCCAGCCATTTGAAATACAAAGCTTGATACCTGCTCCTTCGTTATCCAGCAATACTGCTGGTAACAGGAACAGCTACACTGAGCCAGAGGCCTCTGAAACTAACTTCAGCAATGGAGTGATAACTGCACAGGTCGAAAAGGTAAGCCTGTGTAGACATTTTATGTATTATATTTTAAGCTCCTATCATAGTGGATGTAACGTTCTTCACAATGTAGCATACTGTACTCTTAAAATTACTGACTATAATTTTGCAATATTGCAGTTCCTTGGAGGATCCCAGACAATGAAGAGTCTTTAGAGGTTCCCAAAGCAGAGATATAAAATTTCCAGAGATGTTTAAGCTATGGAAGAAAAAACAGATGCTTTTTTATGTCCTGATCTCACCCCATCCCTTAGGAAAAAATCAAAATTTCAGGGAAATTTTAGAATATGTAATACTTTGTTGTTGTTGTTATGAATGAATGCACTCCAAAATGGAATCACGCTATCTTATATTTTCCTCTTGGTTGGGATTGAAAAAGGCAGTTGTTCTTGGTGTGTGTTTCAGGGTCAGGGTGACACTAACTCTTCAGATGAAGATGGTGAAGCCTGGGAAGGGAGGCCTGCAGGCATACAAGCAGTGAAGGGGGGAGAGCTTATCTCAAGGCTGCCATCTCCAGGTGTTCAGACAGACCCTGGGAACCAACAGGGTTTGGAAGTGCCAGGAGGGGACATGGAAGAAGAGCCAGAGGTGCCTGGTCCACTCCTTTACCCCATGATGCAGTATTGGGAGAGAACTGGAGGGCCTGCCTACAGCTAGGAAGCTTGCCCATCTCCAGAGGGGCACTTCCAGAGGGGTGGGGTCCAGGGTTACTCAAAAGATGGGTTCTCAGAAATAGTTTCTAGTTAGGGTTTAATGAACTGCTCTATGCATGGTCAGAGACTCTTTCTTTGTTGGCTACTGCTTGCTGATATATATTGGGAATAAAGCGCTTTTGCCAAATAACTGTCCATTCTTTGAAAGAGAGAGAAGGGGAACCTAGTTCCTGATAGTCTTCCTCTAAGAACTAGTTTACTCATAAAATTACCATTTTTGGTATATCAGATGTCGACAAGAGGATGCCCACAAGAAAAGAAGGCATTGAATCTTTCTTTCATCTCTTGTGAAAATGACAATGTCTTGTAGTGGTGACAGAAACGTATTTTGCTCGTGAGAGTTGTACTATACTGCTTTGTCCATCATCCTTCTCTGATCAAATTGGGGAAAAGTACTGAATATAATCTCACCTAAGTCTTATTACATAGTTTTTAGAAATCATTTGTAAAGTAAAGGCTAGGCAGCAGGAAATGAACTCTGTTGCTTAAACGTTTTATTCACAATTCTAAAAGAAAGTATTTCATCATTTTTCAATGTTTACCCCCCACAAGAAAACTTGGAAAAAACAGGAAAATTTAATTAATCCCCCCTTTAATTTTCTGTTTTTTTCTAGGGCTCCACATACATACCTCAGACACCTTTACATCTCTGCCACATTATTTGTTGACTTTTCTAGAAGAAGCTGGAAGGATAATTTGGAGCCTTAACTAATAGTAGCATTGTCTTTGAGTGACTGGGCAGGAATCGTATTTTCACCAAAGGCTTACCTCTTTTTTGGGTTACCATTTTCTCTAAGACCAATCAGTTTAGTACTTTTCTGTAAAGAATGTGGTAGCAGTGCTGGTCCAGATGCCAAAATTTCTAGACTTCACAAAGGTACCCTTTTATAAATAAGTGCTGGATTTAGAACTCATCAGAATATTAGCAATGCTGTATAATATCTGTCATGGCAGATATCCATAACAAATTTTAACAGTTTTTTTCTGCCCCTGCTTTTATACACAGGAAGATTTCTTGGCTCCCACTTTTGTCAAAGAGGAACACAAGCACCGGCAACCGTATGAATTTGAGATGGAGAGAGATGCCAAGCAGCGGAACCTTGAACAGTTAGTTACATCCCACGCCCATCCTTCAATTGTGTTGAATGGCTGGCGTGATGCTGCAGTGGACCTCTCAAGGGTGCCTGATGGATCCCAAGCAAGCAGCCCTCCTTTCTCTCTGAGCACAAGCATACCTAAGTTAGGGACAGTGAATGCCCTACAGGGCTCTCTTGGCATGGATCTGTCTGGTATCCTTCAAGCAGGGTTAATTCATCCTGTCACAGGACAGATCGTCAATGGGAGTCTACGAAGAGATGATGCTGCCATGAGGAGAAGACGGGGCAGGAGAAAAAATGTGGAAGGAATAGACCTTATATTTGTGAATGAGAGAAGCCTGCCAACGGGGCTGCCAGTGAGTACTAGTCCTCACCCTCATTTGTTCCACAATACTTTAACCATTCTTTGGAGAATAATTACCTAGTGCCATATCATCAGAACTTACTCTAGTTATTTATTTTGGATTTTTCCATATATGCTGAAGGATCGAAGTTGGTGGTGATTAAAAATGTCACCTATTCTTGGGTTGTGGTGGAAAGATTGGTGGAAATATCAGTGAAAACATTGATCCAGTGTGCAGCTGTTGTGAAAATTGAGGATCATTAGGAAAGGAGTCAAAAACAGAACTGTCAGGATCATAATGTCCTTACGTAATTGTATGATGCAATCACACTTGTTAAGTTCTGGCAACCAAACCTCAAAAACAATATTTTAGAGTTGGAAAAGTGCAGAAAAGAATAACCAGAATGAACAAGGCTAGAGAAACTCTCCTGAATATTCACAATGTATGGAGATTTTTAGTTTAGAAAGAGATGAGTAAGGGGGAAATATGATTACAGGTGTGTAAAACTGGGGAGGTTTTTCTCACTTTCTCATAGTACTAGAATGCAAGACCATCCAATGAAGCTGGATTTTGGAAAATTCAGGATAAAGGAAAAGAAGTACTACTTCGAAGAGCACATAGTTAAGCTATATAATACCCTACCATGGGGGGTAATGATGGTCACCAACTTGAATGGGGGATTACACAGAGTTATGTGGAATAAATATATCATTGACTACAAATTATGGTGGTTATATATTCCTCCAGTATTGGAGTCAATATGGCAATTGCTGTAGAACATGGGCAAGAGGGTGTTGCAGTGCTCATGTCTTACAGGATTCCTCAGGGCATCTGGTTAGCTTCAGTGTGAACATAATGCTTAACTAAATAGACCTCATTCGGCACGATTCTTCTTAGGTTTGGAACACCAGATTCCAGTGCTTGTGTAAATTAAAAACAAACAAAACAAACAAACTGGTTCCCAAATGTTAACAATTGTGATAGTTTAACGTAACAGATTAATATAACTGCCCTCTACAAACTGTAGATTGATGACATATGTGGCCAGGAAAGATACTCCAAAGTCTGGGGTCTGCCACAGAAAACTCATATGCCAAGGATAAAAAGAATAATTTTCCTTTAGTTCTATTTCATACCTATAAGAGAGTTCCAGGAGCCAGTGTGCTTTTTCTAGTCTTTTCCTTGAGCCTGCAAACCCCTGGGTCTCCATGCCTCTCCTCCGTGGGGAAGGGTGTTCTTATTAAGCAGGGCTGTTATTTTTCAGGTCACCCAGGCACTATTTCCTTCATGCAATAAATCTACAGTTTTTCTTTTGATATGTTAAGACAGGGACTGGGTACCTAAATTTTGTTTTAAAATGATTAAAATAGTTATTGGTATATTGTTTGCAAATGTTTTCTGTGAATATATAGTTTGAATCACTTTTGTATGCTTGTATTGAGTTATATATTTTTGAATTTAGTGCTTAATAGTGTGACTAGCAATGTTGGGGATTGTTGTCTTCATACAGTCTTCAGATCCCTTGGCAAAACAACTTGTTACATCTGTATTGCCTTTCCTCCTCACCACCTTACATAGCTTTCTACAGTTCAGGGAGTGTTTCTTCTCTTTGGACAATTGTAGGTTATAGGTTCCTTTATCAGAAGAAAACATAGAGTCCCTTGTTAAACGAGTTATAGGAATTCAGAGTATGCTGATCTTCTTGAAATGAACATCGTTTTTCTAGTCTCCTGTCTAAGGCAAGATCCCCAAGGTCCACCTGAATACTTTGTAATAGACCTATTGAAAATTAGTGGAGGCCAGCTGGTTGCTTGCTGGCCACATTCATAATACTCTTCTCAATGTTGGAAATAGGTAGCCCTGCTTGTAGCTGCTATCAGATCAATGCCATCCCAACAATAAATAAAAATAGCAAATACCTTGGAAGACAGAGAGAAGATACAATGTGAACTTGATAGGTTAGAACACTGGGCAGAAAACAACAGAATGCAATTCATTAGGGACAAATGCCAAGTCCTCCACTTAGGAACAAGAAACCAAATACATTGCTACCAAAGGGAGAATACTTGGCTCAACAATACGGCAAATGAGAAGAATCTTGGGGTTGTTGTAGATCACCAGCTAAATATGAACCAGCAATGTGACGCAGCTGCAAAAAGGGCTAGAGCTATTTTGGGCTGCATTAATAAACACGCCGCTTCCAAGACACATGAAGTACTAGTTTCCAATACTCAGCACTAGTCAGTTCCAGCACCTAAGTTTTTAAAAGAAGCAAGAAAGGGTACAAAGGAAGGCAACATGGATGATTCAGAGACTGGAGGCAAAGCCCTATGAGTAAAGATTGTGAGAATGGGGCATGTTGGGCCTCATGAAGAGAAGACTGAGGGGAGATATGATAGCACTCTACAATTACCTGAAAGACTGTCACAAAGACGAAGAACAAGATCTCTTCTCATTCATTCCAGAGTGCAGGACATAGAATAATGGACTTAAGAGAAACCGGATTTAGACTAGACGCCAGGAAGAATTTCCTGACTGTCAGAGCAGTACAACAATGGAACCCATTACCTGGGATATTGTGGGCTCTCCTTTACTAGAGACATTCAAAAAGTGTCTGGACAGTCATCTGAATGAGATGGTTTAATGTCCTGCAACAACAGAGGGTTGGACCTGATGGCCTTCTGGCCCCTTCCCACTCTACTGTTCTGTGATTCTACGATTGCACATACTTCTTGAATGTCCCCTTATTTTGCACAGGTCATCTCAAGTGGTACTTGGAAGATGAAAAGCATAGCCACACTTCCAAGTGTCCTGCATGAAATAACAAAAAGCACCCGAGTTCTGTACATTGATGCAAAATCTTCAGGGGCATTTTCTTCCACTTTGCATGGAGTGCTCACTTCTGACTCATGAAGCATCCCAAAAGAAGTAATAATATGCCATCTTTCTCATAAGCTAGACGCCTTCTGAGAGTGGCATTATGGCAGGATGAAGAGGTCTGGCCCCTGTATAGCTTCATCATCAGGGAAGTTGATGGTTTATTACTTGATCCTTGTAATGAAGTAGCCTGGGTTTAAGCCAGGATCATTGCCCTCTGGTTGGACAGGACATACTATGTTCGTTCTGCATTCACACTGGAAAAGTATGATATTCCTTTAATATCTTGAGAGTGACCTTTTCCTTCTCTCTTACCATCACATTATTCAGGAAGATCAAACCCAGACTGTACTGAGTAATCCTAACCCTGATGGGCCAGCTGTTACTACCTCAAGTCAACAGACAGCACCAGCTACTAATGTCCAGCCAGAAAAGATTGTTCCAAACAAGAGTCTTCTGGACTGGCTGAGACAACAGTCTGACTATACGCTTGAAATCCCTGGTTTTGGCGCAGTAAGTAAAAGTCCTGTATTTCAATTCTGTGCTTATTTATTTGCAGGTAACTTTTACTTACATTTTCATGATTGCTCCTTTTAGAATTTTTCAGAAAAGCCTAAACAAAGAAGGCAACGCTGTAAGGACCCAAGCAAATTAGACATAAATTCTCTCACAGGAGAGGAACGAGTGCCTGTGGTCCATAAGGGTACAGGACGGAGGGTAAGCACAATCAATTACTGTATTTGTCTTCTAAGTGAGTTGACATGAAGCAACTCACAAAAGCAATTCATGAAACTCTACAAACAAAAAATAGCTACTCACCAACATAAGTTCTGTGTGTACTCTCCTGTTTTTGCTTGGTGAGGACAGAGGCAGACAAGATTCTTACAAGTCAGTTAGAGTAAAAGCAATTCCCTTTTGGAGGATTTCTAGAAAGACCAGAATGGTTTGACCCTTTCCATACAACAGTGATTAAGAGTGCTATTTTTCAATTAGCCCCATGTTCCTGTAACTATCAAGGCAAGAAAAATATTGTCTGCTGTGCACCAAATAGATTTTATTCTAAAAGCACTGAGTGATTCTTTCATGCATTAGAAGTCTTAAAGGATCCCCAACTTCCTGGACTACTTAAATTATTTCTCCTACCACTTCTTCCTGCACAATCCTAACATGCTTGTTCACATTGCTCTCAGAATTGTTGATGCCAGATTTTCTCCCTCTACTACAGTGGTGAGCAGCTTGCCACTCTTCTGAAGTTTTGGCCTACATGTCCCATCTTCCCTTACTGTTGACTAGAACTAAAACCTCTGGAAAGACACAAATTGATCGTTCCTGTTCTGCTAGCCAAGCCATGCAATTGTAATACAGAAGAGAAATTTAAGAAGTTCAAGCAATGTTAGGCGAACTGGTGTTAGCATGTAGGTTTTGTACTTTGGCTGGGAAAGTAGATTTGTTGGCAATGTGATGGTTTTGACAGCTTAGTTTGTGGTCATATACCACTGAGAAATATTCCTATGGATACATTACATTTTCAAAGTTTTATTTTTAATGCAAATGACCAGAAATTTAGTTTTATTCTTAAAGAGAAGAAAATAGTAGATAAGAAACAAGCAGGGAACTCAACAGTGCCTTGATTTCCCCCTCCCCTGATGTTTAATCATAATTTGCTTGTGTAACATTGTTTAGTATTTTCTACAACAGAAGCCATTATTTTACTGTGTTTTATAGTTAGGGGGAGCTATGGCACCAGCACTGAAGGAACTGCCAAGGTGGCTTGATGCAAACATGGAGTATGCTGTTGCAGCTGACTGGTCTGATATTGTTAAGCTTTCGGTATGTTAAAATTTTGGGGAAATCTCTATCATGTCATTTTTTCTTTTGTCTGTACTTTTAACACACCTTTTTCAATGAATTTTTTAAACAGCGAACACAACTCAGGGAACTCCATTGCATATAAACTGCTCAATGTAGACACAAGCTGCCTTTCTGAATTGAAATTTCACATCTGTGAACATCAGGCCAGGGATCGTTCAGAGTGTATCCTGATACATCTTTCATTACTGATTTGTCTGAAAGTCTGTCAGTATAAGAAGACTCCTAATTGATTTCTCTCTTTCTCAACCACTCTGGTTTGCATCCCTGGTGTGCTAACAGTATAGTTAGATTCTCAATTTGTTGCAAAAGCCTAATAGAAGATTTCATTAAATTATTTCATGAGGGCTTCAACCTTTTGGGATAAGGTCCTTCTAGATCCATTTTTTTAAAAGTGGGGTAATAAGCATTTAATAACAAGACATAATCTTATGTATGTTTGCTCAGATATTCTGGTGTGCTTAGTGGGGCTCACTTCTTAGATATATGTTTAGGATTTCAGTCTGTACCCACTTTCTTGGGATCAGTGTGCAATGAATTTTCATCTGTGAAAATATGCGTAACATTTGCACTGTTACGTTAATCTGTTAAGTGGAATTGGCAAAATGTTAAAGTTAATTTTTCCAACAAAATCCATGAAAATAGTTTGAGTTTTGTGGGATTGATGGAACTTTCATCATTGCTTTTAATTTTCAGTAATACAGAATTATACTTCAGAGTTTATTCAGTTGGGGGCACAGCTGAAGGACCAGGTGTAGGATCTCTAAAATGCTAATAACTTTTGATATTTCTGTTTTGTTCCTCTCATTGTCAGGGCTTTTTACCTGAAAGCAAGTTCAATCGGATTCTCACTGAGCCTGTACTCCGAGATGCTGGACCTCGGAGGAGAGGACGGAGGCCAAGAAGTGAACTGTTTAAAACTCCTGGCATAGTAGCAGATGCTTCTTCTGGAATGGGACCATTATTCATGAATGGACTTATTGCTGGGATGGATTTAGTAGGACTTCAGAGTATGAGAAACATGCAAGGCATTCCTTTAACTGGGTTAGTTGGGTTTCCTGCTGGATTTGCAGCAATACCTGCTGGTGAGGATGTCAAAAGCACTCTGAGCATGTTGCCAATGATGTTGCCAAGCATGGCTGCTGTACCACAAATGTTTGGTGTTGGTGGACTTCTCAATCCATCAGTGACAACTACTTGTACATCAACTGTTCCAGCTTCATTAGCAAGCACAACTAAAAGTGGTACTTTGCATGCAGAAAAAGATGGTGAAAGCCAGAGTGGCCAAAGTGCAAAAACGGAAACACTTTCTGAAAACAAGTCAGATCCTAGTTCGTTTTCTGATCAGTCAGAACCTGCAATAACTACCAGTAGTCCTGTAGCTTTTAACCCATTTCTTATTCCAGGAATGTCATCTGGACTGATCTATCCCTCAATGTTTCTTTCTCCTGGTATTGGCATGACATTGCCAGGCCTTCAGCAAACTAGACATTCAGAGGCAACAAATCTAGAAAACCAGAAACGGAAGAGAAAGAAAACTAAAGGGGAATTAGCAAATCCAGAACCAGAAACTCTCTTGCTGTCTGACAAGGAACATGCAGCAAACAATCAAAACTGTAAAGAACAAACACCATCTGTGTCAGCAGAAAATGAACATGATGTACCAGCAGAGGAGGAGGAGGAGGAGGAGTTAAAAGAAATTACAGATATCAATTAGAACTTTTGATTCTTTCTTGAAAAAAATAATATTGTGGCTTGTAAGTTTCTCATCCCATAAATATTTGTTACTGCCCTCTGTCCCTTCACCTTCATAAAAACCTGTGTTTCTAGAAGTAATATTATCTACCTAATTCTTGGTAAGAAAACTATGGTGACTTGTTAATAATTGCAGGGTCTTGCCATAGAGATAAGCAGCATTTTTCAGTTAGTATGGGAGGCACAGAATCCTTGTTCATCTGTCCACCTGTTTAACCTTCCCTTCTTCCAAACAGTAGTAAATAAGAACTTGGTCAACCCCAAAACTGCTTGCTTGTTTGAGGAAAAAAATCTGAGAAAAAGAAATGCTTGTCTTATGATGGAAACACAGGAAAAGGTAGCTGTTTTTACAATGACACTGAAATTTAAAAAAAAATGTATTTTGGGGTAAAAAGCACAGTTATAGTAAGTGCTAATGTGTATTTTTTGATTTAAAGTATTTCCCTATTTTATCATGGTTACTAGAGTAGCAGTATAGACAGAAGTATATAACTAATGATTGAAAATGCATATATTCATTTGTTTTTTTAAGGCATTAATAGTAGATAAATAATTTCCTCCTATTCACACTACAAAGTTTTGGAAACAAACTACTGTAAGTGGAAAGATTACCTGAACTTTTATATTTCTAAAACCAAATCTTGTTTAAGGTGCATTTCACTTGTCCTTTCTTTGATTCTTAGGCCATTTCCAGCTCCTACTGAGAATTTGATGCACATCTTCCAAGGTTTTTTTTTTGGGGGGGGGGGATGCTGTGGTGGGAGAACAGGCTTAACAGCTCTCAGGGTTTGGGGGGGGGGGGGGGGGGTTCCATCTTGCCTACTATTCATTTCCCACAAAGGCCCTTGATAAATTCTCCCACGTGCCCCAGGAAAAGGCAAACCACTGATTTTAATTTTCTTATGTGGGAACTGGATCTCACTTTTATCCATTCTTTTCCATCCCCAAGTCATTATGTTTATTTTTGAAAACTGACTCATGTTAGATGGTCTTTGGCAAGGGCTGGTGACCATTTCAAAGCTTGAGTTTATCATCCATTTCTATTATTAGACTGTGAAAACAATTTTGCTCTTTTCCCCCATTCCTCTTGATCCCTTGCGCTGTTGAGTAGTATTTTCCAGCATCTCTGCATATACATTTTGTGTGTTTCAAAATGAAACTCTTTAAAAACAGGTTTCCAAAGCTCCATGTGTTGAAATGCCCCCCACAGGCAACTCTTTTCTTTTTATTCTCACTCCTATGTCACTTTCTTTCACTTGGGCTTGTTCTACTTTATAGCTCATGGTTCAAGACTTGAAAAAAACCACTTTGTGGTGTGATGTTTAAATGGCAGACCATTAAGAGGAGCTTCGGAGTGTATGCTAGTATTCAGTTTCACATTTGGTTTGTCACAATTTACTGTATTTTTTACTTATATTTTTTCTGTTACAGTTTTGCTAATTTATCAAATGGTCCAAATGTTTTGACATAACTATTTCAGTTTGCATTATTTATTTATGATGCTTTTTTCATTGTCTTTTATACATTTGGGATTATAAAGTATGTACATGTTAAAATTAGCATCTCAAAGAAGTCTGTTACCCATGAACTAAAGTCTGTATGTTACAGTGAATTTATTCTCCGTTTACTGGGTTGGAATCAGTTTCAACAATAGGTGTTGCAATAAAATAAAAATGACAATGTTACAGGCCCTATTTAATACCACCCTGTAACATACATACTGTATCACTATTGACAGATTTCTTGGAAATGCTGCTATCTCTGTTTAACTAACATTTTGTTCAGTTTTGCCTCCAGTGGAAGCAGAGAGGTTTTTTCAGCTGTTAAATCCAAAATCAATATAATTTATTTATGTAAAAAAATCACTTGATATATTTTTGAACCTTTTAAGTACTAACTTTTTATTTAGTAGAAAAACATGTACTTACCCTAAATCCTTAAAATACAAATGATATAAAACTTCATATATCTTGAAAGCCTTACTGTGAATGGATGCAGAAGTCTCTTTGGAGTCTATTTGTAATATATACAAGGATTATTTGCCAGGGTTACTCTTGTAAGGAACAGGGTTGATTGAACTTTATTTGTCAGCATGTTCTATATACCTTGTTCTTCTTATTTACCGTGTGTGTCCGAGTGTGTAGGCTTCTTTTTGACTTTTAATGTGTGACCCTTTTTCAGTGATGGAGCTGTTATGGCTTATTTACAGCAAAAGGCTACTTTTTATTACCATGACCATCTTCAAGAGCAAATGCAAATTTCCCACTTATTTCATGAACACACACACAAACATAGATGCTTCATCAAATGTGCTTTTAAAATAAACTGTCTGTGCTTGTAAAAATGGATAAATAGATTTAAAAGTCAGATTTTTAATTTTTTAATTTAGTGCCTATATTATGCGTTTTTAAAAACCTTGGCAGAGCCTTGCAAATGATGTATATACTTTTTTCTAGCAAATCTCTTTCTGATTGTGTTGCTTGACTTGGAACTAAACATGATTTGCTTTTTTCTCAGCATGAGCACTGTTTTGGCCTATAGCTTACTTTTCTTTCATATTACTTCCCATATGACCCAAGACACCCCTGCTGTATAAACTATGCATCAATCTAGGGCTGGGTATTAAGTGCAGGATATTTACATGCAATGCTAAACTACAATGCAATTTTAAGCAATCCCTTGTAATCAGTATCAGACATTGTTTTCAAGTGTTATATAACAGTCCAGTGATAAAAGAGCCCAAGCTAACAGAACTAAAGATGTTCCACAGGTCAGCTGACTTTGTACAGTGGTGCACCATTAAGACAGTCTTCTAGCAATCCATGCATATCACACAACACATTCAGTTAAAAATAAAATATATAGTCATTTCACATGTTGAGATCCTGAGACATTCCCTTTAAAAAATATATCATGTTGAAGACTACAAAAAAGCTCTCTGTGTTAGGCTTTTGATGAGATCATCATTGTGCTCTTAATATTTTCTAGTGACAACAGATACCTTTATTGTATACATCTTTGTGGTTCAGAGCAATGATACGGGTTTCTGGAAAATGTTGAACTGGAAAAATTTCCAGTACAATTTACACTAATGTGTATTGACAGCAAAACCACAGTAGTAAGAGTTCCATTTCTCACAGTAGCATATATATTCTTACATATTTGCTAGAGATGATCACCTGAAGAACAATTCCAATTTTGAAACTGCCACTCTTGCCTATTATTGTAATTGGCATCCATTCATTTGTTGCTAATTTATGAAATGGAACATTTTCCATGGAAAAATAAAATACTGAAAATTTCCTACCATGCATCTCTGCTTCACGGTGAGAAAACCTGCAGGATCTTCAGATAATCACAGAGTTCGACCAGGCTAGTAGGTCCCTAGATCACAATTCTTTGGATCTACCAATGCCAATTGTAGATTGGCAATGTCCAAAGAAATGAATGTTTTGTCATGTATACTATTCTGCTTAAGCAAAGATTTTTTCAGGAGCTTGAGTTTCATTATAGAGGTGTTTATACATTGTAACCCCCTTTTTATCGATCAAAAGCATATAGTAATGTATCAACGAGCCACAAGGTTTATAAAAGTTGGCATGGATTGTCCCTTTGGTAGATTTGGTAACACTTTTTTTCAGAATGGACAGAACTCTGGACTGGAGGCAGAACCTTAAATGACATTGGCCAACATAAGAAGGAGCTATCTAGACTGCTAGACTACACAAATCCTAGTATATTATGTTTTGCTCCAGATTGAGAAGCCACCTGATTTTTGAATGTTTGCTGTGAATGAAGAACAGGAAAAGAAGCCAGAACTCGGAATGTTAGTATCATGCCAACAACTCCATCATTCACCTGGTTTGCACTTAATGATGGCAGTTCATGGATTACCCCAGGAATTGCCACAGATGTATACTGTGTTCTGCTGTTGAGTTAACTCTGTATTATTTAACCCACGTTTAACCCACAATTCCCTGAGCTCAGACGTCACGAAATACATGCTGTATATCCTTGGAGATTAACTCAGGAATTTTCACAATCACATTGTCTATCTGTCATCTCAAGAGAATGGTAATTTTTAAGACCTGCATTGACTAATCACCTTGTTTCAAGATGAGTCTTACTCCAGAGAGGGAGTTCCAGATTCTGGAACCAGTAGTCTCGCTTCATGACAGTATGGCCTTGCACCATGGCACCAGAATTCAGAACTTGGCTGTTGATCTATAAACTCATCTCACAGGAAAATATATCTAAAAGAGCACAAGACCAGACAGCTGCTTCCCAAATGGCAAAATGATAGGATGTCAAGGAGTTGCTTGTACTTGTCCCAGCTAATTATTTAGGGCCAAGGTGGACAACTTGTAGTCCTCTAAATGTTTTGATCTGCCATTCTTGTCACCCCTTACTATTGGTTATGCTAGTTAGGTCTGATAGGTGCTGTAGGCCAAAACTTCTAGAGGGGCATAAATTGCCTGTCCCTGCTTTAAAAGCCCAGCCTCAAGTTAGGGGTCCTGAGAATGATTTTTAAGTGTGCTGCCTCAAGGGGTTCTTGCTAAGACTGAATTATTTTTATCAATTGCATTTTCATGGATTTTTATAAAATCAAGGCTTCATTTTACCAGAAGTACCTATTTCATATATTGAAGGAAATGTAAGACATCTTAAAAGAAGCAAAACTACCAATTATTAGAAAGAGAAGCTGATTTAAAAGTTTTGTTCCTTTTCATAAAATTTAATTTTTCATATTTCCCTTTTCTGTATACTTGTCAACAGAATAAACCTGTAATTCATAGCCTTGAAATTCGCCTTCCTTAATTACAGTGAATCCCCCACAATGATGATCAATTTACCACTTTAAACTATTCCTTGAAGCTCTGGTTACTTCAACTGTTTGACTAGGGTAACCCTTAAAACTTTTTACCCCAGGACCCAGACTGTCAGTATTCTAACATCAAAGGCATAAGTCAGCATGGGAGTGAGTTCACTGGCTCACACATCCGTGTTAAATTTGACTACTTTCTGCTAGCTTCTAGAGTGCAATGCTGGTTATTACTGGTAGAGAAATACATTTCAAAAGCATGTATCCCTTCTTTGCTTATATACAGAGCAACCCTTTCTTTTTGCCATAGAAGTAAAATCACAAAGTGGTAGATGCAGCTTTAGGGTTACCTCAAAGTAACGGCCGGTGCAACAAATAATCTAAAGGAACGTGAAGACGCTCTGCTTTATAGAAACAGGCATAGCCCTTCGAGTAGCCTAGCTGAGTAGCCAGCTTGCATATGTAAGAGTGGGGTTATGTATAATAAAAAAAGCAGCTATAACTAGTTATTGCTCCTTGCTAGTGCTTTACGGGAAGGGAGATGCTCTCCCTCCCCCTCAACCTGGAAGCCTAATCTAGGTATGATAATTATCTGAGGTTAAAACAAGAGTCTTGTGGCACTGGTACAAGTTTTATAGATTAGAGTCCACTTTTTCATATGCCTGCCTAAATGGATAGTCACATAAATGGTGAATACGAAGAGAGCAAAAGTATTTTTTCCTAAGGAAAAAAGGTTGAGCAATGCAAGAAATAGTAGTGCAGCTGTAGGTATACGTACAGCCAGAGCAGGATCAGTATTTTGAGCAACTGCTTTCATGAGGCTTAACCAAGCTATTAAGTCAGGGGTACAATCTATGCATATTTAGAAGGGGGCAGAGTTTGATTCCCCTGCTAGAATGGCTGAATGGCCAGAATTCCTCTGCTAGAATGGCTAGAATGTTTGGAAGTGTAGGATTTTTGTCTGACAACATGCACAGGATTGCTCCCAAGACTTTTAACGAGCTGAAGTTGCAGCTCCTTTTCAAGAAAAGGCTTGTGTTTAGAATAGAAACATGTACCAGTTGTATACATTTGTATTCTAACTAGACACAGCATTAAAATACACTTGAATCGTGTATCATAGTAAAAGACATAATAAATACTAAAACATAATAGAGCTATAAGATGTCCGGTTCGTATGAGGAAATTTAGCATACTTCTAGAGAACTGCTTGACCGTGGGAGAAGGATGTGTTTTCCCTTTTCTTCGTATAGTCTATTTACATATATATTGACATATACAATACGCATATCCGTCCGTACAACTTCCCACCTATGTAAATAGCCACGCGCGACGTGAGGTCTGGGCCATAGAAAAGGATCCAAAATATATTAGCTTTTTAAGATGTCAGTCTCTTCCCTATGTTGATCCAACAGACCACACAGTCACGCCTGGAATTAGTGTAGGATGCGTACTTTTTCTAAGGGGAAGGAGCTGCTGATCCACACGCTCTCGGACTGAGCAGTGGCTTTTTAAAAAGTTGCTAAACCGAACGAAGCCCCTCCTCTCCTACCTACAATCCATCGCACATATACGTAGAAGTGCTCTGCATAAATTTGCAAAAGGTGATTGGGCAGAATGATAAACCACTGCCGGGAGCGAAGGGAAAGACTGCGGTTACTTTTCTTACGTTCTAGCCCCACCGGCACCCTCTCACTGTTTGGGGCGTGGGTCGGGTCTCTCCCCGCCTACAGATGACGGGCAGTTTTGGCGCGCTCGGCGCAAAGAGTTGTGGGTACAGCCGAGGCTGTTTGCGAGGAGGGTGTTTTGGAGCCGGGGCCGAGGGCATCATCATGTCGACCGAAGACGATGACCCCGCTGGGGAGCCTGGAAACACTCCGTGCCCTGTCCGGGCCGCCATTGACCACCTCTGTCAGGAGCTGAACTTGGACGCTGGCAGCACCGCCGAGGCCCTTCGGGAGTTCAGTGCTCTTCGAGGCACCTACAGCTTGGAGGTGGGACGCCACCTCTCTGTCATGAGATGATGGGCGGCCGGGCAGGCCAGTAGCAGAGGCTTGTATTGCTGCCCTTCTGTGGCTTGTCGGGTCGAGGGCGATGCGATGTTGCATAATGAATGGGGCTTCTTCCCCCACACCTCAGGATCGCTCCTGTCGCCCGTCACGTGGAAGTGTGAAGGTTGTGCTTGAGCTGGGTCACTAGTAGGCTTTCTAGAGAAAGTTTTCAGTAGATCCAGGACATGTTCCAGATTAGGGCGAGCGAGGTGCCCTGTCTGCTCTCGCCTCCCACCCCAGCAGCGGTCTTACTTCAGGCTCCCTCACGTCTGCGGCCTTACCTAGCAGAAGTGAAAACAGCTCAACCAAGCAGCGAGAGGAGGGGAGCCACCTTCCTCATGTCTCAGCATAGAAATGTGGGGGGCTTCTGAGGCAGGGCTATTGCTCCTTGTTTTTCCGCTGCCATTCCATGCGGGCTAGCAACTTTCAAGGGGTTATTTACCAGGTTGGGTCATCACAGTTGCCTTCTAGTTATGCACTCCGTAACAGGTAGGAGGTTGGAAAAAGCTGCAACAGATTAAAATGACTTTGGATTTCCGTAACTCTGACCCACCGATTCTGCACCTTCTGAATCATGCAGACATATGATTTTTTTTTAACTTAACAGAAGTGTATACATATTTAGTAGGGAAAAATGTGAATGTTACGGGAAAATATGCTAATATAACACAGACACCATTTTATATATCTCTGAAGTTTCTTTAGCCTCAGCTTTGTTGGCACTCTTTTTTCTGCTCACTACCATACACTCAGCTAAGAATATAAGGCAAAATACTACATTCCAGCAAAAGTTACATAAATTATGGTTGATGTTTTTGTAGACTTTTCAGCAGGGGAATAATTCCAGTTCTGCCACTGATTGGACAAGTGGAACAGCTTAAAGAAAATGTATGCATTCCAAACTGATGGGTTTACTCAAGAGCAGTGGTGGCCAGGGAGCTGCTCAGCTCCCAACCTTTTACATTGCTGCCACTGCCACCACATAAACCACAGATGTGCACATGAGAGTAAGGGACAGGACCCAGCTTCCCCATTACATTGATGAAGCCTGTAACTGGCTGGCTCTTGCTGCTGTTAGTTAAGCCAGCCTGTATGCAAATGAACAGCTGGTGGCTGCAACGGGTACCCAGTAGGTAATGAGCACTATTCATGGGGCGCAGGGCAGATGTCAAGTCCTATTGGTCCTAGTGGCGTGTATAAGCCTCAAAAGATGCCCTGATACGCTGGATGCAGTGGCATGAGTATGTTTTTAGGTGAGCATTTACTTATCACTGACTTTAATCTCATAACATGAAATGCATAAGCTGCATGTCCATTTAGAGCAACTTGTATGTGCCTGGAGCTTGCCTTTTTCTGCTGCTGAGTGCTCAAAGGAATGTGCCAAGCATTAAAAAGCTTCGTAACCTACCTGTATAACCTAGTAGCTTGGCTTGTTCATTACTGAAGTAAACTGTTCTGGGTAAAAGGGACAGAATAAAGCTGTACTAACTAGATTTCACCTGCTTCATTAATTTCCTGCTGGACACTTTCTCATGGTTTTCTCTGTTAAGGAAATATCTACAGCAGGAAAGCCTCATCATGGCTGAAGAGGGCTATTGACCCACTCCGGTTAGCTTTCTACAATTATCTTCATGAATGTATCGCCACTTTTTGGTTAGGGTGACAAGCAAAAAGCCTCCCAAGTTTGCACTTGCAGGCATAGATGGGGATCAGTCTAGCTCCAAAACTGAGACAAAAGCTGTGTGGTTGAAAGTATGCTCCATCCCATTATCTCCTACAGAGTATTGAGCATTGGCTGAAACTTGAACTCTCAGCTTCTCTTTTTATAGGAAAAAAGCTGAAATAGAGCAATATGACATGATTTATTACTTTCTCACTATTGAATGTATTATAAATCTTGAAAGCCACTGTGGTGCGGTGGTTAATATTTTCAATTAGGAGCTGGAAGGCCCAGGTTCACATTCTCCTTCAGTCTGTAGTATGGTTGATCGTTACTTTCTTTCTGCCTAACCTACTTCACAGGGTTGTAGTGAGAATAAAATTAGATGGGAAATACCCGTGTATATTATATTGAATTCTTTGGTAGAAAGGCAGATGTATAATACACAAATATTGACTTGTAGCATTAAATACCATCTGGCAAATTCAATATTCCTGTTAGCTGCTTGTGGGATTTATTTAAAGTCTCTTCATAGTATTCATAAATGTTGTGGGGGAAAATAGAAGACTATAAACTACCTTGAAATGTTGTTGTTAGTGAATCAACTAGGAGAATTTTCTTGAGAGCTCTCTCAGTTCAAATTAAATTAAGCATTTGATACACATTTTGAGTGAAAATTAGCAAGACTAGAATGTGCAAGTTTCAGAATACACTACTGAACTCAAATATTAAGTCTGGTATATTTTTAATCAAGTATTGGAATACATGGTCAGTGTTCCAAGTACAAATTTGTGGCTTTATTGATTTCTTGCAAGTTGAATGCAAAGGATGGGAATCTTCTTGCTTAGATATTTGGTGGTTTCAAGAGATGACCTGGTTTAAAAATTCCTTGCAAATCAAATACATGTGTAGGGGACCAGTGAGTATTTAAAAATATCCCAAACTGTCTGTATAGATATATAAGGATGAAGGAATGTGTCATTTAATGAACCTAGGATATCGGCATTAGATTTTGCTATTGTGGCAGTTATTTATTATTCATTAGATTTTATACCCATCCTTTTTCTTATGAAGAAAAACTGAGAGCAGAGGTAGAGTTAATTCTTCCATGCCAGCACTCATGGCAATGGGTTAAAGGGATAACTTGTTGCTCACTGGCTTCATAGAAACTGCATAGCAAGCAGTGTTTGCCTTTCATTTAAAAGAGTTGCTGTTAAAGAATTCTAACCTAAGAGAATTCTCCCCATATATACTAGACTGCCATGGAACTCCTGTGCAGTGCCGAACATACTGACACATGCTCAGAGTTCAATTACAAGGACTGGCAAGCCTTATGTATTCAAAACGGACACATAAATGGACAGTATATCTCAGAACACATAGTAAGAGATCAGTGATGGCGCGCAACCTGTCTTTCGAAGAACCTTGCCCAGTGCTTGTGATTTTCCTCCTGAGATACTCTGGTTACTCTTAAAAAATAATGGTATATTTACGTTTTAAATAAATTAATAAAAGAATTTATAATTTAAAATATTAATGTTAAATTATTAAATTAGAATGAAATAGAGTATCATTAGAATATTTTTATCTGTCATGATACCAAGAGAATACTGATTATTTTCCAAAGCTTGTAATTCATATTTTCATATAAAGAGATTTTACTTAAAATTGAGCATTGTTGCTCTTGATAATTTGTTCGTTTGTTTTCTAGGGGGAAACAGTACATTGGTTGGCTTGTGCATTATATGTTGCTTGCCGTAAGAGTGTAATCCCCACTGTAGGAAGTGGCTTGATGGAAGGAAATTGTGTCTCACTTACCAGGATTCTGCGCTCAGCAAAGCTAAGGTATTGTTGATCTTTAACCAAGGAGTGAGTGTCCATGTCTGTCTATTTTTCTTATTTTGGAAAGATGAACTAATTGGTTGTATTTATTATTTTTGCCTAAGCAGTTCAGAATTAAAATTTTAAGCAGGCTATGAATTAACCATTTCTTGAGGTACTAAGCTAGTCTTAGATAGGAAATAGTACAAAGCTGAAGAAGTATTTTCAGATTTCATGGTTTCTCACTACAATTCCAGAAGAATAATGCTGCTTTTAGGGTACACTGTTTAGACAAAGCTAGTAAATTTCATGTATTTAGACCCCCAAAAATGGTTTCCATCTAAGTATGCATAGGATAGTATCCTAAATGTTTTTGAGCTAACTACTTCCTCTTTTTCATGAGCTTTAGAAATAAACACACGTATACTTACAAATACAAGACTCCTGCTAGATAAAGGATGTTGAAAAGTGGTATAGAGCCTTAGCTTTGTTTGTTTGTTTGTTTATTTGGTGAGCTTCTATGCCGCCCCATTCGCCGAAGCCTCGGGGCAGCGCTCAGCAATAAATAAATACATGTCAACCATATAAAAACAATATAATAACAATATAATTGGAGACATCCTGGCCAAAGATATAAAATCAATAAATCATGTTAACAATTATGTTAACAATTAACAATTATTAACGATTGTATTTTTATGTTTATTTTGGATGTTGTGAGCCACCCCGAGGCTTTGTTGCAATGGGGGCAGCACAGAAATGTTTTAAATAAAAAAATAAAATAAAAATGACGTTTAAATAAAAAGGTCTTGACCTGGCGCCGAAAAACAAATAATGACAGCGCCAGGCGGACCTCTCTGGGGAGCGCATTCCATAGATTGGGCGCCACCGCAGAGAAAGCCCTCTTCTGGGTGCTTAACCTCCTAATATCCTTCACGGAGGGTTCCCGCAGACGGGCCTCTCCTGCTGATCTCAAGGGGCGGGAGGGCATGTATGGATGTAAGCGCTCCTTCAGGTAACCAGGACCCAAGCCGTTAAGGGCTTTATAGGTAATAACCAACACCTTGAATTGGGCCCAGACGTCATTCGGGAGCCAGTGAAGCTGACAGAGGACTGGAGTTATGTGAACATTTTGCACCAATTGAAGTATCTGGACCGTCTTCAAGGGCAGCCCCACGTAGAGCGCATTGCAGAAGTCTAGTTGGGAAGTTACTAATGCGTGTGTCACTGTCGCCAGGCAGTCGTACTCCAGGTAGGGACGCAGCTGATGGATCAACCAAAGCTGAAAGAAAGCGCTCATCGCCACCGCTGTCACCTGAGCTTCAAGTGAAAGCTCTGGGTCGAGGAGCACTCCCAAGCTGCGGACCTTGTCCCTAAGAGGGAGTGCAACCCCATTCAGGACAAGGTCAAGGTCCCCTTCCCCGAAGCCTGATCCGCCTACCAACAGGACCTCCATCTTATCTGGATTGAGCTTCAGTTTATTGGTCCTCATCCAGCCCATTACCTTGGCCAGGCACCGATTCAGTACAGCCACTGCCTCACCTGGATTGGTAGAAAACGAGAGGTAGAGCTGGGTATCATCAGCATGACCTCTCCCAGCGGTTTCATGTAGATGTTAAATTGCAAAGGTGACAAAATGGATCCCTGCGGTACTCCATGGCATAACTGCCATGGCGCGGAGCCATAGTCCCCCAGCACCACCTTCTGGAATCGGCCATTGAGATAGGAGCAGAACCACTGCAAGGCAGTGCCTCCAACCCCCAATCCCGCTAGCCTATTCAGAAGGATACCGTGGTCAATGGTATTGAAATCTGCTGAGAGGTCCAGGAGAACCAACAGGGATGCACTCCCCCTGTCTTTCTCCCTGCACAGGTCATTGTACAGGGCGACCAAGGCAGATTCAGTACCGTACCCAGGTCTGAAGCTGGACTGAAATGGGTCCAGATAATCAGTTTCGTCCAAGAGTGCTTGGAGTTGTCTTGCCACCACCCTTCTTGCCCAAAAACAACACCTTGCCCAAAAACGGGATCTTGGCCACTGGTCTATAATTAGTGGCCATCTCTGGATCCAGGGACACCTTCCTCAGGACTGGTCGGACTACCGTCTCCTTTAAAGGGGCAGGTACCCGGCCGTCTCTTAAAGAGGCGTTAACCACTTCCAGGATCCAGGTCTCTATCCCATGCTTGGCGTTGTTAATTAGCCAAGATGGGCAAGGGTCCAATAGGCAGGTGGTGGGATGTACTCATCCAAGCACCTTGTCCACATCATCAGGCCGCAGTAACTTGTCCATCAATTTTGGACCAGACGGTGACATTGGTATCTCCCCAGAAGCCTCTGGGTCACTAGTGGAGTCCAGCTCGTGACGAATCTGAGTGATTTTCTCCCTAAAATGCTTGGCAAAGTCGTCACAGTGGGCCTTCGAGGGTGGTACTGGATCTTTCTAAGGGCCAAGGTGAACCAGCCCTTGTATCACCCGAAAAAGCTCTGCTGGATGGCATTGTGAGGAGGCAGTGGAAGCGGAGAAGAATTTCTTTTTCGCCGCCTTCACCACCACAGCATAGGCCCGATAATGGGCTCTTAAGTGTGTTTGGTCAGATTCATCCCGTGACTTCCTCCACCTACACTGTAGTCGTCTCCCAACCCACTTCATTGCCCGCAATTCAGGTGTATACCAAGGGGAAGAGTGGGCTCTGCCCAGCGGGAGAGGATGCTTGGGAGCGATCGTGTCAATAGCCCTGGTCATTTCCCCATTCCATAGTTTGACCAGAGCATTGACAGGAGCACCAGTCTTGTCAACCCGAAACTCCCCCAGGGCCTTCAGGAATCCATCTGGATTCATCCGGCTCCGGGGGTGGACCCACGCAATCGAGCCCACACCCTTACAGAGGGAAAGGCTGCTCTCGAGCACAAACCTCACGAGGAAGTGATCTGACCATGACAGGGGTGTTAGACACAAATTCCTCACCCACAGACCACCCTCATCCTGCCCCATGGAGAAAACCAGGTCCAGAGTGTGTCCACGTTCATGGGTCGGGCCTGACATGTTGAGACAGCGCCATGGAGGCCATGAAGTCCTGAGCCGCCCCGGTCAGACCGGTCTCGGCATGGAGATTGAAGTCCCCAGGACCGACATCCTGGGAGTCCTCAACACCAGGTCCGAGATGATCTCCATCAGCTCAGGCAGAGAGTCTGTTGGGCAGAAGGGTGCACGGTACACCAACAGAATTCTCAGTCTGTCTTGGTTGCCCAACACCAAGTAGAGGCACTCTAGCCCCGGCCTCAAGGGAACTGGAAGCCCTGTGAGGGAGATGGAGGCTCGGTAAACCAAAGCAACCCCCCCACCCCTCCCCTCCAGGCGTGGACGGTGCTGAACTAGATACCCGGGCGGGCACATTTGAGAGAGGGCAACATCCCCCCCCACCCAGGTCTCTGTTATGCAAGCCAGGTCGGCCCCCTCATCCACAATCAGGTCGTGGATGAGGGACGATTTGTTGTGGACCGACCTGGCATTAAGCAGCAGCACCGTCAGGCCTGGGGGGCGGCTGACAAAACTACCTGGCACCCTCTGGCTGGGGGTAGAACCAGAAGGAGGGACAGGTGTCAACCATCTGTCCCTCCTTCTACGTGGACATGTTAAACCCCCACCACTGTAACATCCATTGCCCACAACCACCCCAGTGGCAGCGCCCACGTGCTCCCCAGGTAACCCAACCGTCGACGTGACCAGGAACGACTCCATAAAAACAAGTTAAAATACAATAAAAACGTTAGAACAATATAAAACTCCCTGTCTACCCCCAGTATAAAATTCCACCCACCTCTAAAGTCCCTCGCCAGCCCAGCCCCCGCACAGCCTCGAACGGCCTCGAATGGCGGCGACCGCCCTTTGGCCGTCGCCCCTTCGGCCGCTGGCCCCGGCTGCGTCCGGCGAGTTAAGCCAGCGCCTGTCCCCGCACCCCGCCCCCAATCTGGCATTGCTTTCACCAACGCCGGCAGCGGGGGGTGCAGAGCAGGCGCGGGGAACTTGCCGGCCGGCAAGATGGCGGTGCCCTCCTCAGCAGTGGGGCGGCGGCCTCGGCATCCTCCGACCCCGGGATGGTCCAGCAGTGGCTGCAGGAACGGCGTCAGCTGCCTCCCGGAGCCCGGCAGAATGCCACGATGTGCTCAGCGGTGGCGGCAGCACGACGGCTGCGGCAGGTGTTCCGAGGGGGGAGGGGACCCAGCTCCAAATTCTGAGCTTTGCCCTCATTGCTGAAACAGCTGACAAAAACAGCAACTCCACTGAGTGATAATACAATGTCAATTCACTGTATTTTCAACTTCTGCTATGCAGTTAATTTAACAAAAGCATAGTCCTGAGTTTAATATACGCAGTTAGGCAAATATACAGCAATACCAAATAGGATTGCTCTGCTTCTGCTTGATCCATTGCAGTTGTGTGACCTATTGCTTGTACAATACAGCTTTGGTGCTTCTGAACTCTGAAAACCAGTGAAAATGCTCATTTCTGGATCAGGACTGGTCAGTAAAAACATAGAAACTTGGAAAATAAGCGAATCAGAAGGGGTCTCCCAGACTATCTAGTCTGACTCCTGGCTTCAGCCAGCTCCGCACATGTAATCCCCAACATGTGGCTGTCCAATCTTTCCTTGAAGATTGAGCAGTAGTGCACTTCTGTGAACTCTGCTGATCTACCCTATTATAGAAATAAGTATTTTCATGCATTTTTATTATGCTTCAGAAATGCCAATCTTTGTCATATGTGAGGGGGATTGTGCAAGCATATGGGCATACCAGGATACTACAATAATCATAATTGTTAAGCAAACATTGCCAAAATTACCCCCAAAACCATGATGCCCAGCAGGGAAGATAAATAAATAGTGCTATTATCTTCTTTCTTCTTTTCTGTTTTTTGTTGGTTTCATTCTCCTTAAGGAATTCAGTCTAATTTATTTACTGTTGCTTGTTAAGAATGATGAGTTGATGGGAAGGCAAGAGGGTATAATGTGTTGTCTACTGTTACTGTAAATGCTCTGAAAATGCATTAAAAGTTAGATACTATTTAAAATTATAAAGGGACACATTTTCAACAGATAATTTCTATTAATTATTTGAACTTCATTTACTTTTCTTACCAAATAATGCTGTAGTAGATAATTCAGTGCATATGAAAGAGCTAGCTTTAAATACATAGAATATGGAGTTTCCAGGTTTAGCTCTATAAAATATTTGGCCTGGCCAACTAACTGTTTTGCACAGTAGCCTATTTCATGGGATTGTCATAGGACTAGCTCCAGGGAATATGCATGTTGACCAGATGACTGCAACAATAAAATCATATCTTCATATTACTTCAGAGACAGCAGTCTCAAATGAAGTCAGTTCACATATTCAATTGTGAATCTTATTCGTTTATGCATGTATACATGGGTCCCAAATGAAATAAGAACTATAACATATATTGTATGTAGATAAAGCATTATAGAAATTATAAGGTAAGAGCATAATCCAATATCTTTTCCTTAGTTTAATTCAGTTTTTTAGCAAAATGAAAAAGTGGATGGACATGTCAAATCTGTCTCAGGAGTTTCGAGAGAGAGTGGAGAGGCTGGAGAGAAACTTTGAAGTATCCACAGTGATATTTAAGAAGTTTGCACCAATATTTTTAGATATATTTAAAAATCCTTATGAAGAACAACCAAAGCTACAAAGGAGCAGGAAACAAAGGTATCGTTACTTTGAGGTGATTCTGAGGTGTTTTGAAGTCTTTATTATAGGGTAAAACATATTTTTCTTAAACAAGTTGGCATCTTCTTATAATATTCCTCTGGTGCTGTATTAGTTTAGGTTCCCTAAATTGTTTCCTGGAGCCTAACTGAAACAATTTAATGGAAATATTTCATATTACAAAAATATTACAGAGACAATGGTGATAGCAGTGAACAGTTTCTTCAATGTGATAGATGGAAGTATTGCAATTGGAGGAATCTAGTCAAGTTCAAAATGTCTCCAGTAGTTTATAGAATTTGTTTCTTAAATTCAAGTGGCATTAAGACCCCAGCTACATCTCTTAAATTTGAAGTCAATTGAATGGTTTGCAGAATAATATTGTACAATTGAAACTTGTCTTTTCTTCCAACAGACAAGTGCCCTGTAGTGTTAAAGACCTATTTAATTTCTGTTGGACACTATTTGTTTACACAAAAGGTAAGTGATGGTTTAACTTTATTCTCTCTGTTTATTTTGAATTACTTACTGTGTAATTGACCAGATATAGTCTCTTCCAAAGGTAATTTCCGAATGATTGGAGACGATCTTGTGAACTCATACCATTTATTGCTCTGCTGCTTGGATCTGATTTTTGCACATGCATTGAAGTGTCCTTACAAAGAAGATCTACTGAATTCATCTTTCAAAGGTATCTGCTTGATTTTTCCTAATTAACATATAAATTTTTCATTTGGCTTTTGAAGTGTTTACTTTTAAGCTGTTCATCTTAAGCTGTTGGATACTTCCCTTTTTTATAGGTTTGCCAGAAGACTTCAACACAGCTGACTCTAGAACAACTGAACCACCTCCCTGCATCATAGCCTCTCTCTGTGAATTACATGATGGCCTTTTGGTAGAAGCCAAGGGTATAAAAGAACATTATTTTAAACCCTATATCTCAAAACTCTATGACAGGAAGGTACATACAAATAATCATACATCATTTATTCAGTAGTAGGCCTTAAACAACTCATGATTAGGAGAGTTAGTGTTCTGTTGGTATATGTTTGTTTGTTTGTTTGTTCATTTACAAAGCCTTAAGGCATTGCAGTGCAAATAGCTCAGTACTTGAATGTTTATGAAGAGGAATTGGTTCTGGTTCTTCATGCTTTGTGTGCAGTAAATATGGTTGTGGAAACCTTCCATCTAAGAAGAGCATCTTTAGAACATTCTAGCGCTACAAACTAGGCTTTTTGGATGATAAGATCCCCCCCACACACACACACACAATCCAGTGTACATGCCTGTATGCACCACAGTACTTTGATCATCAGAATGGTAATATTGTGAATATTACTTCCTTGGTTTTTTTCCCACATCCCAGTAAACCATTAATCTTGGGTTGATTAATGATGTGCACAAACAGCCTGCTCTCTTGAAGCAAGGTGATAAATTAGGAGTTAAACCTAATTTCCTCTTCCATCCAGATAGAGGACTTTTATTGTTATTACATTGCATTTATATCCTACCTTTTTTCCCTTTTGTAAGGAACTGAAGGTGGCTTACATAGCTCCATTTTATCATTCTGGTGAGGTTGGTTAGTGTTTAACTGTTCCAAAGTCACCCACTGAATTTCATGGCTGAGTGGAGACTAGAACTTGTATCTCCCAATTCCAACATTCTCATCACCACTCCATACTGGTTCTATGGTTGCAAACAAGGCAGAATTTGAAACCAACTCTTTTCTTCTTTGTTTAGATGACCTAATTTTATTACTTTTCCCTGCCTGGAGAATACACACGTCCATTGTGCAATTTTTGCCAACCTATTGTTCATATGTTCTAAGCATTGGCTCCAGCCAGCATTGCCAGTTGACAGGAATTCTAAGAATTGTAGTTCAAAACATCTGAAAGATTTCTAAAGACATTTAGTCAAGTCCACTGTTACATAATTTGGAAAGTACATTTTAACTAGCAAGTACAAGAATTATTGATGACAGATATTTTACTTGGTTCTGATAGTAAGTGGAGGAGATTTCTGATTTTTATTTTTTATTTTTATTTTTTGCTGTAGTTCTGAGTAGATAATACTTTTCTCTCAGGGTCATGTCAGAAATAAATCTGTTGGCTTGATTTTATTTTGGATGACTACTTTTCTAATTTTTGTCACTTACAGATTTTAAAAGGAGACTGCCTTCTGGATCTTAGTAACTTTATAGACAACAAGTAAGTGGTGCAACTAATAAAGGCATTCAGTTAATATCTAATGTTATCATCTCTGTAACAGCTAATGATAAAATAATTTTAAATGGCTTGTTTGTCATTTGATTTTTAGCAGTAATGGTCAGTAGCAATTACAGTAGTTTTGGAAACAAATGCACATTAGTTAAAAATGTATTTTCTGTTGTTTATGGAACTATACTGAGGAATACTATTCTGCAGGTTTGTACACAAAATCCTGAACAATATACAGTAGTTCTTCTGAACAACGCAGTGATGTGGATTTAGGAAGATGGCCAGTGCTGAAATTTCCAGATCTAGGAAATTAACTCCATTTTGGAACCAGTTTATATATGCAGGCAGTCAAGTACCAAGTCAAGTACTGAACATAATAGTAAATTTTCTGCTTATAATAATCACTTTTTGAGCTCTGTTGTTTAAATTGTATAACGCAGGAATAGACAGCATTTGTACTCCTCAGGAAATACAATTCTGGGTCCTTTTGGTCATGCTAGATTTTTATCAAGTTGTGGTAAAGGTTTTCATAAACTAGTGATTGATATTTTTTCTTCATTCCACTGCTATAATAGGTTTCATCTTTCATTATATAAAACTTAACTGGGAGCATAGGGAGAATATGAGAGTATGTATGTAACAATAAGTACAATATAAAGTCAAATTAGTTTGGTTTAGCTTAAAATTTATTTATAATAACATGTCTTGTTTTCCAGCAAAGCACTGAATAAAGAATATGAAGAATATGTTCTAACAGAAGGTGATTTTGATGAGAGGGTTTTCTTGGGGGCAGATGCAGAAGAAGAAATTGGAACTCCTCAGAAGTTTTCTACTGATGTGCCACCTGGGAAGGTGATGACAAGAGCCCATGTAGAGTGTAATCTTCAACAGCATTTTGAGAAGGTAATACAAGTTGCTCTCTTGTTTTAGAATAGTATGCTTGTAGTGGCGTCAGATAGCAAAAGCAATGAAGTATTTTTACTTCATTCAGTCATCATCTCTTGTTCCATATACAGTACATAAAAATCAATAGTAAAACTTTTTGACATATAGAATTCCTGGAATAATGCTGACAGAGGAACAACTCTGATACATTTTATTTAGTGCGTTAATGCAGATACAACATTTAATTCAAAATTATATTTTGAAATTATGTTAAAACTATCATTTTATCTATATCCTCTGTTTCTAACAAATAGATTCTTTCTTTGATAGATTCTGGGGCGTTTGAGGGCACTATTGTTGTCCTCTCCTTTTCATTGTGCATCATTATGTAAACATAGAAACAGAGCGAGTCAGAAGGGGCCTCCCGGGCCATCTAGTCTGATCCCCGGCTCCAGCTGGCTCCGCTCATGACATGTCCACCATGTACTGTATCATTATGAACTTTTTCAGAAAAGCTATATTTTTTACCTCAAGCAAAACAGTTGAGAATGGTTTTCACTGGGAAAAGTGTAAAGCAGTAAGGATTAAGATGTCCTCTGTACCAATGTTTTGTTGCAGTTTGTAGCCTGAATGCATGTATAATATATAAAAGATGTAACATCTAGTTTTACCCTGAATTATTAGTAATTTTTGAATTGCTGTCTGGATTTATTTATGGTGGTGATGGGATTGTATTTGGCACTTCTGATGTAAATGTTGATAGTATTTGTTCAGTTCATCTTGGGCCAAATAGCTGAAAAAAGTTTCACTTTGATTTTCCAGAAAAGGTCATTTGCACCTTCAACCCCCCTGACTGGCAGGAGATACCTCAGAGAGAAGGAACCAGTAGTTACTCCAGTGGCTTCTGCAACACAGAGTGTAAGCAGGTTACAGAGCATGGTAGCAGGAGTCAAAAAAGCACCAAGTGAACAACTTGTAGCTATTTTTGAGTAAGTGAGTACTGTACTTGGTTTAATTTAATTAAATTTAATTAAAACATTTCTACCCCGTCCTTTGCGAAGCCTCAAGACGGCTTACAAAAATAATAATATAAAATACAATTAAAACATTAAATAATAACATTCAATAATGTTGCTCAGAAATAATAATGATAACAATTCAAAACTAAAGAGAAAAATGGAAAGTGGAAAAATGCGACTGTATAAATATTATTAATCTATTAAAATTATTAATTTAATTATTAAAATGATGGGTAAATTAAAAGGTCTGTCCTTGTTACTGTTGAGATAAGTGGTTAGTCTTTTATTTTCTTTGGGAGAACATACAAAACTTTTTCCCACAACTTCACCGCACAATGCTGCAGTCAGTGCCACTGCATTTATACCTCTTGGTCTCGGGAAACCCAAATATACTGAGAGCAGGAGAATACATGGCTCCAATGATTTCATTACAGTGATTCTGTGGGGGGAACGATAAGCTGCAAGTGTATGATATCCAATACCTGGAATAATAACTTCAGGGACCACTTAAGAGTAGTATTCATTCACTGGCACCAAGCTGTAGCAAGAAAACTCACCAACTGAATGGGTTTGCAATTAAGACCTCTTCATGGTTGTGGACTGCATGAACAAATGGAGCTCTAGAAGATACTTTCGGAGTAGTTGGGCCTACTTGTAAATGTAGAGTTAAATTAATTGTGGGAAATGGCTGAAGGAAAGATAAAAACCTGGAAGTTTAATTTTTCTTTTTCTGTAAGCTTTTCAGAATATTTTGCTGTAAAAGTGCAGTAACACATTAATTGCCAAAAATCCTGGAAACATTTTGCACTTTTTAAGAATCTTTTTGTGTGTTCTGCTGTAGGTCTTGTATACGAAATCCTATGGAAACCATAATGAAAAGAGTGAAAGAAATAGGTGATATTTTTTGTCAGAAATATACTCAGTCAACTGATGATCAACCAGGATCTCATATAGGTAGGAATGGACCTACAATGTTAAAGCCAGTGTTCTTAAAAGGACAATTTCTAGCTTCTGTTGTATGTGGCACAAGTTAGGAATGCATGATGTAAACATTGTGATGTTAATATTTTTGTTCAGTAAAGCTACAATACATAAATATCTGTCTGCTGATTGCTGAAGTTTTGAACTAACATGAATTATCTTATTGCATTTATAACCCAATCCCATGTATGTATGTTGGGACATAAGTACCTATATTTAGTGGAACTTGCATGGAAGGAACTGTGTAGGATTGCACTAATGCACTCTTTACTCACAAGTAAGTTGTGTTGTTCAAAGGTGTGCATAGAATTACATGTTAATGTCTAAACCATTTTATGCATTGTTCATTAGTATAAAGTTACATACTTTGAGTCTTTTTGTAGGAAATATAATGTAATTATGGGTAAATTATGTGAAACTCTTAAACAACATCATCATTCCTACTTGTCTTAAATTGCAGATTTTGCTGTTAACCGGTTAAAATTGGCAGAAATTCTGTACTATAAAATTTTGGAGACCATAATGGTGCAAGAAATCCAAAGGCTGCATGGCAAAGACATGTCTGTAAGTACACAATCGCTACTCTGATTTTTTTATATTAGTAGTTCATGGTCATACCACAATCTGCTGGTGGTGTTGGTTTTTATAGTGAAAATACAGTGTCTGCACCTCCAACTTCTGGTTGTGTAGTCTGTTTGATTTCTGTATTGGTCATCTGTTGATGTTCATGTATACAGTCCTCTGATCAGTTGCTTGATCTAGGTATTTGCAATAAGCAGACTAGTGGCATCACAGAATTTGAGACATTCTTCTGCTTTGTTTCTGAATCCTATGCAGAATTCTCCTACATTTGTGCTCCAGTTACCCATATTATCAGCATGTCTTGTTTTAGTGTGTTATCACTTTTCTGTTGGATTCTTGCATAAAAGTTTATGATTTCCTCTTCTTAAGCACCTGTTGTTGGGACATTGCCTTGAATAATGGTTGTGTTGTTAGGTGTTCTGCAAATTCTGATCGTTCTTACTCGGTTACTCGTTCTTACTTACTCGTTCTTACTTACTCTGCTACAGCTTGCCTTAATGTTAGAGCAGTTCCTTCTGAGTTTGTCATTTCCAAAGTAAAACACTTTGTATTTGACTGACTGAAAATGTCCCCTTCCAGTTCGCTTTAGCTCTCAAACACCAAGCACCGTGATGTTTAACTTCCGTTCCTTGCTTTACAGTTTCTAGTTTGCCTAGATTAATATTTCTCATGTTCCAATTGTATTTGTTGTTCAGCGCTGGGTTTTTCTTTTGCCTTTGTGTTGTGTCAACCACAAGACTTCCTTTCATTTTTGATCTAGCTCCTCCAGTAGCAACAGAGTACTATTTATATTTGTCCTTTATTCTTCCCTAGTAGCCTTCTTATCTGAGGGTCTCATCTTCTGGCATTATCTCTTGTTCCATTTTGGGGTTTTATCATAGGGTTTTCAATTTAAATGTTCAGAAGTGGTTTACCATTGCATTTTTCTGCACAGCACTAAACACATTTAGCTTAAGAGTCACTGCTGTTGTGTCTGAAAGATCCTTTGCTAGCGTCTCCTTGCACTACCATTGCTGTCCAGTAGCCATCCTTCAGAAATTTCTCCACCCGCATCACCATTGCAAATATTCATTCTTTTCTGTTGATGTAATCTTTTCTCCTGGAGAGGGTAGATGTGTCTTAGTCTTTGGCCTCTGTGCTGACCACTCCACTTTGCATGTCCCTGCTAGGAGAATAGGCTAGTGAGAGTCTGGCCAACTGGCGGCATTGCTCTTGGCTTCTTTGACACTCTCAAACCCCCTCAACGTATTAAGGTGTGCATCCAAGAGGCGCACTGGTACTGTAGTGTTGTGATACTGTAAAAATCTCAACTGAAGCATCTGTAGTCTCTGCTACAGTTCCATTTGTGCTAAGCCAAATAGGGAGATGCCACTTTTATTTCTACTCTGTCTGGTAAACTCGGGTTATTTTCTAACTCACTGACAAAGCTATCAGAACATAGATTTCAGTAGATTTAGGAGTTGTGGGTGAAGGCTGACAAGATGCCACGTGATAATAAAAAGCTCATCATCGTTGAATTATACCATGTGGAAAGAAGAGTAGAACATTTACTTGAAAGATTATTTTATTTTATTTTATTTTATTTTAAGCAGCACTTTCAGGATTCATTTGACTCATGTTGAAGGTTAAAACAATGAAATTTGTCTGTGAAAACTTTAGTTTTATGTTCTGAACTAAAATAGTACATCTTCTGTCATCTATAAGTCTACTATTACAAATATGGCCCATACTAATTGTGGGCTAATGCATGTTGCTGCAAATTTAGAAATGCTTGCTACACCAGGGACTTTACTATAAGAAACTTCTGCTTTGAAACAGAACATTCAACAGAGCTTCTTTAAAAATAACTTGTTAAAAATCAGAAGAACAGGGTTTTTAATGCATGTGCTATGTTAAGCTCTCTCTGAGCTCTAGGGTCATTTCCAGAGTAAATTGCCAGAGCTCTGAAGCATTGAAGGTGGCTTCCACATAGAAAGAAGCTTAAAAAGTACACTGGCTTCAAGTTTGGTGTGCAGCTGTGGATTATAACAATTCTGTCTGATTTTCCTTCAAGGCCCTTTTAGAGCAAGATATTTTCCATTGCTCCCTGCTTGCATGTTGTTTGGAGATTGTGCTTTTTGCATATAGTTCATCACGAACTTTCCCCTGGATCATAGAAGTTCTTAACCTTGGGCCATTCTATTTCTATAAGGTAAGCAAAAGCAAAACATTGATTGCATGTATCTAAAGTTGTCAAAGGGTTAGTTTACAAACTGTACAAGAGCAAGTGATGTTCTGCCACCAGTGAACACTCAGTAGGAGACCATGGCACATCTCCAGCCCTATACTTAAAACATCCTAGCAGAGTCTATGGGTGACCCAAGTTTTTTGTACTTAGTACCAGAGAATATTGGTCATGATGTCTATCTTATGAAACTAATGCCGAGCTTGTCATTAGCAGTACTTTGAACCCAGCAACTAAAGCTATTTGAATAATTTAGTTTTCATAGTGCTGTACAGCATGGAAATATCAACCAGCATCTGGGAAGAACTAGAAAATACCATTAAAATGACATAACTGAACTAGATTACAGTTGGCTTGCATTTTGCAAATCTCCTACTATTTAATGCAACTTGTATTCTGAAAGTAATGGCAGTCACACTGCCTTTGGATAGGTAAAATTTACCCTGAAAGAGCACAGGTGGGCATAAAAGCTGCAAGAGGTAACAGGATTGAACAAAATTTTGCTTCAATAAGCAATCATTAGTCTGAAGGAGAGAAAAGAATTGTGTTAGATATAGATTTGCATTGTGTTTGTACTTGACCAAGCTGCTTTTTCCATTCGAGGTGATTGAAGTATTGATTCGATCAGAAGAAGGACTCTCCAGAGATATGGTAAAACATCTAAACAGCATTGAGGAACAGATTCTTGAAAGTCTAGCATGGACAGAAGATTCTGCATTGTGGGATGCCCTTCATGCATCAGAAACCATGATTCCTACCTGTGAAGAAGTATGTTGACAGGCAAATAACTAAACTGGAACACATGGGAGTTATTTTCATACAGAAGTTATTTTTACTTAGAATCAAGGAATTGTCTGCAAATAGTTTAATAAGGGACACTAAGCCTTAAGTATTTTTAAAGTATAGCAAGTAGCAAGACAATGCTATTCTTGCCTTTGAAACTGTCACTTTTTTCTTCTTCAGGTAATATTTCCATGTAATTTTGAAACAGGGAATGGAAAAGGCCTAGGATATCTTCCCATGATGCCAGGATCTCCTATAGTGCACCCTCGAGTCAAAGAAGTTCGGACAGATATTGGGGGGAGTCTTAGACGGGGTAAGTTAATTCTAATTGCTTCAATCAGTGTCAGAAGGAACTGATATTGTTAGGTGTCTGTCTGGTCATGGTGATTAAAATTGATTATCTGATTTTTTTATTTTTTTTGAAGAATTGGTTATCTGGGCTTTAGCTAGAAGGAAAATATCTCAGTATTTTTCTTTCTAAAAACCACACAATGGTTTCAAAGGTATTCTGGTACTTCAGTTTGACTTCTACTTTGGATGATACTTTTAGCATGTAGGTACTATCCATAGAAAATTTCCAAAGTGTCCTAGAAGGGATGTAGACTGAGAGGAAGAAACTGGAAAGTAATAAAAACAAGTTTACAAGCAATGTACACCACTCAGAGCCCTAAATTGGGCTATAGGTTATGGTATATACATTTAATAAATAAGCTTTAAATTAATTTTCACAGTAAATTATAAATAATTACAATAATAATTTAAACTTATTTTACAACTCTAAGCCAAGTTATAAAGCAATGAAAATATAAGTAGAAGAAAAGCACTATTTTAAAGAGGTGCCTCACTGAGAATGGATGAGTCTGCCTGAGGATGAGAGTATTCTTTATTTCATGTCAGCAATATCATCAGTTCAGATATGCTTATCTCTAGATAAGTGTTTCTGGCCCTCCCCAAGAAAAAGAACCTTCAAATAATATTAAGGTTCAACAGCCTGATGTGAATACTCCACCTATATTCTTTGCAGATAGCTGTGCTGTGCTGCAGTCTTTCCTGTAGATATCAGGTTTGGTGGTAAATGAAAAGGTCATTTCCAAAGTAAATGTGACTGTTAGGTAGACTTTGGAAGGTATTTTGTATACATATAGGAACATACACATAGGAACTTTCTATTGATGACTATAAGCCTAACATGTTATTTGAAAATTATGGGACTGTAGCTGTGTATAAGTACGACTGTTTTATTACTCAATATTAATGACTATGACTTTCTACATTTTGCAGTTATGCTTTCTCTCCTGTATTTTAGATGTGCAACAGCTGTCGCCAATCTCTGTTCATGATCGTTACAGTTCTCCTATGGCAGGAAGTGCTAAGAGAAGGCTATTTGGAGATGAAAGCCCAAAAGAAAAATCCACAGAGAAAAATCTCACTGAAGGGACTAGGCTGAAAATTGCCCCAGGGTCTTGCTTTGTTGATGAACATTTGTCTGTTTTGCCTGAGCAGACAGTTCTTACCATGGCAACAGCTGCAGCAACAGGACAAAAAATGGTAGTCCCATTGCATAGTAAGTAAGTTTGTATGATAAGGATGTAGTTCATAATACAGTTTTAAGTTTGGAGCTAGGAAGCAGGAGAGGTGTTTCTTCAATTTTCTGCTTTAGGTACCAAAATAATAGGCTTTGGGGGATTATGAAGAGAAGCACCTTTAGATGCACAAAAACATCTTTGGCCAAAAATAGGTAGGAGTTTTATTTCACTGTTACATCTTACTGTGCACAATGTACCTTGCCCCCGTTCAGCTAAAAAGGTACTAAATAGAGGAGTGGTCATCTCCAGGCATATTTGACTGGGACCAGGGTGATGGGGTGGAAGGAGAACCAAGTCTTGGTCTAACACTTGGTGAGATGTAATGGTGCCAGAGGCAAGAGCAGAGCCAGGAGGAAGCTAGGGCCAGATACCAGCCAAAGCATGACAAAACCAGAGGCAAAGGCCAAGTCAGGAAGAAGTAAGAATCAAGACAGGAGTAAGGACATGGTAGGACTGGGATCAGCTACCAAGTCGTGAGCACAATGCAGCCACCATGAAGACTCATGTTGTGACAAAGCAGAGCAGCACTGGAAAGCCTTTGACTGAGCCTCCCATGGCTCCCATCTGGTCTACATGATTATTTATTTATTTATTAAAACATTTTTATGCCGCCCCATTCGCCGAAGCCTCGGGGCGGCTCACATCATTTTTATGCCGCCCCATTATATTGGTGCTAAGCCTAGCCTGCAAGCAATTGCAAGGTAAACGAGGCTGGCTTTATTGGGCTCTGCAGTGCTTTGCAGATTCTCACAAGAACTATATTCATTAGTTGGGATAACAGCATGCATATTAATAATGTTAGATAAATGAAGAGTGTTATGTCTTTAATGTCTGTTTTTAGAAGCTTTGAACTTGTAATTAACCTGTGTAACTGTACTGTCAATAGATATATTTTACACTGTGAATATACCTTAGGTATTGCAAATGATACTGGGGGGATCACTTTGATACCCATTACAGTCAACTTATCTGAAGAACCTAAAGTGGACAGCCATGGACAAGTCCCCCTCACTGCTCAAGCTTTAACCAGTGTGTCACCAAGTCAACCTCATATCAGCACAAGGAAACCAAAGAAAACTGGATCCCTGGCACTATTTTTCAGAAAGGTAGGAAATATTTCTAGCAAAAGCTTTTTGTTTGGCCACTGCTGAAAAACTGCTTTATTAGAATAAACCAATGCACTGTACTTAGGAGGATTTAAGGTTAAAAATGGTGCAAAATGACATGCACTTGGTAGACATGTCATGAGCGGAGCTGGCTGGAGCCGGGGGTCACACTAGATGGCCTGGGAGGCCCCTTCTGACTTGTTCTGTCTCTGTGTTTCTAAAATAGATTTGCTTGAAATGGCATTGCATCGACTTAGATCTAAAGATCCACTTGGATGAGTAGAAGCACTGACCTCTGAGGGATAGCTGACTGGAGCTAAAGAGGATTGTGTTAAGGATCAACATTCCCACTGGATGATGATGAAAATGTTTCCCATCATCCAAATGGAGGCATGGTCAAGGGGTGTTTGGTCTTCCCACATGTGGTCCTTCCTGAGGACCACGTGTGTTGCTGGTTTAAGATCTATACAGTTGTCTTTTTCTGCTGCCTGCAGCAGTAAAGAAGTAACAATCTGTATGAGGAAATTAGGGGTAGATTTGGCAATTTGGGTGTCAGAGGTCACAGTTTAGATTTTGAGTGAGTGAACTTTGCATTATGGATTGTAGGAAACATGGGGAAAGAAGGAGCAGAGTCCATCTAGACATTTCAAATGGGCAGGCCTCTCCATAGAATTGCTTAAGATATGGTTGCATCATACAGCTCGGCTGTAGAAACTAGATCGTGTGTGTGTGTGTGTTCTGGATAGAAGCTAAAAGAAAGTAAGTTGCTGCATCTCAACAAGGATATTGGAGGGCTAGAAAGGGGTAATCAAAGTGCTCACAGATGTGAAAGCTAATCCTGTATGAGAAAAGGTGTTTGGGGCTTTTTAGCTTAGAGAAAAGAAGATGGCTAATAGGGTACATAGTAAAGGTTTGTAAAATTCTGCATGGTGTTGAGAGAGCTGATAGAAAGACTTTTTTTCTCCCTGTCTTATAGTACTAGAATTCAGGGTTATCCAGTGGAAGAGTTAGGACAGATGAAAGAAAGAACATTTTCATATGGAACATAGCTAAGCTATTGATTTATTACCACAAGATGATGAAATAGCCACTAACTTGGAGAGCATTAGAAGAGGATTAGATGAACTTATAGAGGATAACTTATAGAGGATAAGCCTGTGTCAGTGCCTGTGAGTCATGATGACTGTACATTGCCTCCAGTACTGGAGACACTAGTCATCTGAATTTCAGTTGCAAGTCCTACCACTTCCTGGTTGTGGATTCTTTATAAAACTGTCTGCTTGGCCACTCCAAGCAACAGTACTGGACTACATAGGCCTTTATTCTGCTCAACAAGACTTTTTAATGTTAGGCAGTTCTTTCTCACTTGTGGGTGCATTTGTGCATGTTACTGGCTAGCTGTACCTTCTAGAGCAGCTTTTCTGAGAATGAAAGAAATCAACCCTCATCACTGTAGTATGAAAGAGTAGGTGTTTACTCCTGTCCTAATGAATTATTTGGATCCAGCTACTGTTTCTTGAAACTCAACATTAAGAAAACTAAGATCATGGCATCTGGTCCTCTCACTTTCTGGCAAATAGATGGGGAAGAAATGGAGGTAGTGACAGATCTTATTTTCCTGGGCTCTAAGATTACTGCAGATGGGGACTGCAGCCAAGAAATTAAAAGACACTTGCTCCTGGGGAGGAAAGCTATGGCAAATCTAGGCAGCATACTAAAAAGCAGAGACATCACCCTGCCAACAAAATTGCGTATAGTCAAGGCTATGGTTTTCCCAGTTGCAATGTATGGCTGTGAAAGCTGGACCATAAGGAAGGCTGAGCGCTGAAGGACTGAGGCCTTTGAATTGTGGTGCTGGAGGAGACTCCTGTGAGTCCCTTGGACCGCAAGGCGATCAAACCGGTCAAGTCCTAGAGGAGATCAACCCTGACTGCTCTTGAGAAGGCCAGATACTGAAGATGAAACTCAAATACTTTGGCCACCTAATGAGAAGGAAGGACTCCCTAAAGAAGAGCCTAATGCTGGGAACAATAGATGGCAAAAGAGGAAGGGGACAGCAGAGGATGAGGTGGCTAGATGGAGTCACTGAAGCAGTTGGTGTGAGCTCAAGTGGACTCCGGGGGATGGTGGAGGACAGGAAGGCTAGAGGAATGTTGTCCATGGGGTCGAGATGGGTCGGACACGACGTCGCGACTAACAACAACTGTTTCAAATATCCGTATAAAATATGTACTGCCCAACAATTTGAAGTATTGCATTTGTCAATTAAGAATTGGTTCTGGATTAGTAGCCCATATCTTTTAATGATGCAGAAGTATTTTATAAGAATTACTGAAGCACACATCTAGAAGGATGTCATTAATTGTAATTTTCACATACATTTCCTAGTGAAATGAGCTCGTAATAAGGATTTGATACATCTCAGTGTTTACCACTCTGTGTCCTTGATTATCATTATTATTATGAAACTTCCCAAAAACCTGTTAGCTTGCATTAGTGTTGTTTGGTGTTTCATCACAGGTGTATCATCTGGCAAGTGTGCGTTTGCGTGATTTATGCTTAAAATTGGATGTTTCCAGTGATTTGCGGAGGAAGATATGGACTTGTTTTGAATTTACTTTAGTTCATTGTACAGATCTAATGAAAGACAGACACTTGGATCAGCTGCTCCTCTGTGCTTTTTACATCATGGCAAAGGTACTGTATCATGCAATCAGAGTCAATCTCAGCAGGAGGTCAGCCTTGAAATCCTACCACGGATTATCTAAGGGGTAAACAGTAAACACCCAGGTCATACCATGCACAGACAACTAATCTGTCGTTATTTGTTTTTCGGCGCCAGGCTAAGACCTTTTTATTTAAAACTTATTTTAAGTGTTAATTTATTGGTTATTTGTAGGATTTTAAATCTTTTAAGCCGAGATGCACTGGGTTTTAATATTTTTATTGTATAATTTTGTTCTTGTTGTGAGCCGCCCCAAGGCTTTGTTGCAATGGGGGCGGCATAAAAATGTTTTAAATAAATAAATAATAATCCTGAAAATTAATAAAAATAAGGCATAACTGACTGCTTAACCCAGGTCAAAAATGATCCAGGTATGGAAGGTACAATTGCTTATCTCTTTTTCTTACATAGCTCTTCCCCAGGGTTCCTAACTGGTACTCATTAAGGGTCTTGAGAGCTCTGGCAGGGTTTGTGACCAATCCAATCCTGTAACTACCAGGGCAGTTACGATTCTTGACCAGCAGAAGGGAGCCCTTGAGCTACCTGGTCCTGTCAACAGATAACAGAGTAGTTGAAGAGGTGGGAACAAAACAAACCAAGACTTGGGATAATAACAGCAACAACCAACAGCTTGCTCAGTTGTTTGGAGGCCAAATCACGGGCTAACTCTGGGCAAGGCAAGAATCCATGGGTTAATAAAACCATAGGCTGTGTACAAACGAGTTTGCTCTGTAATGCTCGGTTAGTCAATTGCTATAAGCTGAAACAAGCTAGCAGTATATTACAGAAGACTGTCAATGCAGCAGTGCATATATAATATTTTGTGTATTTCTTGTATATATTAAATTGTAAACAATAAGCACACAATGCAGCCATTACTTATTGAATTGTATATACTAACAAGTGGAATATGCTGTGTGTTTCTGCATACTGCATGTTTGTGAGACAACACCTCTTCACTTAAGTGGTTCTCTCCAAATGGAAGCTGCTGCCCTTGGCTCCTGCTGCTGCTACATTCATGTGCCACTTTTCTTCCTCTTGCAAGGTGGCTTACAAGGTTCGCTTCCTTTTCATTCTGTGCTTACAACAGCCCTGAAACTCACTTGCTCATAAAGAAGCTCTTGACTGAGCTCTTTGGATTCAAACGTGTATGGGAATGGTTTTCTTGCATTAACATTTTCACTACTTTTTGTTCAGGTGTCTAAAGAGGAGAGAGCTTTTCAAGACATTATGAAAAATTATAGAAACCAACCACAAGCACATAGCCATGTAAGTATTTGTTTTTTTTTTCAAAAAGATATAAGTATAAATTAATTATTCATAGTCTCTCTGCAGGCTCTGTGTTGCATTTTGGAAAACTTCTATAGATGAGAATTTTGGCAGGAACCTTCTCCTGCCATACTAGTGGAGGAGACCTTAGCAGGTTCCTGCTTATTATTTCTTTCTTAGTAAAAAGTTGGATTGTTGAAGAGAATATTTCATAGTTGAGAGTATTTTCACAGGAACCCTTCCCTCACGCTGGCATTGGGAGGAGTTCCCACCTGTTCCCTTGGTTCTTCTTTGACCACCTTCTCTGGTATCTTGGGAAGTCCCTCCCTTCTCTTTCTTCATGAGCTGGAGTACAGTGGTACCTTGGCTCACAAAGTTAATCCATTCCAGGACTCTGGTCGTGACCCAAATCGGTTGTGAGCCAAGTCAAATTTCCCCATAAGGGTCAATGTAAATAAGGTTAATCCATTCTGCAACTATTTTTTTTACTCAAAAATTTGAAGCAAAGTGACAAAGAACAACAAAGATCACAGCCATCCCCCCCCCAGCAATTGTGTGGGGGGTGGGGGGAGACGGGCACGATCGCGGGTACACTGGGGGGGAGGCGCGCATGGGTGCACTCGGGCAGGGAACATGGGCGCAGTCACGGCCATCTCCCCCCCAGGAAAACCGCAGCCATCTCCCCCACCCCCTGCATGACCTCAGTCGCGCCCGTGCAGGGAAGGCAGGCACACACGCGATCGTCACCTGATGCAGAGTTCGCAACCTGCGATAACATTTTTATGAAATTTCTGTTCACAACCCAATTTGGTCGTGAACTGAGGTGTTCATGAGCCGAGGTATCACTGCATTTTACCATTTATTTATTTAGTATTTATTATATTTACATCCTGCCTTTTTCCTACTGAGGAAGTCAAGGCAGTTTACATAATCCTCCTCCTCCAAATTTTATCCTCACAACAACCCTGTGAGGTAGGTTAGGCTGAGAGTCTGTTACTAGTCCAAAGTCACCCAGTCAGCTCCATGGCTGAACAGGGACTAGAATTAAAGTTCCCAGGTCCTCAGTTCAACACTCTAAACCACTACTTCACACTGGCTATTCTCTTTTCAGTGTCATATTTGATTTCACTGTTGGTACCAAAGGCCTTTCTTGGTGCCAAGGCTACAGTGTCAGTTTTAAGGAACAGAGGAAATAAGCAGGAACCTGCTAGGGGCAGTGGGGGTACCAAAATTCCTTAGGTACAATATGGTGCACAGGATGGTACACAGGCATAGAACCTGTATTTGTGAATGACTACTCAATGAACTCCAGCTATTTATATTGCTTAGGCTTTCTATATAAATAATACTGTATTTGTTTAATATTGTATTAAACGCTAACTGCACTTTTCAGAAATTTTGCAGTGGGTTACAAAACCTGCATTTTTCTACTTGTAGGTTTACAGAAGTGTCTTATTGAAAAAAATGCCTATGGATGTAGTGTTAGATATAAAGCAAGAAGCAACATCAGAAGAAGGTGAGCTGATGGCTATTCTTGTATTTTAAAATTACCAGAGGATTTAAAAGAAACCATTATCTTCAATATGTAACATACAAAAGTTTTTGCCCATGTTATGGAAATCTAATTAAAAATGTTTTACTCTTAGTTTATAGTAGAATCAGATAAATTGGACTGAAAACCATCTGAAACTATGTAATCCAAGCTCTTTTACTGCAGCAAACCCCTAACAGATAATAAGCAACCCCAAAAGATATAAGCAACTGTGTGTGAGACAAAGGACAGAGTAGGAATGACACAGATCACACACAGAAGTAATGCCATATGTTCTAAGAAGAAGCAATTAAAAGTTTAAAGTGGTATATTTACCAACTGATCAATATACAGCATTGTGGCCACCTACATGAGCAGTGGCTAGGACTTTGATACCTCAAAATGGAACACATTTTAATTATGTGAAGTGCAAAGTCTCAGATAGTTGTGGTGTTAAATGTTTTCATTTTTAGCATAATCTTATGTATGTTAACATCTGAAGAAAACTCCACTATATTCTGTGCAGCTGACTTCTGAGTCAGTGATTACTGATCCAGACATGTTGCTTGATTCCAAACTGGAATGCTGAATAAATGGATTGGTTATATTTCATCTGACTTCATTACTTGGGTCAACTGATTGGATGTACAACCCCAGTTAAGTTTCAGTTCTGCTTATACTTATGTGAGAACAAGTTAAACTCAACTCAGGATAACTTACCTCTGAGTAACCAAGCATACAATCATGTTGTTGGTGTCCTTTTGGCAACACTACAAATTGTGGGTGTGGTGGAGAGAATAAGAACAACGACTCCCATAGCTAAGATAATCTTATTTATCTGCAAATAGCAGTATAATTCATTTTGCTTTCTCTCCGCTTTTTACATTTAAAAGCCTACTGTAATTCTCTCTTTTTTCCCCTTCCTTTCCACAGGTAACCCCAGGAAGATGCATTACTCACCTGTAAGAACTAAATCAGAAGATTCAAGAGACTTGGGAAGGGAGGAGAGAGGGGACCTGATAAAATTTTATAACACCATCTATTTAGGAAGAGTGAAAAGTTTTGCACTGAAATACGATGCTTCCAACCACAATCATGCGGTATGTGAATCTCTGGTTTTGAGAAGCAGTGAATAGAGTTTGATAATTTTATGATGTAAATATAAACAAGGGTTTCTAAATTCAAATACTAGGTGCCATGAATTTTCCTTTGGATTTCATAAAATCTTGCAGCATTTAATTTGAAACCCATGAGAAATATAACTTGGACCAGCGGTGTATAATCATTTTAGATTCCTGGGGACATGAATGCTGACACTTTCATAGATTTGCTCAGACATCCCATTCAAGCACAGAGAATGCTTTCCTTTCTTAAGTTTAGCACTCCTTTTGAAAAGCATGATCTTCTCAGTTACCTATTAGTAGTAGCAGTCAGATCTACATTCAGTGGGCAGGAGTGACAGCATTCTGAGACTGGCTGCATCTTTATACTCTAGCAGCTGCTCTCTGACTCCTGCTCTCTAAGTACAGGAGCTCATCTGGCTCATGCAAGAAATGTTTAGAAAGGTAGCTGGCTTAAGAGACCGTTTAGTCTTGCAGTCTGTAAACAATAAAGTTGATCTTTAGGATGAGTACAGAGTCAATTCTGAGCACAACTCTGTCCGTATAGTAGTCAGCTTATTTATTTAAAACATTTTTATGCCGCCCCCATCGCAACAAAGCCTCGGGGCGGCTCACAACAAGAACAAAATATAACAATTGTACAATAAAAATACTAAAACCTGATTGCAAGGGCCCCATGTGGTACTGCATAAGCAGCCAAAAGCTTCATATAAGCTGCTGGTTCTTCCCTCACTCTTGATATGCAGCATGGAGGCCACATTGTCTGTCTTTATTAGGGCATGCAATTGTTTGACCAGAAGCAAGATGATTTAAAGTACTACGGTACAGGGAGCTCCAGCCAATTTATGCTGTGGCTTGCTTTCTGCCTTGACCAAAAGCTGTGGTTCATTTGGCCTAAGCATTGTACTTTCCCAGCTCTGGAGCCTCATATCTGTGGTTTCTATGATTTCATGTCATTCTTTGAGGTACACCAGGCAAGAGGCAGCTTTCACATTGAGTATCAGTTCCATTCATTAATAGGATGATAAGGTGGGGGTGAGACTTTTAGGAAAGTCCTAGTTTGTATGAAACATAGAACAGTAAACTGAACTGGTGGATAAGGGGTGTTTGGTAGACTCAAGATTCCTTCCTTTTTTTGATAAACATGCAGGGCTGGTACACCTTGAAACAAGTGGTGTGCTTTGGAATATTAGCATTCTCTGTACCATAATATGGATGGCTGAAAATTGTTTTACTTTATTATAGGGGAGAAATATCTGAGAAATGCCTGTTAAAACTGGGTTACAATTCAATAATTCTGTTATTATAAATATCTTGGGTTTCTAATACAGGCAGTCCCCGGGTTATGAAAGAGTTCCATTCCTGAAAAAAGCAAAATTCATCTTTAAGTCAAATTCATATGTAAGTTGGATCACATATAGTCAGCCCTCCACATTCATGTGGGTTAGGGGTGCAGGACCCCTGTGAAAACGGAAAATCCATGAATATCACTAGCCACCCCACCCTACCCAACTATACCATCTATTTGCAGCAGATGGTTTTCTGCAGTAATTTTTAAAATAATAGGCTTTATGGCAATTCGTGCTTACATATACAGATTGTTTGTTATTCAGATGTTCATAACTCAGGGACTATCTGTATTGCATAGAAACTGATTTGCTTGAAATATCACATTTGTTAGTTGTTTGCATTGTAATAAGATATTCAAGTAAGTACTGGATATAGTGTGCCTGTATAAATTTGAACTTGTATATTTCAGTTAAGTTCTACTTGCAAAATTAAAAGAATGACTAAAAGAATTTTTGTACCTGTATGTTCAACTTTTCTTTCCAAGGTGGAGGTACTTCCCCTTTCCCCGTTTCCCAGTATTAAACAGCAACCAGTGTCTCCTCGACGAATATCCCAGCAACATCATGTTTATGTTTCACCACATAAGAATGGTGCTTGCTTGACACCTAAGACTGCACTGTTATATAAATTTAATGGAAGCCCTTCTAAGGTAAGATGCATACCTTTAACAAGTAAAAGTTTAAAACCTCATTTATAAAGCTTCATGATGGCCTTTTCTTTGAAGAGCCCCAGTAGTGTATGTGATAATGATTAATTATTTGAAACTTGAGGGAGTGTGGAGCTGCTCTAAAAAATTTTCACGAGCAAAATCATAATTTCACAAATATATTTTGAAAACTGAGAATGTATTAAAGCACATATTAACACATTTTGTAATAATCATTGGCCTTCAATTATTACCTGCTCTGATTGTAACGCTCTTAATTTGGCAGAGTTTGAAGGAGATCAACAATATGATAAAGCAAGGAGGACAGAGACCTAAGAAAAGAGCAATATCAATTGACAGTGACACAGAGTCACCAGCGAAGAGACTATGCCAGGAAAATGATGATGTTTTACTTAAACGTCTTCAAGATGTTGTCAGCGAAAGAGCAAATCACTAGGTCAGCAAAAGTACTGTGCTGGCCAACATTTATTAAGAGCTGCCATGTGCATCTCAAATCACTCTTCAGCTTTTTACTTTTGCTTATGGTAGGTAGACCATGGGCCAATCAAAGTACTGAAATGCACTGGTTTTATGATGCTTCCTTTTATAAGAAGCTCCCAGACCATGATTGAATTTCTGTCCTACAGGTTAATGAATATGTACAGTATTATTTTAACATTGTTTTGAAACTGACGTATAAGAAATTGTCGATTTTAAATGTAACTTTATGGGTTTTGAGTTGTATTCTGAAAGTAGAAACCAGTTCATGTTTTGTAGAAGTCTAAGTTTTCACAGTGTAGCTATCACACATTAGGGAATTAATAGTTATTCTTCTGAGTAAGTATTCTTTTGACTTGCAGTTCACGTCAAAGTGCTTCAGCTTTTATTCTTTAAAAGAAAATTATTACCCTTCTGTGCATTATTATTCCTCCTGTGGAATAAGGTAGGAAGATATAGCTATTGATACAGTAAAAACTAGTGGTTTTTTTCCTAATTTTGAATGCACAGACATCCTCTTTCTATCAAATGTTTGGATAATGTTTTAAACTATAAGCATGACTGTAAGATGCAGTACTCTTAGCTACTAGTGGAAAGGCAAAGATTCTATGAGATTAATAAGGGTTTAGGATGTCTTTTTCTGGGTTTTGGTGTTGTTACTGTTTCTCTTGTTAGACCTCTGCAGTGGGCTCAGGGGTTTGCTTGGATTCCAAGGGAGTGATATGCAAGATTCAGGTTTGCTTACAAGTAGAAAAGATGTGCAATTTAGATATTAAAATGGAAGCAGTAAACTTACGGAGTGTTTAGCAGTATGTGTCTGTTCTTTAACCATCTATGAGTGGAACGTAGGCCTCTGCATGGCTTATTCTGCTTTGGTGTACTTGTATCTGTCTTCCATTTTGAGTCTGTAGATTTCATTTTGTGTGTTGTCTGTTTCTTTGGCTCAGTGAGTATAGATGGGCCAAAGAATGGACACATACCTTCCCCATCAGCTTTCAGTTACCAGTTAACTAGTTGCACAAATATAAGCTGGACATAGAGCTTGTTAACTGCACCTATCTGTACTAACACTCCTTTGCTGCATGTGTAATTAAATGAGTCCACTACTACTGTTATCAAAAAGCAATTAATAACACCTGTTGGATAGCTGCGCTTAGACTAGACTACTGATAAGATTAGGACAATATGCCCAGCATATTGTTATCAGTAGTGCCAACTTAATGACTAGTAGCAGAGCTGGTAAACAGCTTGTCAGTATCAACTAGACTGAGTCCTTTGTCCACATTTAATCTCTCAGGCAGTTTTTGCTTACAGCAGTTTAAAGTCTACCTTGCAGTCTTAGTTCATCTGTTGTAAGTAACTTGCTACTAAACACTCTGTAAGCTTCCTGATCTGTATTTTGATCTTTTCTCTTGTAAACAAACCTGGATCTTGCATATCATTTCCTTGGAATCTCAGTGAACCCTTTCAGTCCACTGCAGGGAGCTAACAAGGGAAACTGGTACGGCTGCAAAGCAGAAAGTGGTATGCAATTGTCTTTTCATAGCCCATATTGGCGAAATGTTCTTTTGTTACTTCATTTGAATTGTCTTTCCTGAAGAGTTCTCTTTAGAGATAAGCACTCCTCCAGAAAGTATAGGTCTATATCTGTAGCACTAAAAATGCCTACATACTGTATACCCAGTTGGGGAACTTTCAGCCCTCCAGGCCCGGGAACTTTCAGCCCTCCAGGCCCAATCTAGATCATAGAACCTTCTTATCCAGCCTCTGGTGTTCCTTCCAACTGCCCTGCTCCCTCCTCCTCTAGCCTGCCATTTATTTAAGAGGTAGCCATGTGTTCTTTATCCTCTGCCTTTCTTTTGCTTTTCTTCTGCTTCCACCCAATGCTCAAGCTCAGCAGTCTTCCTAGAGGGCTTTTCTTACTCTACTACCATCCCTCCTTCAGCCCTAATTTAGCTGATTCTCCATTTCCCTAGTTGAGGAGGGAGAGGGGCTGATTCTCAATTTCCCTAGTTGAGGAGGGAGAGGGAGGAAGGGATTAAGACTTTCTTAAAAGGGAGACACAACAGACATTTCTTAAAAGGACATTCCTCTAGCTAGAAGGGGTAATGATTTGAGGAAAAGGGAAAAATTCTTTTGATGATCTCCAGGTGGGTGTCAGTTTGGGAAGGGGATAAATTAATTGAATCCACAGGATTTAGGATGGTTAATTGGAAATGTATAAAAGAGAATGGAAAAATGGGGTTCCATGTTCGTGTATATGAATGGTACACATGATATGTACGTATGGTGTATTAAAAAGCAATAACACCTGTTGGATAGCTGTTATCGGATGCATGACCCTTGCTAAACTTCCCCATAACTGATGACACTCTTGGACTAAAAAAAAGGTTCCCACCATTGCTGTATGCCAACAATGAAAAGCGTGTCACTTAGGCATCAAGCTGTGCTATTAATTCATCAATTAGCATGCCTTCTTACACTTTGAACCCACTTAGACAATATAGCTGCTCATATTGGAAGCTGCTTCTGTGCTCTGGCCCTCTAGGATCTCAAAGAGCTCTCTTCTGTAAATATTCCCAAATGATTTGGAACAGTGGCAGAATCTATGTGCTTTTCTATGGGGAAGAAAGTAACCACGGAGAGTCAATAGATTAAGACAAATAGCATGTTTCAAGCTACTTTAAGTATCACTATCAGTTGTGTTTTTTTAATCTTCCAGTGGTCTGTTTATGGTAGAGGAAGGAAAATGGGAAGATTTTGCAAGTTGAGAAATAACTGCCAGCAACAAGATGAGAAAATAGACCTTTTTGTTGGAAGGCACTTGTGTTAACTTGCTGAAATTCTTTTTCCTTGCTAGGGCGGGTAAAAAATGAGGTCTGAGTCACTGCATAAAGCCATGCCAGTCTTATTTTATCGATGAACTATCTGAAAGCAGTAAACCCTTGCAAAGTCAGGATATCTGCAATTTGTAGCTATGCTCTTTCCTTTAAATTTTCCCCTTGAAAAACATGTTTTCACTTTTGTAATATTGATACAGAATGAAGGCCTTATCAGATTAGCTGTGCTTATACATAAAATGTATAAATGTAGTATATAGCTAACACAAGGGTTAGGCCTTTCTGCATTTGTCTATTATTATCAGCAGGCACCAAATGAAGCTTGTTGCGGAAGTGTTTACAAAGAAGGGATTTGATTAAGAGTACATGAAAGTATAGGAAAAATGAGGTATCATAAGTGCAGAGCACCACTCTCACTTAGGATATTTTAAAGGTGAAAGCCATAAGATAAATATACATGTTGTGTTTCTAGTTCATCAGTTGGAAATATTGCATATCTTGGGCTGCTTTCATAAGCACCTAATCAGGTTTTTACGTGTGCAGCACAATCCTATGACCTCTAGACAGTCTAGATATCCATAAGACTTTTACGAGTCTAAGCTCTGACCCCGGCAACTTGTTCCAAGGTTGCAGCTGGGACTTCAACCAAAAGCTGCACCTCCACAGCCATAAAAGTTCTGCCAGCATATAATCTACCTTATTATCTTTTCTGCCTGCTCAGAAACTGAAAATTTAGATGGCCAAAATCTCCATCTCATGGGTTTTGCATGGTGGGAAGAGCATGAAAGTCACCTTTGCTACTGCACTCCTCCTGCTGTACATAGGTTACTGGTATTTATCCAAATTTGAAGGTTTATGGAAGGCTTCATTAGATTGCACCTTAGTATTCCAAGGTTAATACAATGAGGTCAGCTCGTCTAACAGGTCACAAGGCCAAATAGTAGAAAGAAGTGGAGAAAGTGTTGTACAACAGAATTTGAATGCATATGTGCTATATTAATTAGCCATGGAAGGAAAATTTACAAATTTCAAAAGCTCAACGTGTTATACTTTTCTTTTAATAAAGTAGACTAGCAACAACTTCAAAAAAATTGTTTTACCTTTTACCTAAAGGATGACATAAAAATGCCCTCAGTAAAATTTCAGCTATATGCATTGATACTTTTAGTATGTTTTCTCCAATCACTTGGTCTCAATTCCTCATATGTTCTTATCTGCCTTCCATACAGATTCTGAAGTCTGATCTTAAAAGGCAGGTGCTGAAATTAATGATGATTCTATTGTTTAATTACATGTTGTATTCATTACAGCTTATGCAATTTTGTATTAATTATAACATGGTGTAGAAGAAGCTAATGATGCTCCTGATTAAATGCTGGGCTTCTTGGAAAACACTTTTATAAAGCTTTTGCTATACATTGGAAATCCTTGTAAATACAGAGTTTAATTAAAAAGAAACTGCTTTATGCTAATTGTGATTATTTTTCCTTTCACTTTAGCATGGAAATACCAAATACTTTTGTTTTTCAGTGTCTAAGAATCCCACTGAAGAATTACCAGCTGGATAATTAACAAATAGGACCAACACTTACATTTCTCTCATATAGAGAAGTTAAGCTAAGAGAAAAAAAATGATTAATATTTTCAGTGCTAGGGTTGGAGAGAGAAGTGTTCTTGCTATATGCCATAAAGTTGTCCCCAGTTTATGGCAACCCTATAAATTGAACGTTCTCCAAAATGTCCTGGTAGAGCCCTTTTCAGCTTATGTAAATTCAAGGCCATGGCTTTACTTTGTGGAATCAATCCTTCTCATACTTGGTCTTCTTTTTCTGCTGCTGCTGTGAATTTTCCTAGCATTATTGACACCTCCTGTGAGTCTTGTTTTCCCATAATATACCCAAAGTGCAACGTGCTCAATTTCATCATTTTGGCTTCCGGGGCAAGTTCTAGCTTAATTTGATCTAGGGGAGACTTGTTTTTCTTTCAGTCCAGTGCATTCACAAAGCTCTCTCACAAAGCAGTACAATGTTTCAAAAACATCAAATTTCTGTCAAGTTTCACACCCATGCCTAGTGATTATTAACACTTGGTCATAGATCTTTGCTTTGATCTCAAGTGAAATGTCTTTCCATTTGATGATCTTTTCTAGTTCCTTCACTGTTGCCTTTCCAAATCTGTCTTAAAAACTGCAGCCTTTAATTGAATTGCTGATTGAGTCAAAGTATACAAAAACTTTAAATTTCTTCAGTGTTGACGATAAAGCTCTGTAATTGTTCTGTAGTCATAATTTTTGGTAATGTTCAGCTAGTCTTGCTTTCACAATTTCTTCTTTCACATTCCTTTAGGAGTCATTTCTTTGCTGCTTTCTGCCAGTAAATTTGGTATCATTTATATGTCTTAATTATTCATGTATCTTCCACCAATTTTCACCCCTACTTCCTAATCCAGCTTTTCTTACAATATGTTCTGTGTACAGATTGAACAGATAGAGAGATAAAATACACATTTGTCTGACACCTTTAAACCATTCTGTTTCTCCATATTCTGTCCTGACAATATCATCTTGTTCACAATAAAGGTCACACATCAGGCCAATCAAGTGCTGAAGTACATTTATTTCTTTCAGAACCATCCATAGTTTCTCATGATCCACACAATCAAAGGCTATGCTGTAGTTTTATAAAGTATAGACTGTCCTTTTGAAATTGTTGGTGTTATTCAGTAACTAATGTGCATTTGTTATACAATCTGAGTGTCACTTTTTGGAATTGGCTTGAATGTCAGGTATTTCTCGTTCCGTGTAGCGTAAAATTTTTTGTTGCAACACCTTGACTATCACTTGCCTGCATGGGAAATCAGTGCAATGATTTTATAGCTGCTGCACTTCTTGGCAACTCCTTTCTTGGAGATTGGAATATATATTGATATAAATGTATATTTCCAGTCTGTAAGCCTTTGTTTTATTTTCCATGTTTGCTGGCATAGGCATGTTAGGATTTGGATAACCCTATGTAATCTGGGTACTCAAGTCCTTCAAAGTGGTTTGAAAGCAGCAGCTTTCACTTGCTTTCTAATATTCAAGCTCTTCATAGGATTCCAATACGAAAGAGCCTGTTATCTTTTTATCTCTTCTATTGTTTCCATGTTCTCTTTATTTTCTCCTGGTCAGATAGTATGTTCTCTTGGTCTTTCAGCATTCCTAATCTAGGCTTGAATTTCCCTTTGCTTTCTTGGATGTTCTGGAAGACATTTCTTGTTTTTCCTCTTTTGTTCTCTTCTATTTCCACTGGTCATTGTAATAGTTCTTTTTTGTCTTTACACAAAAGTAACTGAAAAGTTGCATTCTGGATTCTGACACTTTTTCCTGTTGCCTTTTGCGTCTCACTTGTCCTTTGCAATTGTGGTTCTTCTATCATAAAGGTTTTTCTTTACTTTTTGCTACAGGAATTGTCATTTGGCATTCTTCCCTAATATTGCTCCTAGTTTCAATCCATAGTTCTTCTGGTTCATAGTCAGTTAAGTTCAGTAATGCAAATGTATTCTTTATGTGAACTTTAATATCCTCAGGAATTTTATTAAAATTGTATTTTGGCACTATGCTTGTTAGCGATCCTTTTCATTCGTACTGATCCCACAAACTGGGTACCATATTGTCCAAGAGCAAGAGCCTTTGTAATACTTCATTTATGCTCTTAAAACCAATGGTGGAGTTCAAGGAAATGTTAATATTCATGCGTTTACCTGCTCTTATAAAAATGGGTAAGATTTGGTGTTTACTACTGTGGAGGTGTACAATTCTCTCTCTCTCTCTCTCCCTCTGTGTGTGTGTGTATTGGAAAGCCCTCTTCAGAACCACATCTTAATCCTCACAATGGTTTCCCAAGCCTCTCAAACACTATTGATTAATATGCTTTGGAAATTTTTAGTCACACCCTTGGGAAAGACAATGAAGGTGCCAGGTGAACACACACAAAAGATGAAGAAAAATCAGAATAAAGCTGGACATAAATTCCAGAATAAAAGGACAAGGGATAAGGTGATAGACAGAAAATAGCAATTAATGTGCTGTATTTAAAATAAAAGCTTGGTGTTGATCAGCCCTGGTGAAAAGGGTAAAAAGTTTGGAAGTATCCTAAAGGTTAGTTTGGTGTGCAACACCCTCTGCCTTCTCCTTACTCCTAAACTTTGGTATAGTGTTTTGACCTATAAATCTGCATTATACAAAAAGTTAAGCTTCAGCCAGAAACAATTCTGGTCCATCTTAAAGGCATAGTAAAGGGACAGTATGTCATATAGTCCATGTTTATTCTATATGACAAATTGTCCAAAACTAATTTTGTGATTCAAATTTCACATGACCTACAGTTCTTATTAATGTAAGCAGCTTATTTTTACATATAATGAAAATTACTGGCATGGGATCATGACACTTGAGATCAGCTTACACCAAAGCTAAGGGTTTAGCTCAATGCAATATTAGGTGGTCTCAATGGAAAGTTTCCTCATTGAGTCTATGTTTTGGGGTGACCCAAACCTTAGTGGGGAGTACATACCCTCATTTCCATATCCTTTTATTTCCATTGGAAAATAATGGCACGCTGGACAGTACTCTGCACACAAAAAGGTATGGGCCAGACCTGATGCCACTTTCCTTGTGTCACCTCAAATATGCATCAACTATACTCATCAAATAACTTTCAACCTTACAGTAATCAAAGGTGTTGCTATGACTCCCACAAGAATTTAAGTCAGTGGCTAAGTAGTTCCCATCCTAATTCCCAAGGGAAATTACCCACTACTGAGAAGATAAGTAGAGATAAATGGAGAAAGGTGATGAGTAGCTGTTCCTTCCCTGTGTATGTGATTACAATGCCTTAAATATTTATCTGCCTCTGGTGGGTGAACTTTCACACTTTTTCTACTGATGCAGCCAAGTTGCTTTTGCAATAATGTAGCATTTTTTAAAAATTGTTGAGTGAACAATTTTTATGTCATGTAATCTTCTGTACTGTTTTTGCCTTTTTAGAGTATTACACTGCTTTGCCCAGAGCCTCGGCTATTGGGCATTATAAAAATTGAAATAAATAAAAATGCAATCCCTTGTAGGAATTTATGAATTGCCCATCTGCAATTCCCAGCATTCCTAAAAATTGATTGTGTTGTCTGGAGAACATCAGGTTGGAGACAAGTTCAAACATACCGACCTTTCATGTAATACAGCTGCTTTCTGTACATAGGCGGGGCCTCTTAAAAGAAACACTGCTGTATTAATAGCAAATGAGGGACAACATGGAAAGTATATGTGCTTTTCTTTCCCTATATTCCCTCACACCCCTTAAGATTAGCAGGGTAGGCCTTGCTCTGGGAACCCTCTTTGAAGGAGGTACTAAAGGTTACTATTCGGAGGAGGGTCTCCTCTGCAGTGACACCCAAACTATGGAATATTCTCCCCAGAGAGGTCTGCCTGGCACCAACTCTACTCTTTCTGGCGCCAGGTAAAGACCCATCATCTTAATTAAATTAATAATTTTAATAAATATCAGTCACATCTTTTTCTTTTAATTTTGAATGGGTTTGAATGTTTTAGTGTTTACTATTGAATTTTAATTGTATTTTATATGGTTATTTTGTTGTGAGCCCTCCTGAGGCTATGCAAAGGACGGCATAGAAATATTTTAAATAGATAAAGCATAGCTCGGCCAAAGCCAGCCTATGCCTGAGGATGGCACAACGCAGAAGCTCTGAAACCAAATGCACACTTTGTGTCCCCCACGCGGAGACTTTACTTCTTTCCCTGGAGATCCCGAGAAGGACGCTACTCCCAAAGCCGGAGACGGGACCTGCGGCCTAGGAAGGGACCCATTTCCCATTTCACCCATTTTCACAGCGCAGCCCAACTACTGAAGGATGCTTCCTTTCCGTGCCCAGTCCCTTATCTCGTTGGGCGGGTTTTCCCTGAGGGAGAGATCAGAGACGGCTTTGCCCGCCCATCGCGGCGCTGAGAGGAGGGCCGAGGCCACGTGGCTCCCTTTCCCGGCGGAGGCGGCTTGTTCGCTGCAAAGCGAGGCCGCTTGTCCCGTTAGTCGAGCCGCAGCAGGCAGGAGGACCGAGGCTATTCGCTACCCTCATCATCGAAGAGAGGGCGATGTGGGACAGCGACAGCGAACGAACCCCGAAGCGGGCCCGGCCCGCCAGCCCGGCCGATGCTTTTCGCACACCTGAAAAACCCGTCTCTGCGGGGCAAGCCGGAGGGCTCCAGCCCCGGCTTTGGGACGTGGAGCAGCTGTGCACGTTCCTCTGGCGCAGCGGCTTCCAAGACCCGGAGCTGCTGAGCTGCTTCCGAGGTGAGCGGGAGAAGCCGACACTGGCCTGCTTGAGTGGGTCCTTTCCTCGTTGGCCTGCGCGTTGTTATGCCGGGAATTTCAGCCTCCCCGGACCTTGAAGCGACGTAGGCTGGGGCGACATCGCGCTGCTGCGCGCCTTCGGCGTCCATGACAGGAAGGGCGGGCGGGCCGGCCGGCCGAGGGATCCAGCGTAGGGTCGGCTTGCCTGAAATAGGCTCCAGTCCCAGAAGTCTCAAAAACTACCCGGAAATTGACGTTGTTCTCGCTCCCCAAAATAAAGGACCGGCTAAGCCGAGCTGCTGTTTTCTCTGGACAGGCAGTTTCTCTCGAGGTGCCTTCCTTGCACGTTCGGCTTAAAACTTCGTTTGGGTGTAAGGGGCTCTCAAAGCGACTCGAATCGTGTTGTAGTTGTACCTTTCTCCGGGACCGGCTGGGAGAGGATCGCGGTTCCTCTCCGTGGCGGGATAAAGAAGAGAGCTTTCTTCATTCTCGTTTTACGCTCAAGTAAGGTCCACCATGTTTAGCGCGGCTTTTTCCGAGGCAGATCTGCATAGGATTGCGCTGGAAGTCACTTAGGATGCAATCCTACTCATATTCAGGCACATGGGGAAAGGTTCCCAAATGCTTAGCCTGCTGCTGAGGGATGCTGGGAGCCGGAAAACTTTTTCCTCTGTTGAAATAAGTATAGGATGGCATCCATAATGCGGATTAAGTACACCTGTCCCATGTTAAAAGAACTGGCTGTTCTTCAAGCCACCTTCTTCCTCTTTCAATATTACCATTTAAGGCTTTGCTTTTAACATAATCTTTCCGAAACCCTCTCATGATTCTTCTACCGGCAACTTTAATGTTTCACCTAGGTGACATTATGTTTTCTGGTTGCAATATGCAGCCCTTGACCCCTAGAAGAGCTTAAGTCTTTTAAACCTGTGCCTCTTTCTCCACGCCATTTTAAAACTTGATTACAAACTATATGACTTTCAACACCATTTTTTCCCCTTCACCCCCATCTCGCCCCTACAGCATCTTGCCTTATGAAGAGAGATTGAAAGACAGCCCACAGTTGTGCAAATTTGCTTCATTGTAATAGTTATTGTTGGATTGTAGAATTTGGAACTCCCATGTAAGCTCAAAATGGTCTGCTCTGCTGTTTTCAGTAAATTGTCCAGTAAATTATGGGCAGCTGAAAATTTTTGGAGGTGCTTGTTAACAGCTTAACTCCTCATTAATCCCATTCTAGCAGAGAAGACTTCAGGAGTAGTTTGAGCCATTAACTTGTAAACTTGCATTACAGGGTTTTTTTTTAAAATGCCCCCGGGATGTTTGAATGTGTTATCTGCCTAAATAACCTGTTGTGAGAACTGTATTATCAGTTAATAGGTGTGTTCTTTGCCCAGAGTATTTCCATAGCCTTGATTTAAATAAGATACCTGGGAGAGGGTTCTTATCAAGCTAACAGGAAGTACAAAGAATAGACAATCTCATGGCTCTTCATATGCTAAGTAGGCATTCCACGAGAAAAGCTGTAATAAAGTGCAGTGTTTTTCTCTTCAATTGACATGCTGAATCACATGAGAAATTATTTTCAGAGATGTAGAGAATAAAAGTTTGCTGCCTTATCTGGCAAAATGCTGAGAATTTCCCATGTTAGTCCATTATAAAGAATTCAAAATAGGGTTTAAATAGGGTTTATTCTATCAGGATTGATTAAATAATAAAAGCAGTGGACTGCCTTCAGATTTCAGAGTTAACTGTTTTCTCAGGGTTGATATTAGACTAAAATGGAAAAGGGGTAGGAGATCAAATCATATTGGTGGTAAAGGAAACAAATGGGGATTCATAACAAAATGCTGCAGTGCATTCTCAGTCTCTAAGAGGAGTGATTCTGGTTCAGCTCTAGTTGTCTTGCAACAGGAGTCTTGTACTCTCCAGAGCATGCAGAATAGGTGAAGAAATGGTTTAACGGAGGAAGGTTGCCTCTCTTTTCTACTCTGCTGTACTAAAGGCTGCTGGACATTTGGCCATCTTCCCTCCTTCCTGAAACATCCCTGTATAGTAAAGCAAGAGGAGTTTTTCAGCTCCCCATGATGCTCATAGCCTTAAGTCCTCATCCCCAGGAAATTTTATTAAAAAAATAAGGAAAGCTGATTTCTTCTGGTCACCTGCCTCCATTTCTCTTTTTGTTCTCTCTAGCTGGGTTCTGAAAGATACTCCTTCCTATTATCCAGCCATTAGACATTATTATCTATTTTGCCTTCTCTTGATGGTACATTTAGCATGACATCTAAAACTGATCTCCAGTTTTGATAATGTGAGGACTGTAAATATTTGTTTCTGCCTTGTACAAGTGAATCCCAACTAGTATTAGAAACAGTTAATTCAAATCTATTGAGTTAAAGGTAAGATAAACTATTTAAGGCTGCTATTCTAAGTATGCAAATCTCTTCTTATAGTTAAGACTTGGTTCTTGGCCGTGAAAATTGCTACACTACATGTAGAAACAGTGACTCAGTTTGTTGTAGCCACATCATGGCAATGGCTAGTGGTCAAAATTTCTATGTTTGCATTTCCCTCATTTTCCCTAGTTCCCTTTTGTATTTACTGTCTCATAATAAATGTGGTTTGCTTTTATATCCAAATCATGTAAGCTTTGCTTACTGCTAACCATGGTTCACCTGCTATCTGGAATTGGAAACCCCAGTTGTAAGAAGTCTAAAATGATGTTTCAGTGCACAGAATTAGTAGTATAGTTCTTTGAAGTCCTGCTAAGTTTACTAAACAAGGTATACTATGGAAATGTGCTGATTAAATATTTTGTTTATTACTCAGAAAATATTTCAGATATATTAATTCAGAATAATATATAATGCTTGAATATTCCTCATTTTTGAGGCATTTTCATGTGAAATCTGCACAGATAATTAAAATATCAAGCAATTCAGAAGCTTGACTATTTAAGAGCCACAAATGAAGCTAACAGTTTGTTAATAAATTTATTTACTCCTCAGAAAATCAAATTACTGGTTCAGCTTTGCCCTCTCTCACTATCTCTCATCTTGAAAAAATGGGAATTCGGTAAGGAAAACTTTAATCAAATTTAAATAGTAAAAAGAATGTGTGTTTTAATTCCTAAATGGATACTTCTGCATTTACTATCTATGTGGTTTTAATCTTCATATTGCTGGTTTTCAAAGGCTAAAAATTAATTAATTGTAGCATCTTTAAGAAAACTAAAAAAGTTCCTTTTCACATGCCTTGTTCAAATAATAGCACTGTGTCAAGCATAACTGTGCATATTCTATCTTCTCAGTAGTCTCACTGTTGACAGAATAATTGCTGCAGTTTAAAAAGTGAGAATTCAGTGGTTTTTAACATTCAATAGAACAGTAGACCCTTTTGAAGACACTCCTAGTTGCAGAAGCCCACTTTTTGGGCATGCTTTCTCGTTTCCAAAGTTTCTTTTCCAAAGAAAAGCACTCCTTTTGGTGTCGTGATTGAAAGCAGTTGAGACGGAGAGGTAGCACCTTTTTAATTTGGTTTTAAATACTGCTGTTATTGTTTTACTATATTATTAATTTTTCTTGTTGTGATTTTTTGTAAATCATATTAGTTGTCAGAAAAAGGTATAAAACATCATAAATAAGATGTTTATTATTACAAAATAAGAATATTTTGTAAATATAGGTAGTGAAAGAACTCTGTAACCTTCAGATAGAGACTTCTATATCTTTAGCTTAGAAACTGTTATTGCCAAATAATAAGAAAAACAATTGTTACCATGTACAGCTAATTCCTGTTTCATGAGGTTGTATACGCAAAATCTTTCTGTATACTGCACTAACATCTGAGGCTGTCCGCTGAGTCAGATTTGAGAGGATGGGAGCAAAGGAGAGGGCTTTCTTTGTGGTATCCCAATTATTGTGGAATAATCTCTACTCTCAGGCATATTTGATGGCATATGATGGGATTTTAATCTCATGTTTCACCAGGTCCTGGTGACTCATCGCAACTGGTTTTACTAGTAAAATTGTTTTTACCTTTTGCATTATTATTATAATTAAATTGCATTTTTATCCCACATTTTTTCCATGTGAAGAATCCAAAGCAGCTTACAAAGTTCACCTCTTCTCCATTTTATCCTCACAGCAATAACTCTGTGAGGTAGATTAGACTGAGTGTATGACTGGCCCAAAGTCACCTAGTGAGTTTCATGGCTGAGAAAGGACTAGAACCCAGATCTCCTGAGTTCCAGTCCTTCACTCTTAACCACTCCAATATATGGCTCTGCATGTTCAAGTGTTTATAATATGTTTTGTCATTTTTGTACCTTGGTGAGTATCGGGAAAAGTACATACGTGCGCACTGTGTTATCTATGCTTGGTCTACATTTGTCATCTCTTCTCTTCCTCTCCATTAGTAAACATTTGGAACATTATAAATAGAGATGAAGGAAGCTCATAATACCCTCTTCAGTTCTGAAGCTCTCTTGTGGAAAACTGCTATAGAAATGTTTGTAATAATACCAGCTAAAGTAGCTTTAAAGTCAATTATGTTGTTTAATAAAATACTGAACTATCCATTTAACTAGGTAATATATTTAATGGCTTTCAGAACAGTAGGAGTGAAAACGGAACTTCTGGCATGTCTCCACAGACTGGCACAAAGTTATGCTGACATAACAAAGGTGAGAGAAACATTTACTGTAATCTAAAAACAATCTGCAAAGTGGGCAGCCTCTGTTTGTTAAAGGTGATCACTCTTCAGTGATCATTTACTTCTTTAGCTCTGCTGGCAGCTAAATGAAGCTAGCCCACTAATCCAAGAAAACTGGTAGCATAAAAATAGCTTACAGTGATAATGCAAAAGCTATCCCGTTTCAAATGCAAAAATATTAAATCATTTTACATATATCTGTAATTCTTCCTTGTCCTTCTTCCCAACCAATAGCTGCCATTGCTGAGCAGGTTGTAGGGCTAACTGGGGCTATTTATTGTAAGGGATTCTTTGCTTGTTAAGTGTTGCCAACCTGTATTGGTTTTCAGCATATACTTTGCATGGGTGCTGTTTTAATCCCAGCTGATGTATCTATTTATATAAAAAGCCCCTTTACTATCTTTTTGGTTCCCCTGTGACAAACTTACTAACATAAAAACGGGGAATGCCAATGCATCTTTTTCTGTTTGAAAAAACTATTTCTTTTAAGAGAACTGTCCTAGTTCACGTAGGCCATCTGTTCAACTTAAAGTTTGCTTTATTCTAGGTATTTAATGACCCAGTTCATGGTCACATTGAAATGCATCCTCTCCTTGTTCGAATCATTGACACACCTCAGTTTCAGCGTCTTCGATACATTAAACAATTGGGTGGTAGTTACTATGTTTTCCCAGGAGCAACACATAACCGCTTTGAACATTCCCTTGGGTAAGAAATGTGCTCTTCTTTGTTGATATCTTTGTTTTTATTGAAATTATTTTCTTGGTCACCCACTGAAAAGTTCCTGTGCCTGTGAATATTAATAGCAGCTCCACTAAATTCCCCAGTAGTTTATAAGGATATAAGGAAGTCCTGCAGTGTATGGAAGATTTTTTTCCTCTAAAATACCTTAAATAGTTTGAAGTTTTCTTCATGCCATCTCAGTCAGCAACATTTCATTTTCATTTTGAGCAGGTACAGGTTCACCAACCTCAAACCTAGGTAAACAATTTTTCTCACTTCTGCACTAAAAATCACATCAAAAGATTTTCAGAGGCATAGTAGATGATACCATCTTACTGGCAGAAAACAGCAAAGAACTGAAATAATGAACATGAAAGAAGAAAGTACAAAAGCAGGATTGCAGTTAAACAAAAAATCATGACCACAGAAGAATTGTACAACTTATTGTCAACAATGAAGAAATTGAAACAGTGAAAGATTTTGGCTCAGTCATCAGTTCAAATGGAGATTGCAACCAAGAAATCAGAAGAAGACACAGACTTAGAAGAGCAGCAATGAAGGAACTAGAAAAGATAATTAAATATAAGGACAACTCACTGGAGACCAAGGCCAAAAGCATCTGCACTCTTCTGTTCCCAGCTATTACATGTAGGTCTGAGACGTGAACTGTGTAAAGAAAACTGAAATGAAGAAAATAGATTATTTTAGAAGACAGTGATGAAGGGAATGCTTTGTGAATTCCCTGAACTGGCAGAAATACAAACAAGTACATCCTGGATACATCATGTAGGAACTTGCCCTGAAAGATAAAACTGAGATTGTGCTTCAGGCATGTTACGAGAAGGCAAGACTTGCTGGAAAAAAAACAGTCTTGAGTTTATAAAAGCTATGCGGGGTTCTCAAGGACAGGATGTTTTAACGGCCATTCCTTCATATGGTCCCCACAAGTCAGAGCTTGCTTGACGGTACATAACAACCATGTAAATCCATTGCAACAAAAATAAGAGCCTTGTAGGCTTAAAAGATTAGCAATTATGATATAAACTTTAATGCATGAAAACTCATTCATGTAATAATTTCTTTGCATCCATGCATGTGTGTGTATTTGTTGATCCTGGATAAAAATTGCCTTCATAACCCTGTTTCCTTCCTGCATTTGGGATAGAGTGCAACTTAAGATACAATTCTATGCATTTTTAAACAGAATTGTTCAGCTGCCTGGGGAATGCTGGGATTTATAGAACTTTTTCTGGCTAAACATGCATAGGATTGAGACCTTACTTCATACATGAGGACAGTACCTGGAAGTACCTGTCACTTGTTGCTTTCTGCACAAGTATGGAGAATAAGTATGTATAGAGAGTGTTTCTATGTGAGTGGGCCAGAGAGGAACTGGCTCTGATGTGTTATCCACGGATTTAGTAATCAGAAGCCAAATAGTTAAATAACATTTGGATGTTGTTATGTTGTAGTTCTAGATGCAAGTAAGCCAGATGACATACCATAATTATACTACAATTATGACCTGCTGTATGTGTGTGTATTAACTCTAACATTCAAGAAATGCAGAACTGAACTTTTTGCATTCTTGCAACAGGGTTAGCCATCTAGCAGGCCGTTTGGTCCAGACACTTCAAGAGCGACAACCAGAACTGTTGATTGACCAGAGAGATATTTTATGTGTCCAAATTGCTGGCCTTTGTCATGACTTGGGTAAGTTGCTTTTCAAATACACTAACAAAAGTGGTATGTACATTGTAAATAAATGTACTATCCCATTCTACAGGTTTCTCACAGCAACACATATCTATTACTTCTCTAGGTAGGCTAAAGCCCTGTGTTGGATACTGCAAATAGCTCATACTATTTCCTTCTTACACTTTCTTCCAGTAAATGATCCCACTACAACTCTTTTCCAGCCTGGCATAACTCACAGGTTTGTTGTAAAGATAAACCTGGGTGGTGGAACAATGTCTATCACCATGAGCTTTAGTAGACAGGCAGGATACAAATGCAACAAATATTATTGGGTGGTGTAAAGGGGAGGATGAGAGTTGCTCTAACTCCCACCAGTGTAGACAGAGGGCCCAAAGGTTGCTTAGATTGGCTACAACCCAACACTCTAGGCTGTCACTACCCCTAATGTACAATTCAGCCTGAGCTAGGTTTCTTACAGGACATCCATAAGGTATATGAAAGAAGGCCAGTGCTGGCATTCAGCTTGTTCTGTAGTCGTCCGTAAATTCTAGTTCTTCTCAATAGAAGTGGTAGCTGTGACAAGGAGTGTTTGTGCTCTGTTTAGGCTAGTGCACCAGTTGTGCTGTTTGTGCTGGAGAAAACATGCTCTATTTAGTACACATCTTGCTTACATCCAGACTAGATTGATCATTTATTTTATTTAAAATGTTTTATGCCATTCTTTCCTTTTCCATATGCATTCATATACTTCTGATAATTATGCCTGAATAAGGGCCTCAGAAGAGCACATGGACAGGTTAACTGCCCAGAGCATACTTAACAAGTAGATGCGTTTGAAATGTGCCCAGAAACCTGGGTTGGCAAAAAATAGAGTAGCTAGGCTGCTGACTGGCACTAAGGTTTTGGATCACATCATATTTTGTCATTTTTACTGCCCTTTTTGTTTCCTTTCTCAAGTTTAAGTGTAGGTTTTAACCTTTAATGTGCTAGGCTGGGTTACATACAGAATCACTTCCCTTAGTATGAGCCTGCTTCAGGCACTAGGAGCATTCCTGTTCCCTCTTCTATACCAAGGTGAGGTAAGTGTGAAGCAATATAAAAGAAAGCCATTTCAGTGGTGTCTGGACTCTGGAACACATTGACATGGGAGATTCAGTATCATATGCCTTCCATAAGCAGTCAAAAGCACTGTGGGAAAATCCACCAGGATATTTCTGCCCCTACCAGTTTTCTGCTTCACTGACTGCACTGTATAAGCCGCTCCTACCACTTGCATAGTGGTGATTTAGAGCTCCTGACCAACCAAAACAAGTAGAAATGTTCATTTTGGGAAAAAGGGTGACAGATCTTACATAACCTTTTGAGCTGTCTTAGAAATGTAGAAACAGAGTGAGTCAGAAGGGGTCTCCCAGGCCATCTAGTCTGACCCCTGGCTCCAGCTGGCTCTGCTCACTACATGCCCACCATCTTCTTCTTTCCAGATAGTCTTCTTTTGGGGCATCTGCTAGAAGTCTTAAATCTCCCTTGTTGTAAGTGGTGCGTTCCATGTTTGCAGTGCATTTAGTGGGACCTGGCCCTTGTACAACTGAATTGGCAGGGCAGAAAAGAATCTGTAGAGTGGAAGTGCACCATTGGATATTATCCTGATATTCCAGTGGGAATTTGAACAAAATTCTGTTCAAAGTTTTATCTCCTATGAAGCTTTGGCATTGCATTTTTTTTTTTTGGTTGCTTTTTTTATTGTGATTATTAGATACTCTGGAATTTTGGGGATAAGGCAAAATACAGGCAAGTTGACCAGGCTGAAAGTTTATCCACTAGCTCTAGGAGGTTTGACCTTGCCTTAGAAGGAATGCCAAAATTAATATAACAATGTGTATGTTTATACGCACACATATTCTCATGCACATACATCATACCCCTGCCATATAGATAAAATACACAATCCTTATTTTTTAGGTCATGGACCATTCTCACATATGTTCGATGGAAGATTCATCCCACTAGCTTGTCCAGGATTAAAATGGAAGGTGGGTCTTCTGCATGCAGTATAATACAAAACCACACGTTATATCCCTAATAAATTGAGTGGTCCTTAAGTATGTTAACCATGATGCTTTAAGAGAGGATAGAACTGGGGACTTCCACAGTTTTTTGTTTTAATAGAAGTTGCTTACAGTATCTTGGAGAAAAATTGTCACTCAAATTGCTAGTTTATAAATCCTGGCTTATTTGGAAACAGTTTTCCATAGTGTTAGGTTTTCATGTATCAGGAAGCTATGGTTAAGTGTTAGTTATGGCTTCCTTCCATGCTTTTATAAAGGGAGGAACAAAGCAGGAATGAAGAGGTGGTATGTGGATATTAAGCTTGCATATCCTGGATTCTTAAACTGGGATTTTTCCTCCCTGGGATGTGCAGGTCTTACTGGTTTTGCACTGAATTATAATTGTTTTGTTGACAGCAATTGTTCTGGTTTAATAACTAAAAACTTGCTTTTCTGTAGCATGAACAGGCTTCTGTTCAGATGTTTGAGCACTTAATCATGTCCAATAAGCTAAAATCAGCCATGGAATATTATGGTCTCAAACTGAATGAAGATATAGACTTTATCAAAGAACTGATAGCGGGACCTATTGAGGCAAAGCCAGGTGTTTTGGTGAGTCTTGCTTTCCACATTTCTGTGTGCTGTTTAAATGCGGCGTGGTTTAGTGGGGGCAATCAGGAACAAGTACTGTTGGGCACTGGGCATGCTTTCAGGTCTGTGGGTATAGGTTTACAGCAAAGAGATGATGAATCTATGTGCACTTGCGCTGAACAAAATTACACTGATAAACTATTGGCAAGATGACTGGCCGTCAAAATGACATCAAGGTTTTACACTCACATGCTGTAACTCAGCACCTTAAGCTTAGCTGCTGTAATAACTACAACAGGTAGAGTGTAAAAGACAGAGGAAGGCATCCAAAGATGCCCTCCTGCTGAGGGAAGGAAATCTTTCAGGCTTAACTCAAGCATTATTTGCATGTGACACAATAATTAAACATCCTATGGAACAGGAAATGGTTCTTGATCTTATCCTGATTTATGTGGGGTAGGTTGGTCTTAATAGTAGTTTCAGTTAAAAATAGTAATAAAGTATTAGCAGTATAACTGTTCCCAGTATTCCTGGGATAAGCTACACTTAGAAACCTTGATTTAATACTGACTTAGTGCTTACTATGGATTGATTTATTCTAATGCTTTTTTTTCCCTTTTCCTCATCCTTACCATGGACGATTAGAAGAACACGTGGCCTTATCGTGGGCGATCAAAAGAAAAGAGCTTTCTTTATGAGATAGTGGCTAACAAAAGAAGTGGAATTGATGTTGATAAATGGGATTACTTTGCTAGGTATAGAAATCTTGCCGCTTTTTCAAGGATCTGGAGAAATTTTATTATTGATAAATGAAGTATTGATAGTCCCTTACCTATCAAATGTTTTAATTAATGAAAGATATTAATCAGCACTCATCCACGTTAAATTTAACATGGATGAAAATGTGTAACTACAGTTAATGCGCTCCTATACATCTTTTTATTTGTTAATATTCCTTTAAAAAGGCTAGAATAAAAGCATGGCAATATATTTGTGCTAGCGGTATTGACAGGTGAACTTGTAGGATTCCTTTGGCATGTTATGTAGCTCCTGTAAAAAGTACCATTTACCAGAATTTTCACAGTATAAAATGATGCATATTAAATTTTTAACATGTGAAAATGTTTGGATTCTGCTCAGTTAGGAGTTAAGAACAAACTGGGAATGATCTGTCTTTGAGATATATATTATGACCCTCTCAGGGAAGACATTAAGCCCAGTCCATGTATGCAAACTGTTTATGCAGAATGGACAAAATTTAGACTATGTCTTCCTCCACTTACATCACACAGTTAAAATGATCAAATGACTCAGAAGGGTATATTAAGAGAGGCATCATCTTGGGAGACTGAGGATGCTACATATTAAACAATTTTTGAAGTCCTTTGAATTAACAGTTAGTAAGATGAACTGATACAGTCCTATAGATTCTGTGACAGTTTTAATTAGAAAATATGGTGTAAAAAGCAAATAGTAATGGATTGTGTATATACATTAAGTCCTAATTGATTAAAAAAGCAGTTCTTATGAATTACAGTTTAAAGAACATTTCATTTATCAGGAGAATTAAGTGAGGAATCTATATAGTGACCTGGGTTGCACATATGACTGTACAGTATGAACCCATGGGCTGTTATACATGAGTGAGAAAGAGGTGCAGTGCACCAGCCATTCACACTTTTAGTCAACAGCTTAAGATCAGCCAAGTTGTAGGTTGTTAGGCATGATGTACAAACTCATGATGTACACATCTGGTTAACCCAACCACAAATTGTGAGTTAACTGTTGGGTTGTTTATCCCTAAGCAATCAGGTTCATGCATCATGATTTAGTGAATCATGTTGTTGCTTCAAAGTGGGAGTGGTTGGTGGACTGGAAACAATGTCTGTTCTGTCCCACTTATGCACAACAGTCCATGCGCTCTTACTATGTGCAAACTGGCCAGTGGTTTGGGACCCGATTTGCCCTTTTGTGGATGTAAGTGCTCTTTCCTTCCATTCACGGAAGGCACTGAGACCTAGTAGAGGCACTCACTAGGAGTAAAATTGCTTCCCTTTCCCCTCAGCAGGAAAGTCTTCTAAGTGGAGTTCTGTTGGATGAGGTTTTTGTGAGACTTTAATAAAAGTTACATTGGAACATTTTAATATGATATTACATCAGCAGTATTTACCCCTTTATAAGTTAACATAAATGTATAGTATGTCTGAAGATAACATTGGTGCTGCAGCAAACTGCATGCATGTTATATAGGTACACATATACACACAAACATGTTTTGGAAATGCGAAAATGTGCTTGGGAGAATCAAATATATAAATATCAGTACATTCCAAACAATTATATAGATTTTTAAAATAAAATATACATAAAGTGATAATGTACATCCTTATTCTTTTTTTACTGAGGTGTGAAATACTTTCAATTGTATTTTTTTCATAAGTAGACTTGTCTGTCAAAGCATTAATTTGTGTGTGTATGTGTGGGTGTGTTTAATATCAGTTAAGGATTTTTTGTATTCATAATATATGAAAAATGGGGTCCAAAATTCATAACTGATTGAGCATAATTCTGTTTCTGCATACTTAGGGATTGTCATCATCTTGGGATCCAGAACAACTTTGATTATGAACGCTTCATTAAATTTGCTCGTGTCTGTCTAGTGGACGAAGAGAAGTGTATTTGTACCCGTGACAAGGTAATTTGTGTTGAGTAAAGTAGAGAACTTCAACAAGAGTGTTGTTATATTCTTAATGACAGCTTGAACAATTATTTTCAGATGAGGTTTTCCACTCCATTTTTGGAATGCTTAAGAGGAAGCACTATTCCATATTGCTGTCAAACCAGTGCTTTGACATTGTTGACCAAATGGTCTGTGTACTGGTGTGTGTGTGTGCCTAAAATACACAACAGGGGAAAGTTTTCTTTTAAAGAATTTATTCTTGAGAATAACCAACAAATCATTCCAGATGGTACACTTTGTGAGCCGCCCTGAGACTTAGGTGAATGGGGCAGCATAGATGCCTCCTAAATAAATAAATAAACACACACACACCCCTACCTGAGCAGTCCTAAGCTGACCCTTTTATACGAGGGGCGTTCAGTGTATTCTCTGTATCAGCATGAATAAAAAGGAATAATAAATTGAAATTTTTATTTTTCAATGTAATCCCCCATAACTTCAATACACTTATTATATCTAGAAATTAACTTTTCAATTCCCTGTAAAAAATATCCTTCCTCCTTGTCTAAAAAATGAGCGTTAATTGCCGCCTTGAGCTCTTCATCGTCAGGAAAAATCACTTTCCACAAAGATCTTTTTTTAAATTCAGGAATAGGTAGTAGTCACTGGGGGCCAGGTCTGGGCTATAGGGTGGGTGGTTTATTTCTTCGAAACCACAGTCTCGCACAGCAGCCTTCGAAACACGCGACGTGTGAACGGGCGCGATGTTGTGAAGAAGCAGCACACCTGCGGTCAGTTTTCCCTGCCTTTTTTCTTTAATTGCTTCTCTTAAATTACGCAGAGTGGTTGTGTAAGATGCTGCGTTTATGGTTTCACCTTTTTTCTTGTACTCAATAAAATTCCCTTTGAGTTCCAAAACATGATTTTTCTGGCTGCTGGAGTGACTTTGAATTTCTTCTGAGGGTCAGCACCTTTTTTAGGCCACTGCATGGACTCCTGCTTAATTTCAGGGTCATAGTGATGAACCCAAGTTTCATCTCCAGTAACAATCCGGTCGAAAATACTTGATGGATCTTCACCACAGAGCTCTAAAAACTCCCTACAGCACTTGACTAGCACTTGCTTCTGAGGCGCCATGAGCATTTGCGGCACCCATCTTGCACAGACCTTTGAAATGTTAAGATGGTCATGAAAAATAGTAAATATGGTACCAACGGATAGGTTTGTCATCTCTGCTAACATTTTGATTTTTATTCGGGCATCTTTCAATACAAGTTTCTCAATTTTTTTTTTTCACATTTTCTTTCGTAGTGGCAGTAACAGGCCTGCCCGAGTGAGGGTCGTCTTCAGTGCTTTCTCTGCCCCTTTTAAATTCACTTGACCACTTTTGAACAGTAGATAATGAAGGTGCAGAGTCCTGGTAAATGACCACCATCTCTTCGTGAATGATTTTTTTTACTTTTTCCTTGTTTTGTAAGGAACTTAATCACAGCGTGCTGCTCGATTTTCTTCAACATTATCACATCAGTCATTATGGTCGTCTTTCACTGAGGATTACTAGGGAACTAATGATCACACTTACTTGAAATTTTGCATGCATACCCTCAGTGTCATTAGCTAATGAAATAATTAAATTACCCACATCAATAGCAAATCAACCTGATACCGAGAATACATTGAACACCCCTTGTACACTGATCGTTAAACGGTTACATGTAACACAGTTAATACTTTCTTCTAGGTTACAGATGTGAAAAGTCACAATGGCATGAACTTTCTGGCCCGAATACCAAAGGGAAAGGAAATGCTTCCAAGGAAGGGAGGAGAATGGGGTGTTATTCTAAGGAAGAGGAGGAAGTTGAGATAGGGTGGTATGAAGTGCCCTTTTTTCAAGCTGCTGACATCTGTCAAGTGTCCGCTAGCTGGAATGGTAACTGGTTAGTGTCAGCTACATTTCAAGGATGCACATGTGCTGAAGTCAAGGGAAAGGGGATTCTTTTTCTGCTCCAGCTATATGTTGATAACTTGCATGTGTATATACCTGTGTTGGTTATAACTATTGATTTGTACATCAGCATTAACCTGAACGGTAATGTCTTACCCAAGGTCCCTTCATGGTTGTGGCATCTGATGGGTCCAGATATATTTAAACTTTACTGTAATTATTACTGTCTATATTTCTAGCTATGCATTCTCCTCTCACCTTATGCATGCATGTGCAAAATCTGCTAACCCAGGGCAATTGTCCATTTATCTGATGAAGTTGGTTCTAGTCCACAGAAACACCATGCACCATAATAAATTGACTTCAAGGTGCTGTATGACTGTTTTTGTTGCAACAGGTTAACACACATCTCTGGAAAATTAAAGGTGAGAATTTGAGTAGTGTACAGGACATGGTTTAGTTCAAGGGTGAGCCAGCTTGAGACCAAAACATCTGGAAGGCCAAAACTCTTACCATCCCTTGCTGTTAGCTATGTGGTCTGGGGCCGATGAGAATTGTGCCATTTCCGATGTTTTGGCCTACAGGTTGCCACACTCGTCTAGTTTTAAATGTTGGTTGTGGACAAATGTTCAGAATAATACCCAGTAGGCTAACTTGCACACAACACTACCCTGTGGTTTATTTAAGCTATGGGATATTTATATAAGCCTTGCTTGTCCTCTCTATATCCCAAATGTCTTTGTGGTGTTGTGTTACTGACATGTACAGCAGAACTTTTTTTAATCATCCTGTAGCCTGGTGAAACTATTCAAAACAATCCACAACTCTGAATTCACATATAATAACCCAGAGTTCACAATCAAACAACAAACCACAGGTTCTTTTTCTGGCTTGTTTGTGGTTAATAAAAGCGTAGCTGCATTTGTACATGCAGGCCATGAGTGTCTTCCATTTTGATGGACAAAGCCTCCATCTTGTCTGGCTCAGCATACAAAGTAGATAAAGGATGCCCCATGACATCAACATCAATTAATGAGAAAGTGTTTGCTGTGAGATCATAACAAGGCCTGATTTCTGGCTTACATTTCAGTTACACTGCTACTTTTGTACAGGGCATGACTTTTTGCAAGCTGCCTTCCTGGAACCTGTGCTTGGCACCTTTATGGTCCCATGCCGAGCTGTTAAGAAATCAGAGGCATCTCAGAGGATACTTTTGTCAGCCCTTCTGCGAGTGAGCAGTGGTCCAAGTGCTGCTGAAGAGCCTGGGGAGCTGGACTAACTGCTGGACTAGCCAGACAGTTTAACATGCAGATAATATGTAGCAGGCCAGAGTGTTGAGGGTGGAAGAGAAGCTGGCACCTAAAGCAGAGTCTTTGCTGGAAGAAGTGAGATGGTGGGAGAATGAGTTATCTGACAGGGTTTCTGGGGGTGGGGGTGCACAGCAGGGTGTTCCTGGGGATCTGTGTGGCTTCCTTGTATTGCTGAGAACCAGGCTGACATGTTCCCTTCTCATGCAAATGACTTTCCACTAGGAGTAACAGATCCCTTCCTCAGGGTAATATATGGCTTCTGCCAGCCCTTCCTGTAACCCTGCTTATCAGTAGGTTGCCTAGCTACAACTGGACTTGCCCTGAACAGCAGGCTTTGCTGACCATTCCAGCTGACAGGAGCCTTACTGAATGCGAATATGCTAGCGTTGTAAGTTCTTCAATTTATTCAATAAATCTCCTTATGAGCAAACCTAGCCCTGGCATATTGCTTTCCTTGGAATTTCAAAGATCCCTGAACCCCACTGCAGGGGGTTGAACAGCACATGCAGCAACCCAGAATTCAATGCCATGAAATGACTTAGTGTTATGTACAGAGCGGGCCAATGGCCTTGTACTGGTGCTAAAATGTAAGAATGGATACCTGAAACATGGGGGAGGATATTTATTTGCCAAATAATCAGAAAGTAATATTATGCATGGATTCTTTTAAAGGGTCCTTTTGCTTCTGTGTCTAGGAGCTTCTTTTATTTTCCTAGTTATTCAACAAGCATCTAGTACGAGGAACAAAAGTTGATCTGATAGATTTAAGCTGCAGTCCTATACCCATTTACGTGGGAGCAAGATTCATTGTACTCAGAGGGACAATTTTGAGAAAATATGCATAAGATATTAGGAGGTTTATTCATACAAAATATTCTCAGGATATCCTCAGTTCCCTGTTACCTACTTTCAGGCACTCATGGGGCTCAAACATTTATGCAAGGAAGTGTCTCATGTATCTCTGACAAGTTACAGAATCAAAAGAGTGTGTTACCAGGATGTATTCTAAAGAAGGTTGCTAATAAGATACTGCTTTATAATTAGGGCATTAACATCAAAGGTAAATAAGCAATTTTTATCTTGGTCTTTAGGAGGTTGGAAATATGTATGACATGTTTCATACACGAAACTGCCTGCACCGTAGAGCCTACCAACACAAAGTTAGCAACATCATTGAAACCATGTAAGTGTGTGTTTCAGTCCTATGGCTAATAAATTCCATGTCAATAATAAATAATGTATAGTAATTAATAATAGTATTAATAAGTTTCAATTGATAACATTTACATTAGTTTGTATATGACTAAATAGTTTTTAATTAAAAGTATGCTTTGTTTTTAGATGGTATATGTGTGCACGCACATACATTACAGAACTGTGCCTCTTCTACAGAGGTGTTTGTTTCCTGCCGTTACTATCAGTGTGGTTTTTTGTCTAAAGTTTTACATCTATTAATCTCCTGTTGTCTGCAGTCTCCCTACCTGAACTGACAGAGGCTGTCTTGGTTGTGATGCTGAAGTCCCCAGGGTTGTTGGTCTTGTGGGACATATCATCCATGCAGAAGGCACCTTATCCTGGGCACCTCAGGATTTCATGGACTCCATGACAACCATGGAACCATCTCAGCATGCCATTGGCCCAGCATATGTAGCAGGACATACTCTAGATTTGTATTTTTCAGCCAGGCATAGGATAAGTGATCTAAAAATGGAAGACTTTGCTTCAGCCTCTCTGTCTTTGCAAGATCACCACCTGCTGAGATACAGATTGATGGCAGCTTTTCTGCTCTGCTTGGTGCTGTTAAGATGGTCTGCTTCTTGAGGCTAATAGATTCAGATGGTTTTCAGAGCACCTTTGGGGGTTCCCAGTTGATATATCTGGCAATCCTGTCAAATCCTGGTTGAAATTTGGGACATAGCGATAATCTGGGCAGTTGCATGTTACACCCTGGAACTGAGAGCAGTGAAACACAGCAGGCAATGGCTTGAGAGCAGATGGAGAAAAACTTAGTGGATGTAATTGAACCCTGATAAGTACTTAAAACCATTGTTGTGTAGTAGTTAGAGTGCTGAAGCAGCACTCATTCTAACCAACCTCATGGGGTGGTTGTTATTGTGAGGATAACATTTATTTATTTATTTATTTATTTATTTAAACATTTCTATGCCGCCCCTTGCCAAAGCCTCGGGGCGGCTCACAACACAAAATAAAATACAATAAAATACAAAAATAACAATATAAAATAAAATATGAAGAGGAGAGTAAAACATGAAGAGGAGAGCCTTGTAAACTACCTTGGGTTCCTTGCAAGTGGAAGAAAGGCAAGATATAAATGCAATTAAAGTATATCAGGTATACTCAGGAGCAGTGAAAGTGGCAAAGAAACATTTCGTTCCATTCAGTGTTGGCTTTTCTGCCCAGCAGAGCTTTTTAAGGTCATCCAGGACCTTATACATTGGCCCTAAGGACATTATAGCACATCTGTGGTCTGCTGCAACATATTTGCTAGGCACTTCTGAGTTGAAATCTCCTGCATCTGTCAGAACTCCTGCATCAGTCAGACTCCAGTGTTACAGGCAGCTGAATCAGGCATGGTCTCAAGAGCACAGCTTGGTCAAGCTTTTTTTTTTTAATTAGTTTCTGACGGTACAGGCCATGTATGTTGATGAGGTATTTGGAGAGTCCTTTGCAACTCCCTCCATACTGGATCCTTGTCCCATTTGAAGGGAAGGAACAACTGATTAGGCCAGGTAAGCAATCAGTGGCAATTTGCAAGAAGAAATGGTTTCATGTCACTTAAAAGAATCAGCTGTGGGACCATTCCACAAGAAACCCTCTAGACCTGGAAGTTTTTAACCATTTTATGTTGGTAGCAAATGTTACTTTTTCTAGGCAAATTCCTTGTGCAGGTCATGGCCAGACAGCTCCAAGCACTCTTTCATGAGCCCAGCTATTCACTGATCTGGGCAGGGATAATCTGGTTTCGGCGCTTAGCCGAACAATCTGGTTTCAGTACCCTGTGCTCTGATAATCAAGTTAGATTGTTGTTGTTAGTAGCGAAGTCATGGCCGACCCATCTTGACCTCATGGACAACACTTCTCTAGGCCTTCCTGTCCTTCACCATCCCCCGGTGTCCACTTAAGCTCACACCGACTGCTTCAGTGACTCCATCTAGCCACCTCATTCTCTGCTGTTCCCTTCTTCCTTTGCTGTCAATTGGTCCCAGCATTAGGCTCTTCTCCAGTGAGTCCTTCCTTCTCATTAGGTGGCCAGAGTATTTGAGTTTCATCTTCAGTATCTGACCTTCTAAAGAGCAGTCAGGGTTGATCTCCTCTAGGACTGACCAGTTTGATCGCCTTGCGGTCCAAGGGACTCACAGGAGTCTCCTCCAGCACCACAATTCAAAGGCCTCAATTCTTCGGCGCTCTGCTTTCCTTATGGTCCAGCTTTCACAGCCGTACATTGCAACTGGGAAAACCATAGCCTTGACTATACGCACTTTTATTGGCAGGATGATGTCTCTGCTTTTTAGTATGCTGTCTAGATTTGCCATAGCTTTCTTCCCAAGGAGCAAGCGTCTTTTAATTTCTTGGCTGCAGTCCCTGTCTGAGGTGATCTTGGAGCCCAGGAAAATAAAATCTGTCACTACCTCCATTTGTTCCTCATCTATTTGCCAGGAAGTGAGAGGACCAGATGCCATGATCTTAGTTTTCTTAATGTTGAGTTTCAAGCCAACGTTTGTGCTCTCCTCTTTCACCCTCATCAAGAGGCTCTTTAGTTCCTCTTCACTTTCTGCCATGAGAGTGGTATCATCTGCGTATCTGAGGTTGTTGATATTTCTCCTGGCAATCTTAATTCCAACTGGTGATTCATCTTGCTCCGCCTTTCTCATGAAGAACTTGCCACAATTTGTTGTGATCCACCCAATCAAAGGCTTTAGCATAGTCAATGAAGCAGAAGTAGATGTTTTAATGGAACTCTCCCTAGCTTTCTCCATGATCCAGCGTATGTTGGCAATTTGATCTCTAGTTCCTCTGCCTCTTTGAAACCCGACTGTGATGCATCTACATGGGAATGCCTTTGATGAGTGTTTGGAGGATGCAGCTTGAGCAAAATGTGACCATCATATGTGACCATCAAATGTGATAACTGGGAGCAGAGGTTTCAAACCTGTAACAGCAATTCCTGTCCACTTTCATTGACTGCCTTTATATTTCAATGCCAGATTCCAGGTGCTAGTTTTAACCTAGAAACCTTTGTATAGCTTGGGACTGTGATACTCTTTGGAGCTTCTCTCCCAACCTAAATCTGCTTAGTCACCGTGTTCAACAAAATAGAGTGGGCTTTCTGAGTGGCACCTTCTGGTTATGGAATAATCTGCCACTGAAACTACCTAACACTAATTCTGTTATTCCTTTGGTGCAATTTAACATAATCCTCTAGGATGGGGTATTTAATGGTTTTGAACAGCTTCTGTCAGCTGGTGTTTCCCCCCTTTTTCTAATGGCTCTAGTTGTATTGAACTTGTTATTTAAATGGTTTTAAATTCTGCTTTGAAATTTCTACTAAAACTTTTAAGTGTCCCTTATTTTATATTGTACTGTATAAATTGTTCTCAGAAAGCTTCATCTATTGGGTGATATAGAAATGAAAGAAATAATCTAATCGATTAGTCCATTCTGTTTCTATAGTCTTATTGAATGATTGAGGGGAATTACCTCCCAACATTTCTCAATTGTTATGCAAAATGGGTTTTTACTGGAAAATAATAAGAGATAAATATAGATTGAACTTCACCACCTTTTGCCTTTGTGTCACTAACTTCTAGTCATCCTTAATTTGGAGAATTTAGTTGCCAAAAATAATCTGTGTTGCATGTTTGAAATCAGGATTACAGATGCCTTTTTAAAAGCTGATCCCTATATCAGAATAAAGGGTTCTGCAGGAAAAGAATACAAGATCTCTACAGCATTGGAAGATATGGAAGCATATACTAAACTAACAGGTATGGGCAGTCATTAATAGCATTTGATTTATTGGCCAGACTTCTAAATCCTTTCCCATTCTGGAATGATATCTGACAAGGTTCCTGTGTCTCAGTAAGGTATTTAAATAATTATTTGATTGAAATATCATATGTTGGGCCTAGTCCTTGTTTTCATCCATAATTGTCATGAAAGAGTTAAAATCCTTGTGGGCTGAGAGTGGAACCAGATGGCCCTGACAAAAGGATTAAGCGAATAATTTACTACATCTTAGCGTCATCAAGGCTGTGTGGCCCAAGGGTGCTGGAGTTGGTTTAATGCAGGCAGTTGGGAGATGACAATGGGCAGATTGGGAGTTTGCCATCACCCCACTGGTCAACTGATGGTGGGGGGGGGGTGGAATAAAGGATCTAGGGTTAGAGCAAGTGAGGGTCTTTTGTTCCTCTCCCATATATGCTACCTGCCCACTGTGAAGAGACACTCATTTCTCCCCTACCAGAGGCTGGACTATAGACCTGAAGGTAGCGTGCATGCACTAGATAAAAGCACACTACTAGCTTTCTTATTTTCTTGTCTTGGTGCAACAAGACTTGATGGTCTTGCAGGAACAGGGTTAGCAATGAGTGTTTTGTAACTGGTTGCTGCTGTCCCCTTCTCCTCACTCTTCCATTTTATTCTATCTCAACCCTATACTTTTAATCTCTCCCTCCAGCTTTATATTTGCTACCTCAATGAACATATTTCATCTCTTAAACTGTGCTTGAGTGAACTGTGAGCCACGGGCTAATTTCAGTGCATTGGCTGTGAAATGGCGGAACAGCATCCATGCCCAACCCTTCACCAGGGCTGAGGGACGAAGAGGATTTCCCTCAGTGTAATGTTACAGTGATGATATTTCCTAGATAGAATTTGGCTCAGAATGTCTTGCCAGTGGAAAGGGGGTGGTGGTGGTTTTTCCATTATCAGCAGCACCAGTTGGTGGGTTCCTTCAGAGCAGATGTGTGGGCAGCATATGGGACTGTAAGGGATGAAGGAAATCGACAAAAATCCCCTCTTTCTGTATTCATCCAGTGGGATTACTGCAACAGAAGTAGCCCTTTTGTGTAGCTTCTGTGTATAGGAGTAGCCTTTCTGTTTATGGAAGAAGGGAGATAGGGCTGGATTCAACCCAACTTTATGCACTATATAGAAAAGTGGTATACAGTCTAAAGGAATGCTTTCCTCACTTGATTTAAAGATGTAATTCCAAATATATAGTATAAATGTTGCATTCAGATCTTTTTGTAACATCGCTCAGGAAACTAGGATTCTGTACTGGAAAGCTGAGCATTACACCTGCTAAATGTGAAGTTGGTGTCCTGTGTACAGAAGCTGAGGACAAGGAAGGACTGAAGGACCTTACTAGTGGATTGCATTTGCAAATATGCAGAAAGAAATGTTCAGTTGTCTGTGATTATAATAGCATAAAAACAAATCTGGAAGATAAAAACTTAATATCAAGTATGCAAAATAAGATTCCCAGCTACCTTTAATAACTGTTGGTTTATTTATTTTTAATGTTGACAGATGAGATCTTTCTACAGATTCTACACTCCGATCAACCAGAACTGAATGAAGCACGGGAAATTTTACGTAAAATAGAGCGGCGTGATCTTTATAAATGTCTTGGAGAGACTCAGCCTCAAGGCAATGAAATTAAACAGGTAAGCACAGATTCCCAAGTTGTACTAGTGAGGGCTTTTCACAGTACAGAACCATTCAGTTGTAATCCTAGAGTGATGTACTGATGACCTTGACTGTACTGATGGTAGAAAAAAGAACAAGCTGAGTGTGTGCTTCCAACTCAGGTCAGCTAGTAAAGGAAGGGGATTTTAATGACAGTTTGGCATGACTTGCTTGCTAACATTTTATTTATTTAAAAGACTGAGAAATTAAAAATATTAAAAGCAGATCACAAACCCCATCAAATTAAATTAAAGCACACAGCAACAACAATTTAAGTCAGGAGTGGAGTTAATAACTAATATAATCAATTGGATAAATACTGCAGAATCTCCTGTCACTTGGAGAATGCAGTAGTTTTGCCTCTGAGATTTGTTTTCCATAATGTATATTATTAGCTGCTTCAGTTTTTCAAGGAAAGAAAAGCAAAATACACATCTTAAAACAAATGTTATGTTGATGACTTGTGGATCTGCTTGGGGAAAGAATTCCACAAATAGGAAAGGCCCCTCTCAGGCAGATTTTGAAGAACATTCTGGTTCAGCTGGAATATAAAGCATTTCTTCCAGATTTGACCATCATGATGTGAAAGAGCTTGGGCTAGGGCTAAGAAAATGTCCATCTAGAGCTATAAAGGGGATAGGGTGGGAATGGATTAGTTGATTGATACAGTTGATTGGCCTCAAGGGAAATAGGTAGTGAATTCACCCCACTTTCCAATGATTGGAAAGCCACCCCATTTAGAGAAGTGGGATTTTTTTTTAAAGAAAAGGATTAAAAAGTGAAGGAGGCAGGGAACTATATAGGTTTAGAAAGCTGACCTACTAAAAGTGGTTTTTAACTTTATCTCTTATTTCAAGTGTGGTGTAGTGGTTAAGAGCATGGGACTGGGTCTCAGACGATCTGGGTTCTAGTACCTGCTCAGCCATGGAGCCAACTGGGTGACTTTGGGCCAGTCACAGACTCTCAGCCCAACCTACCTCACAGGGTTGTTGTTGTGGGGATAAGATGGAGGAGGAGATGTAAGCTGCGTTGAGCCCTTTGTAGGAAAAGGCAGGATATAAATCGATAAATAAATAAAATAAGTGTTATATCAGGTGACCACATTTATCTCAGTTTAAGATATATATAAAACCAGTAAATCATTACGAGTTTGGGAAAGATTACTTTGAAAACTGCTTTTGCCAAAATAGTCATACGTTTAATTAAGCTGTTTTTAAAAATGATGTACTGAACTTGTAAAGTCAAAGTCAAAGATTTTGTGCCCTCCAGGAGCAGTATGATGAATTGTCTGCTGAAATTGTTAAAGCCAAACCAGTGAAATTCCCAGAGGATGCTGAATTAAAGGCCATTAAACTGAAGGCGGAAGACTTTATCATTGATGTAAATATAATTTCTTGAAAACACACTTTAAAGTATGTTACTTTCATTTCTAAATGCATATTTCTACAAGATACTGTTCATCTTACTTCTGGCTTACCTCTGTGTAGGTTATCGATATGGATTATGGAATGAAAGAGAAGAACCCTGTTAATAATGTTAATTTTTACTGTAAGTCTGACATCACTAAGGCAATCAAAATTACTAAAGATCAAGTAAGTAAAATGTTGGGAGGTGGTTTTGCAAGTGTATTACATTGACTTTAAGATGTTATCAATGTATGGTAGTGGAAGTTATAAATCCCTGCTTGGGAAAGGAATATATTCCAGTGTCTCTAAAGAAGGTGGTGGTAAGACTATCCTTAAAGAAGTAATCACTGGCTTCCATCATGCCATTCCAGGGAATGGGCAAATGATAGTTCTTATGTTTTAGACTTGAACTGCTAGAAGCCCCTGCATTATCGCTAGTGGTCAGGAATGTTAGAAGTTTCTGCTTATCTCTGTCCTAGACAATTACCATAAGTATCATATCTATCATTTTTAAGTAAAATCTTTGGGTGGTGGTGCCCCAATTTCAGGTTTTCTTGGGTGGAACTGATTTCTGGATCAATTTCAGCCTGGGTACAGGCTCAGCACAGAAATAACATTGGCATCTTTGGTAGGTGAGCAAGTAAGTCAAAGGAAATATGTCCCTTCTAGTTTTGCTAAACTTCTCAGCAGCATTGAGCACCATTTACCATAACGGCTTCCAGGATTTCTTGCTGATATGATACCTGTTTCCAGTCCGGTTTGCTTGCGTCTTCTCAGAAAGTAGTGCTGGGATATTACTGTTTAATCCTGGGCTTTAGGGTTTCATGAGGGCTCTTTTTTGCTCCTTGTGTTCTTTAACATCTGTATAATACCATTGGGGGATTGAAAGTTAGGAGTAATCAATGTATTGATAATAATAGTCTTGTTTGTTCTTTTTTAAATTGATGTTAAGGAGCCTATGGGAGCCCTAAATAACTGCCTGAATGTCATGAGGGGCTGGATGTGAGGGAACAAACTGAAGATCAATCCAGGCAAAATGAATTATTGTTGTTCAGTACAGTTAGGTTTGAGAATCTAACCTGTTGTGGATAGAATAGCATTCCTTCTGAAAGATCAGTTGAGTAGCTTGCAAGTACTCCTGGATGCTGTTGTTGTTGCTGGAAAATCAGGTTATGGTGGTAGTGGGCACACTTTCTCAGTTTTGTCTAGTGTGACAACTGTGTTCCATGGGGGAAAACAGACATGACCACAGTGATTCATGTATGCCTCAGTCTGTTTTGATTATTTTAATGTGCCCTGTGTGAATTTAGAAACTCAAAGTATTTAGAAACCACAGTTACCACAAAATGTGGTAGCTAAACTTTTGGCAGGAATATACTTGATAGGCATAATTAAAGCAGTATTGGAATGACTTCACTGTCTTTCTGTTCATTTCCCAGCAAAATACTGGTGCAGGTTTTGACCTGCAAGTCCCTAAGCAGTTTGGGTCCCAGGTTTTCTAAAGGACCACTGTTGTTATGTGTCAAAGTCATCTTTGACTTATGGCAACCCTATGAAAAAAAGCCCTCCAAAATGTCCTGTCCATGACAGCTCCGTTCAGCTCTCCCAAGTTCAGTGGTGTGGCTTCCTTTATGAATTCAATCCATCTCATATTTGGTCTTCCCTTTCATCTTCTGCCTTCAACTTTCCCTAACATGATTATCGTTTCCAAGGAGCCTTGCTTTCTTATGAGGTGGCCAAAGTATGAAAACATGGGTTTTGTAATCTTTGCCTCTCGAGAACACTCTGGCTTGATTTGATCCAGGACCCACCTGTTTGTCTTTCTCTTGGGACAAAGCCCTCTTCCGAGCACCATGTTTCAAACACTTCACTTTTCTTCCTATTGGCTTTCTTCACTGTCTAGCTTTCACACTCATATTATGATTGAGAATGCAATGGTTTAGATGATCTTGACCTTGGTAAAATGTCCTTACACTTGATTATCCTTTCTAGTTCCTTCATTGCTGCCCTTCTAAGTCTCAGTCTTCTTCAGATTTCTTGGTTACAGCCTCCCATTGAATTGATGACTGAGCCAAGGTATACAAAATCTTTCACACTTTCAGTTTCTTCATTATAACAGTTGTTGTTCAGTCACAAAGTCATGCCTGACTCCTTGTGACCCCATGGACAACATTCTTCCAGGCTTCAGCTTTGACCCTCTTGCTTCATTCTTTCTGGTGTTACTAGTACTAGTCCTCCGCTCTTCTCCAGTAGCAAACTGGACACCCTCTGACCTTGAGGGGCTCATCTTCCGTTGTCATAGCTTTTATCTTTATGAATCTGCCCATGGGGTTTTCATGGCAAGGATACTGGGAGTGGATTGCCATTTCCTTCTCCATTGGATCACCTTTTGTCAGCGCTCTCTGCTTTGACCTGTCTGTCTTGGGTGTCCCTGCACGCGGCACGGCAGTGATCCATAAAGGGGTATTATCAGTAAAGTTCTGTAATTCTTCTGAGGACACAATTTTTATTTTCTTAATAGTCAGCTGCAGTCCTGCTTTTATAGTTTCTTCTTTCATTTTTATCATGAGTCATTTCAAGTCATTGCCGCTTTCTGCCAGTAAGATGGTATCGTCTGTATCTCTAAAAAACTTTTTATGTGTCTTCCACCAATTTTCACTCCTTCCTCTGATTCTAATCCAGCTTTCCTTGTGATATATTCTGCATACAGATTGAACAGATAGGAAGATAAAATACATCTTTGTCTGACACTTTTGCCTATGGGAAACCATTCATTTGCTCTGTATGCTGTCCTAACTATAGCTTCTCTATGATACAGGTTACACATCAGAACAATCAACTGCTGAGGGACCCCCATTTCTTTCAGGATCATTCATGGCTTCTCATGATCCACATAGCCAAAGGCTTTGCTATCTTCTATAAAGCATAGACTGATCTTCTGCAGTTCTTTGGTGCATTCCAGTAGCCAATGTGCATTTGCAATACGATCTTGAGTGTCTCTTCAGAATCCAGCTTGGATATCCAGCATTTCTCGCTCCATTCTTTGTATTCATTGTTGCAACACTTTGAGCATCCTTTGCTTCCATGGGAGATTAATGCAATGCTCTTATGGTTGCTGCACTCTTTTGTCTCTTCTTTCTTGGAGATTGGAATGTAAAGTGAACGTTTCCAGTTTGTGATTCATTGTTTTATTTTTGTTTAAATAATTTTGTTTGGATTTGGATTGATTCATTTTCTGCAGCTTGAAAGACTTCTTTTGGTATCTTTTCTACTCCAGATGTTTTATTCTTTGCAAGTACTTTCAGAGTAACTTTCACTTCACTTGCTAATATTGCAGGTTCTTCTTCATAGGATTCCACTTTGAAGAAGTCTGCCATCTTTTATCTCTTCCGTATAGTTCTGTATATTGTTTCCATGTTCTCTTTCTTTTATCCCAGATAGTATGTTCCTCTATTTCTAGTCTAGGTTTAGGGGACATAAATTTTCCTTCAAAGCCTTCTGTCTTGAATATTATTAAAATAATTGAATAGACCGTGTACAGGTGTAACAAGATCCAGAGTTGCTTTGAACAAATGGGTTTTTCTGGTGGCTTCTGCCCTTTGTGATTGCAATGATATACAGACAACAACACATATATATATTGGCCCTTTGTGCCCTGATCAGTGCACATTTGAGGACCTCATGGCAGTGCAATGGAATGCAATTTATATTGCTAGCTTCTGGGCTAGATCTGTTTAACTTGTACATGTTTTAATTTTATATTTTAAATTTCTTGTTTTATAATGTGCCCTAATATAATATGTTTTATAAATATGCCTTATTTTTAACTGTGATGCTTCTGACTCAAAGAAGAAAAGAGAATTTTCCTTTCTGCGATCTTCTGGAAGAGGTTTCTTGTTTTTCCTCTTCTGTTGCTGTCTTCTGTTTCTTTGCACTGGCCACTGTAATGGTTCTTTTTGTCTTTATGTGATATTTGCTGGAAAGTTGCATTCGGGATTCTCACCCTATTTCTGTCACCTTTTGCTTCTCACTTGTCCTTTGCAACTGTGCTTCTTCTCTCATCCATCTGGACTTTTTCTCTCTTCTTGCTGCAGGCAATACCCTTTGGCACTCTTCTCTAATGATGTCTCTGGTTTCAGTCCACAGTTCTTTTGATTAAGCTGAACAATGCAAATCTGTTCCTTATGTGGAGTTTTAATATAAACCTGTCCATAACTTACATTCATCATTGTTAGGATAGATCACCTAGAAGAGGATAGGATGGTGGACCTTTTTAATAGCCGAAAGAAGTCCATCCTAATGGAGGTGAGATTGACTCCCTCCTTGTTCTGTCTTAGATAGGTAGTAATAACTGCCTTGTTCCATCAGACTTGTAGTGTTTAATGTTGCTGCTTTCTAATTGTAATGCCATGCATATTTTTATTTCCCAGTTTTGTTCTTTTGCTCCTTGTTTTATGTGAAATTTTAATGTTTTTAATTGTACATCACTCCTGCTGGATGGAGTGTACTATCAAACAAACATGTGGAAGCTTTGAGGAAATGGCAAGCTAGTGGCAGCAACACAGTTTCTTTATACTATATTCTACTAATGCTGATTGTAGGCAAGTAGCTCTATAAAGTGTCAGGCTACAATATCCTACTGCTGCTGTTGCTTTATAACAGTTCAGAATTATATGTTTTGTTGCTTGAACAAATAGGAGAAATTCATTAGAGTTTCTTCTGACAAGGTGATAAAGTGAGATGTATTTGTGTTTTAATTCTGCTTGTTTTTTTGTCTTAAGGTTTCAAAGCTTCTACCAGAAAAATTTGCAGAACAAATAATTAGGGTTTATTGTAAGAAAACGGATGAAAAATTTATCTATGTTGCTACAAAGCATTTTATTCAGTGGTGTATGAACAGAAATTTCACAAAACCATGGGTAAGAAATTCTTTGGTGATGATATGGTTTATACTTGTAATGTGTCATATGCAAATAAAAATTTTGGAGGTTCTAACTCCTAAAATATATTAGGATGTCAATATGTGTCTCAGTGCAGAGATTTTATTCTACCTAATTCTCAAGATTCCTTTTGTTGCACACCTGTTAATTTTTCTGCAGTCTCTGGGACACTTCTGCATTGATGGTTTTAGTATGCAAAGCTGAATGTGCCTTCTAGCCTGTTTTACAGCACTTGCTGCCCCCCAAAGTACTGCCACAGCTGTGGCAAAAGGGCACATTTCCCATTTAAAAAAAGGCACACAGAGAATGTATAACTTGTTTTAATGCCAAATTGCATTCTCTTGTGTCTTCCAGGTGAGCAATTTGCCTTTAAAACAAGGCACACACTAACTATGCACATTGTTTTGAAAAGGAAATGTGACTTGGTTTTCTGCTGGTGCTCCACAGAAATTCAGTGACATTTTGACTGCAGTATGTATATGTGTGCAACTTCCAATGGTGTCCAGGGGGTGAAAATTTACCCTGAATCTGCTCAAGTTTGTTTTAGTTGGAGTGGATGGAAGGAACCATTCTCATTTGGAATTTTACATGCAAGTATAGCATCTGTGGACATGCTGTCAGTATTAAGCTCATGCAAGCCTGCTCCTTCAGTTCTTGGGTGCTTGGACCCAAGAGATTTCTACACATACTTGTCACAGGCCCCTAGAGTCTAATAGAATCTAAAGATCAGAAATAATTTTGTGGAAGGAAAAGTCTGCTCTTTGGTTGCATTATAGTCCAAGAATAATCAGACATAACACTACCACCAACTGGAAGCTACCTGCAAGCATTTCTTGCAAATAAAATGTCAAATAAAATTAGGGAGGGGGGACCACATAAAAGAAATGTGTAGCTGCATCATTTGCTCATTATCTCCTTTTTATAGTGTGGTAGAAGTGAAAGCACATAGCTGAGACTGATCCCAGAGTGTAGTTTCTCTCAAATATAATGTGGGGAAAGGTCATTTAAGGGTTCTGTTCCAGCTGTCAGTAGACCTCCAGTGCAAGACTGAATTTTCTTTATCACTGTAATGTTTTGATAGGATGGTGATGTGGTTGCCCCTGAACTTACTCCAATGAAAGCCAACTGGAATGTAACTGAAGATGATGAAAAGCATGGTTCAAGGGAAAACAGTAATGTTTCAAAATCCAAAACCAGACTTTCTTTTTAAAGACTAAGTGAATAACTTCAGTTTCTTTTGGATGCGTTGGGATTTGTTCTATCATGGTTTTTATATATATATTTATACATAACAACATTGATGTGTTAAACAATATAAAAAGACATATTTTACCTCAAGAATATTTTGTAATACTTCAGAAAATATCTGCACAGTACCATTTGGAAAACTGAAAGGAAAGTGTCTTTTATTGAAGACACGTTAAAGATCTCTTATTTGTTCTGGCTTTCACAATACAAATTAATGTTAGTGTTGTTGATCTGGAACCATTTCATTTTGTTGCTATTTTAAATGTGTGTGAGAAAAGTAAGAACTGTCTTTTCAAACTGAGAGTCAGAAGGGAAAATGCCAGCACACAAGCATCAAAAAATATGAAGACTGGCTTACTATTTCAAGACATATTTCATTTTTCTAAGATCACCAAAATAATACATTTTATCTGCTAGCACAAACACTATGTGGAAATGATATTGAGGGGGTTGGGAGAGGATATAGAACCTTAATTTGTTTCTTTTTGTTATAGAAATAATTTTATTTCTAATTGTCTTTTCTGAAAAGCCACTGGCATTCCCACAAATCATGACAGCTGAAGTTAGCTTATGTTAACTTAGCATTAAATGTGCTCTGGAACAATTGGGACCCTAAAATTTTAGACTTTTAAAAAGGAAACTTCATTCATCTATTTAATAGCTAAAGAAAATAGTAGCAACAACAAAAGAACAAACTGCTCAACACATACTGGCCTTAACTCATGTCAGAGAGAAATAATTTGATTTACACAGAGGTAAGAAGGTGTTGATCATTTTAAGGTAAGACACATCAAAGTAGAAGAGTTTACTTTCTATACTAGAATGTATTTAGGCACTGGAAGGAGAAGCATTATTTGTATTGTCTGTTCCTGTACTGAGATTTTACATTTTCCCTCCAATTGTAATGTATAGGAAGAAATAGGAGGGGAATTATGCTTGCCAGATCCAGGTCCATTGTGCATTCCTTCCCAAGGCAACTGGGAGCATTGTATATCCTGCAGATTCAAAGTTGCCTCTGATCTGCCCCCTTTTGGCTCTATTGAAGTAGAAATTCTAATATGTGAGAGGCAAGGGTTGCAGACATTGTCATTGCAAGGGACTATGAGGGATATCCAAGAATAGATCTCCCACTGTGAGGTTGGAACTCTCTTCATAATCTGAAGATGAAGAGACTATAGAAGTGCAGCTTTTGGGTGCAGTCCTGTGAAATTGCTGCCCTTGGAAGCGTCAAACTAATCTGTGCCCTGCTAGGCTGCTACCAACAGGATGGGAGGAGCAATGGAGGGGATTTTTGCTTTCCCATCCTCTTTCCCATTTTCTCCAGAGAACCTGCCTCAAGGAGTTGCACTGATAGTGGCAGAACCATGGCTGGGGCTTCAGGTAGGAGCCCTCCAGTCCCAACAGCTCTAAGTGTTTCCCCCCTCCCAACCCAGGGAAAATTGCCATTTTTTACTTCTGCTAGATCATTTGAAGTTGATTTTCTCAGATATAGCCACTGTAGTTCTTTCTTCCATGGTTGCAAGGAGTGGCGGGGAGAGCAGAATGCAGTCCTCTTCTGAAATACCAGGGAGCGCCCTACGACTATGATGACTGGGACTGTGGTATCTCTGCCAGGTACCACTGGGTCGCTCTGTTCATGTCTCATATTTCCACAGATTACAAGATTGTATTTTTGTTGAATAATACATTGTTCCTTTAAATTATTTTTAGGAACAGATGTCTATGATGTGCACTTTATGGTGATGAAATAAAGTGCTTTGTGTATGACAAGTGTGCCGTCCATTGTGGGGACTGAGATTTCATCTCTTGCTTTTTCTTGGAGCCTCTTTTCATGGCTCTGGGTCAGTGTCAGAACAATTGTATCAATCTTTTAAATACTCTGAGCTGCATCCAGAGTTGTCATCCTCCAGCAGAAGGGCTTGATGCATTTGTAGAAAGGACTACAATCCAGTGGAGGTTCCTGTTGGAAAAAAGGATGGAGATTACTTCTCCAGACCTTTATGCCATGTTCCACAGCAGGTCTAAAAAAAGCCAACAGGTGAAGGAAGTTGGTGAAATCACTTCCTCTCTTTCCTCCAGTGGGAGCAGAACTGGACTCCCAGCGCCAAGAGTCTGTTTAAAATGAACTTTGTTGAGGGTTTCTGTTAAAACTTAAGAAAAAGCAGTATCCAGGGCTTTACTTGAACCCCTACCACATATTTGCACCTGAATCTGGAAGTCTCATTTGTTTACAACCACGTATCTCTGTGCATTAGCCTTCCACGTGTGGAGGGTTATTTTAAAGGGCCATGCAATCAACAATGTATGTAGTGCATGGACTAGATTGTGCAAAGTGATAACAGGATGAGCAAGTTAATTGAGTTCCATCAACTTAAATTGGAAGAAAGCCTTTTGCATCCTAAGTTGTCTTTGAATTATATCTCATGTTTAATAAGGCAGGCTTGGGAGCACAGCACACATGCAGTGATCTCTAAAGCAGTACTGAATTGCCAGAGCTGTAAATGTTACAAATTCTGTGTTTTGCATGTCTGAATATGAATCTTGAGATTTGTTGATTTCAGCTTAGTAATAAAAGCCCTAATGGTTGATCTCTTTATTTGACTGATCTTTTAAATCTGTTATACAGAAAGAAGTCATGTAATCTGTGCAAACTGGAGCAAAACTAGAAGTCTGTGTTTATTTGATTTAAACCCACACTTTTCTACTGAAATTGGCATTATATTTTATTAATTTTGTTTCTATATTGCCCAGTAGTCAAAATCTCACAATTGTTTACAACAACATAAAAATAAAACAGAATGGGCAAATCTGAAATATGTGTTTAAAATATGAGGTAACATATGGGTAACCTCAGCCTCGAGCAGCATCTGTGGAGTTAGACAATGTAACACTCTAGCACTGAAGCAGGCACCTGAGTGCCTTCCAGATGTTTTGATCTACAATTCACATTTTGAACATATAACTAGGTCATTTCAGGTTGGATGTCACAGAGTACTTCCTGAGAGTTAGGACCCCTAGGATATGGAATGGGCTTCTTTGGGAGGGAATGGGGGGCATCAGTGAGGGTGTTCAAGGAAAAATTGGACAACCATATGTTGGGTATTACATCAGCAGTGCTGGCTGGAGCCAGGGGTCAGACTAAATGGCCTGGGAGGCCCCTTCTGACTCACTATGTTTCTGTTTCTAATCTCTGCCCATTGGTTACAATGATTGCGTATATGGGAGTTGTAGGTCAAAACATCTGGAGGAAACCAGGTTGCCTATCCTGGCCTAGACCTTTCTGTAAAAACGTCATTAATGCCCTTCGAAGAAGAGCCATGCTGAATCAGACTTACCTTGTCCACCATTCTCTGCAAAGTGGCCAACCAGTTGCCTGAGGGAAATTTATAACAGAAGAGGAATGCAATAGCACATTTCTGCTCATATTCTCCAGCAACTGCTGCACAGAAGCATGCTGCTTCTCAGACTGGAAAAAAGAAGGAAAACTAACAGGTATTTTAAGGGACAGCCCAAATAGATGCTTGCATTTATGAGTTGGGCAACATCCTGCTTGTCTTATTGAATTGTTACAGGGATGAGGAAAGCTGAGTAATAACTTATAAAACTTAGTATTAATCAGTAATTCTAATAGCTATACATTGTAACAGCATCCCCAGCATGATAGCCAGCAAGACAGATAAATAAGACACTGATGGGCAACAGAAGCGTTACAAGAGTCAGAAATCGGCATAGCTGATCACCTTGAAAATCCTTGGATGTGTGGTTCACTATTTTTTTTCTTACTAAAGGGAAGGATTGTGTGATTCTTTCCTCACCTCTAATTCAAGCATGCGTCAACCAACAGTTAGCAGATTGTTGGCCCCAATCAGCACAACTAGCTTCTTGAGTTTGCACAAGGGGCCCTAGGTTTTTGCCTTTACCAGGACTATTTCAATGTTTCATACATTATTATCTCAAACTGAGTGCATTGAACCACTTCTTGGGAGGATTCTACCTCTATGAAGTAAGATGAAGAGTTTTGAAAAATTAAGCATAGTTTCTGCAAAAAAGTCAGCAAATGAAGCAGTGGGGCTTCTGCTAATAAGGAGTACTCTCATGCCATAAGTGTGACTTCAAAACCAGTGAATTTAAAGTTTGAGAACTGTATTATAGGAAAGTGCATACAACTTTGTTCAGTATCCCTAATCCTCTCAAAAGACTTGTCATTTCCAAGCTTTCTTGGCTGTGCATTTGTACACTTTTGGAAATTTAAACATGTTATGAAGACGTACCTCCAAGGTAAGCTTATCTGTATTTCTTGTCAGTTTTGAATACTTGGTGCTTGCAAAGTTTTGTGCACCCACCCAATTCACATTTCTCATCAAGAGTTTTTATGCAGTTATTTCTAAAAATTATACTTAACGCACAATACTTATTCAGATACTTTGTTCAAGTAAGATACTAGGATTTCATTATTACAAGTTCATAGATTTCCTGGATAGGAAAAATAATTTTGAAGATTGTGGAAGTGTACAATGCATTTTATAATCTTTATCTGATTTGGGATGTTTTTTACTTGGGTTGAACCTCTTTCAAGCTGAGGGCCAAATTCAGTTTTGGAACAGCTCTTTGGTATCTCACATTTCAATAGCAAATAAGGCTGAAGGCAAAATTGGCAGTAACAACCCAACATGCATTTGTTTCTGCCACTAACCAAAACTTAGGAACAGTATTGTAATATTTTAGAAAAACACATACAAAAACTAGATAGAAAAGCACTTAACAATTGACAATCAAGGGAAATGGTGGAGGGGAAGGAACATGGCAATGGGGGAGAACCGCAAAGGACTGGACTGGGACCCCTGGTGAGCCAGAGGTTCTGCATCATTGATCTATTGGAATAATCTGAACATTCTCTTAACTCCAAATCTCAAAGGTAGCATTCATACCTTTAAAGAAAAGCCATCAAGCTGTTTTTCCAAACTCAATTCAGACAAGTGGTTAAAAGAATTGACTGCAAAGTTTCTATGGAGCATGTACATTATTAATACGCAGCCTAAGGCCTTCCAGATATTTTGGGCCACAACTTCCATCCGTCCTAGCTTGCATACCCAATAATGAAGGATATTGGGCCAAAATGTTGGAAGAGCCCCAAGTTGCTCTGACTGATGTAAGCGCTCCTCCTGATGACCAACATTTTTTTTAAGTGCTATGTTTGCGGTAGTTCAGCATCACAATGTCCTGTCCCTGTGAAATAGGAAAGGGTCTTGCTGCAGAGGGAAAGTATCTGTGTTGCCCCTTTCTCATTTTCCTGCAAGGGAGATAGGTACTAAAATTGTGGAGAGGTTCCGCACAATGTATCCAAAACTGAGATGGAAAGGTTTTGAATGATACAGATAAACGGAAGCTGGTTTACATACGTATATAGATCACTTGGTATTTTGCCATTCAGTTATGCCTAGCTGAATATGTGAATTAATTCTACTGAAAAGCATGCTACCTGAATTGTTGCTAGCTCTGTGTGTGGTGTGTTATCTCAGCTGACTGTTTCTCCCATGCAGGACATCATTTGATGTCTAAATCAATGTATATGCATGTATGAATATGTGAAAAATAAACTCTGAAGTGGAGAGGGGTTCACCCAATAGCAGCAAAGGCTGCAGTAGATGGCCATGTACCAGAATTTTAAAAATTTAAATCCATTACAGTATTTTGTAAAAATTCTGTGAGGTTTTGTCAGTGGTCCCATGCTGGAATGGCACAGTGGGAAACACCTGGCCTCCTTAAAAACATCTTAGTAAGATATTACAATTACAAAATTAAGTTAGAGCGCAAGGATTTTCATGTCATCAGTTTATGTCACATGGAGAAAGCAATAGACAGCTGTAACACCATGTTCCATTACACATTCTAAAATATGTTTGACAGAAAGTATGTTTGATTCTGTTTTCCAGAAACAGAATATTATAAGTGCTAGGAAGATGCAGCATTCCACCAAACAAGAGCATGGACAATTAAATCTTGTTTTAGTACATAATTGCACACTGTTCTATTCCACAATAATTTAGAAAGCTAGCTTTGTGGGTAATGAGGAAAAAAGACTAGTTACTCCGCATAACTTCTGTTTTTGTATGAAATAGAGCAATTTGAAGAAATACACCTCTCTGCTAAGGTGGAGAGTTGTTTTAAACAACCGTGAAAAATGTTCATTCAAAGTGCAGTTGAGTGAGTTTACTCAGGACAGCAGAAGTTCTGTGTTTCCATGCTCAACAAATCCAGGGAAGTATATACATGCAAAAATTATGTTAAGTGATCTGAGCAAAGGGTCATAGCTGAGAATGGCTGGACAGCTGTGTATATGCAAAGTTGGCTTGTTCCAAATGATGTAATGCTTATTGCCAACAGATTTGCTGAGCACCAAAGAAATATTCCTCACAACTCTTATTATGAAAAGGAATGCCCCTTCTCCAGTGTTTTCACAGTCTAATAATGCCTGTGCAGAGTAATTCCTTGATGTTCTGCTCCTAGCAAGAAGCGTGAGAATTTGTAGGAGGAAAACAAGAAACTTGGTACAGTGTCGACTGCAGCTTAATCTGAAACTTGGCAAGGCAGGTGTATATCCCTTGGAGGTGGGGGACCTTCCCTTGTAAGTAGTGACCAATGCTTACAGAGCTTACTGTTCCTAACCTAAATGTTAGCACTTTTAAGCTTTGGACAGATTCTTTTGCCTTGGAGTACAGTAGCCCAAAGAGCAAGCTTAAGTAGTAATAATATATATAATTAATCTCAGCATATCCTTTTAGGAGCAGAACGACGTGTAGCAAAATGTGAGGTAGGGCTAGTGCTGGTGCACTAAGGGAGAAAGACATGAGCAGATTGGTAGGTTAATCTGTCATTGTTTTCTCCCCTGCCAATCTGTGGAGACACAAGGAATCCACAGTCAGGTTTGTACTCATTTGAAAGGGGTTTGAAAAGCTACTTCAGGAGGACTACTGGCCAAAACCTGTTCCCATTGCACATGCAACATCCACACACAAAGGAACACTTATTTTTCTTCTTTTGCATTAAGAGAGTGCCCAGACTTCCAGATCTTGAATAAGGAATTCTTCTTTGTGGGATAATGCCTCATTGTTGAATGTCTCACAGGGGTGGCTTCCTCCATGATTCAGGTCTCCGTCTAGCCACAGTCCAAATTTGCCACTGCAATTAAGGGTTGAGCAACATACAGGTTGAGCATCCTTCAACACAGTATCTTTTGTCTAATACGCAATAATACAGTAAGGTTTGATTCATTTATGTGAGACAGCTACAGATTTGTCTTTGTGGATGTTATGCTCTTTTCACCTTTGCTACTTGGGTTGATCTACCAGGGGCTGAGACAGGAGGTGGGTAGATGGTGCTGCAGGTCAATTTGGATGGCTTTATACTCCTTTTCTATTCAAATTCCTTCCTCTGTTCTGAAAGGAATTACAATGAATGAGCCCATCCAGGATCAGGCCCACCTATCCTGTGTTGGTGGGTGAGATAGATTTATTATTTTATTAAACAACAGATTTCTTTATCTATTGAGAGGTTTTTAATTAATAGAACAACCACTCTTTCTCCTCCCTGATTATACAGCTGATGTTGCAAAGTAAATGGCAATATGTCTCCCTCTCCCTGACTTCTCTCCCTC